TTTATCTCTATACATATATGATGGGGTGAATCAAGCAAGGGCTTTCTCGTTTAAATCCGAATTCGGACATGGAACTTTTGTAAGGGCATAATAGATTGCGCTGCTGAAACCCGGCGCACTAAAAAATCCAATGAAATAAACAATAAAATAATAAAGCAAAAAACCGACAGGAAACCTTAGAAGTTGGGCTTTTCGCTAAAATCTGGAAATCAATAGCCTTAATGAGTTTCCTACTTGAAACAAAACGTTTCAGAATGATATTAAAGGAATTTTCTAATTGGTAATAGTGTGGCATTTTAACTAAATCGTGAAATCTAGACAAACGCGTCCAAAGTAAGTTAATTCTGAAACCTTTACATAATACAATCAAGTGGAAAAGTTATTTACTTTCAAGCACTTTCTCATGTGCCTACCAACTGAAAATAAAGTTTGCTTTTTTATCATATGAAATGGGAAGGAATACAAGCGTTGATGCTTTTAGTGGTCGATAAGTCTACACTGCACTCCACATTTAATGAAGTTGTAAGGTAAAGGGAAAGTCTTTTTCATTTTAGGTTTAAGTTTTCGTTTTCACGATGGCTCGTCAACACTGACATCGTCAACAGCAACACAATCTGTTGCTAATTACTTAGACGATCGACGAACAGTTAATTAATGAGAATTATAAAGTGTTTTAACAGTTCTGCAGTAATTAGGTTTCTTCCCTATTGTAAATTATTTGTTCAGCTAGATAGGGTCATACGTGTTGCAGTTTTAAGCACAGGTTCATCTGTGTCGTTGCATTATGAATTTCACTTATAAAAATTTCGATATATAAATGAGACATTCTGAAGGTAAGAAGGTATATTGTAAGTGGGCACAATCATACAAAATAGAATCAGTAGAAGTAGATACTATTTTAACACGTAAAAGTAATGAAAATTCTAGTCCGCCCTGTCTATCAAAGGCCCAAAATCTAAAAACGGGAAGCAGTCACGTTACTGTCTTACTTCAGATCAGACCCCGGCCCAACGCAATGATTTGAGAGCTATACTTTTGTAAAGGCAACAAAATTGAGAAACGGACCTTACCATCAATTACGTCTTAGGAGTGCCAAAAATTGTAAGTATCAAGAACTCAAAAAACTAAATGTTTCGGTTGGCCTGAACTAATTTTGTAAGTGAAAATTGCGATTTGGACAATAAGTGCAATTATCTCTTACAATTATTGCAATATATAAATAGCACGCAATTAAGTGAAATAGTTACTTTGAATGGTAGGATATTGGATATAGTTTTGAGCCACATTATTTTGTAGACTGTAGAGGTACCAATATTCTTATAAATGAAGATTCTCATCATCCCGGTCTTGACACACCACACATAAGCAACTTTAATGTGGAACACAAAACTAAAATATATAACTTAAAAAAATATTATACATTAAGTATATTCTTAATATAAATTGGAATATCTTAATAAAAATCTCTGATGTAAATGCCTCATGTCTGAAGTTTTATGAAATACTGGAATCAGTATTCGACCAACTGATGATATATAATCATAAAAAGAAGAAATTTCCTTCGTAGTTTACCGTAGATCTTACTAGAAATATCAAAATTAAACTCAAACTCAAATTTAAATAAACTAGAAATAAGAATTCAAACGTGTAAGGTCAATAATTAAAACTCAGTTAGAAATTGCATAGAGAGCATAATATGGCTTCAACCGAAAACGCTTTTTTGGACATATTTACATTATAAAAAGGATATGTCACGTATTCCCGGAAGGGTAACGTTAAATAATGAAACTTATGAGACCTCTCAAAAGATGGTCTATGCTTTCGCTAACGCATTTTTCGCATGTTTACAAGAACGAAACAAACCATTATATTCCTCTATGCTACAATTATTGTATTAATAATGATTCAATAAGTAATAACAGTAGAAGACATAGAAGCAGCTATCCGAAAGTTGAAGAACATCCTACATCAGAAACGGACCAAATACCCGCCTATAAGTCAAGGAATGCTCCGATATATTTTCATATATCCTTTGATAATTTATATATAATAGTGTATACAGTGCCTTTTTTTTCCCGAAAAAAAATTGTCTCAGATCGTCCCGGAAAACAATTTTTCTTATAGAACGTGGCCTGTAGAATCCATAATTTCAAACAGTTCCAAGATTGGGCTACTAGTTCAAAAGTTACAGCCCTTTGAATTTTCCTTCGAAATTGGTTTCTTTTCTAGTCTATAACTTTTTATTTTATTTTATTTATTTTTTTTTATTATTTATTTTATCCCTCTCTTGTTTTGGGCCCTCAACAGGCATGCGCCCAATTACAGAGTGACCCGCATCATGCGATTTAGAGGTGCCTCTGCAGAAGTCTGATCGAAAAAGTACGAATTGTTTTGGATTCTACGCACCAAAATTAATAAGAAAAACTGTTTTCCCGAGAAATTTTGGTGCAGTCGATTTTTGGTAAAAAAGGAAGGTGCCTTTTTTTGAGCCCCTCAAAAGAAATTGTCTCAGATCGACCCGGAAAAAAATTCTCTTATAGAATGTGGCCTGTAGAATCCATAATTTCAAACAGTTCCAAAATTGGGCTACTAGTTCAAAAGTTACAGCCCTTTGAATTTTCTTTCGAAATTGGTTTCAACGAATACCTGTCGGAGTATTACTGGAGGGTTACGTATATATCAGGGTACATACTTGTGATTTCATTATAACATTAAAAATTCAACTTCTCAAGACATTAAAACCACGTACTGTATTGTCGGTATTCTGGCAAGTTATGTATAAATCTATACACTGCATAAATGTAACAAAATATAGGAAAATTAGAAACCGCAGTAGGTTTTTTTAAAAATATCCTGCCAAAATAGTATCGTCCTGACATCTAACGTGTAAAGTCAGTAGTCTAGTGACTTTTATTTATTAAGAGGCGTCCTCTGTGAAATAAATTTTCAACTAATAAATAGTGTATTACACGATCGTTAGATGTCAGAACGATACTATTTTGGCAGAATATTTTAAAAACCTATTGCTCTTATCTAATCATGGTATATTTTGTTAAATTTATGCAGTGTATTGATTTATACATAACTAGCGAGAAATATAACCGGTCACCATCGTTTCATTTTGCCAGTCTTGCTTATTAAAGATTAAATTCTGTTTACGCGCGGAATTTATGAAGAATTTAATGCGTATCTCATATAGTGCTATAATATAATCGTTTTCAGAATTTTTAGCGGTATCTTAGATTGAATGAAATACCCTACGTGGTGTTAAGGTCCTGAAAATTTGAATGTCTAATGTTATAACCGTTGAGTGAAGGATTACTCAATGTTATAACGATGTTATAAGTAGCCTGATATGTAGGCAACCCGGCATACTCGCCATCTTTTTTATATATAGAACATGACAAACGCTATCCTGAGTACCAGGAGAACATTATCCTGAAGAAGATAGTTAAACGTAACTTGAAATTTTCAGACACAGCTAATCTGCTAAACCAACGCTAGATGTCAGAACGATATTAACCCGGCAGTTTTTAATTTTGAAAAATGTACTGCTGTTATCTAATTTTGCTATATTTTGTTACATTTATGCAGTGCGTAGATTTATACATAACTTCTGACAAATACAACCGGTTATTAGCGTTTCGTGTTGCCAAATTTGCATAGTAAACACTGATTTTTGTTTACGCGCGCAAACAAACGAAAAGTTTAATACGTAGTGCATATAGTCCTACAATATAAGCGTTTCAAGTTTTAGATTCAATGAAATACCGTACGTAGTGTTAATGGCTTGAAAATTTGAATTTTTAATGATACAGTAGTGTCATTAGTATGTACCCTGATATGTAGGCAACCCGGCATACTCGATGTTCAGAAAAGCGGTCATGTTTTTTTAGTGCACTTTCACTTAAAAAAAATAAAAAGTGAACTTTTGCGCTTGATGTCTGTCTGTCTGTCGGTCTGAGTCACAAAGACTCCGGAACTACACCACTAAAGACTTGGTATTGGTGGCATTCGATCAGAATTAAACATTATTTTATGTTTTTATACTCGTTAAGGCATGAAATGTCAATAAGGGCTATTGAAACCGAAAAAACAAAATTTGAAAGTGCACTCTTTGCCTCTTGCTCGCAAGCGCCTTAACGAATTTTGTTATAAATAGAACATCACGATAACTTTATTTCATCTATCCTAGCCTATCTAGGGAATAGGATGGACGAGTTCATGGTTATGGCCGTCCGGTGTATGTCCACGAACTAAAATTTACTGTTCTCACGTGTCCATAAGAACCGTAAATCTATGTATTTTGTAATCAAACGTTACAATAAATGCTTCGCATATGGGCTTGTCTTCCACGATATTCGAATTCGATCTGTGAAGTACATAATTATAAATGGTACTTATGTAGGGGCTACCACGTAGGGGCTGACTTCACAGACAGCATTTAAAATTGATTTTGCTTGCCGTTGCCAAAACAAAATGTCAGGGAATAGTTTATGAGTAAGGGTGGGCTCTTAAAACATAAAAACTTGAAGGTCGTCTGGTACACTTTCGAAGTATTGCAAATCATCCCTCTAAAAACTCGCGCGAACGGAAAATTCAAAAATGAACGAATTCGGTGGTTTTAGAAGTGTTTTGATGTTACCGACCTCAGAAAGCTACCGACAGTTGTTCATATAATTTGGAAGCATATAACCCACACTTCTTATGGCCGTTTGCACCGACAAATTTAAGCGGCACTTAGCTTAAGTGTATAGCTTAAAATCCATGGCAACCATTGTTTAATAATCGTTACCATGGATTTTAAGCTACGCTTAAGCAAAGCTCCGCTTAAATTTATCAGTGCAAAGGACCATTATAGTTATAAATTGTATGGCCTAAACACTCATTAAAAGGACATCGTGTTGGGATATAAAACACATGTTACGCCACTGCGTATTTCCACGAAGGCGTTACATTTCACCAAATAATAAAATTATACCGTTGGCAACAGTGACGCTTGCGCAATTGGTTCTCTGCGTGCTCCGTTCCAGATTGTGTGAAGCTAAAGATCGCGTTTTATCGGCAAATTACTTGCAAATTGGTCTGCCTTTAAAAATAAAAATACGATCAATTCGATGTTTATAATCAACTATGACAAAAACGTGCGGCTGTTATAAGTAGAAACTGTGATTATTTTAATTTGTTTTTTGTGAATAAGTTACGGTTCTGCAAATATCGGTACTATTAGTTTTTAACACCGAAAATGGCAGCCCTACCACGCAGAATAATAAAAGAAACTCAACGTTTATTACAAGAGCCGGTACCTGGAATAAGTGCAGTTCCCGACGATAGTAACGCTAGGTATTTTCACGTGATAGTGACTGGCCCTGAAGATTCACCATTTGAAGGAGGTTTATTCAAATTAGAATTGTTTCTTCCAGAGGATTATCCCATGTCCGCTCCCAAAGTGCGATTTATAACTCAAATTTATCACCCCAACATTGATAGATTGGGTAGGATTTGTTTAGATATATTAAAGGATAAATGGAGTCCGGCACTTCAAATTCGTACAGTTTTATTATCGATTCAGGCACTGCTCAGTGCACCGAACCCGGACGATCCGCTGGCCAATGATGTTGCCGAATTGTGGAAGGTAAACGAAGCAGAGGCCATTCGTAATGCCAAAGAGTGGACTCGTAAATACGCAATGGATAACTAATTTAGGATCGTTTTAACAAATATGATTGTTCTATTTCTTCGCTTATATTCTGCTGTGTCTACAACACGTGTTTATTGTAGCCAGCAAATTAGAACGTTTATATTTGTTACGTTGATCAGGTGTTAATATCTTGTCACACACGTTTAATTCCTACTTTTTTATAGTTTTTTTCTGTCAACTTGAAAAAACTAAACCTTTCTCAATAAACGGAATACAGTAGAACGTGCTTAATTTGAGTAAGTGTAGGGTTATTTATACCAAAAATTATATTTATTGAACCCTTAATTTAGCTGTACATCAGATTACGTTCATTTTCAGTATTTGTGTTGACTGTTAAGCAAATTCTACTGGATTTGTGAAAGCCTAAGCTTTAGTTCTTCATGTAAAAAATTTTTTTCTGCTGTAATTATTATATTCATCGTAATTTGTAAATCGAGGAGTTAAACCCAAGGCAGGGATTCATTTTGTATGGTAGAAGTCAAGGCACTGATTATGGCATTCTGCTGCACTAGGTGTTGATACTAGTATGCTGTAAATATGGTATGTAAGGCTTTTTACAAATAAATTATTAGTTTAAACGTTTTACTTCTATTAATAAAATAAGTTCATTACGTACTAGTCATTTTTGTCTTCCTTGACGTACAAAACGTTTTTCATTTCAGGATTGTGGAAGCTGTGCTTTCATATTCAAATTTCAGGCGTGCAAATCACATTGATCTTGTTTTATGAGAACAATATTCATTTTGGAAGTGATTCGTTAGTGAAGAGTAGTCTCCTTTTACATGCTAAGTAATAATTTGTATGCAAGCACTCGATTCAATATTGCTGTTGAATATCAATGTTTGATAGGTAAGGATTAATCGTCATGAGTCAGTCTGCGACGAGTAAAGACTATTATCTATATTAATTTTTTTTAGAAATACCGCAGGATGTGGTTATCAATGCTTAACAGTCCTAGATATTTAATGCACTGAAGTATATTCAAGATCTGTACTGGTATAAGGGATAAAGGGACAATGCCAATGATCCATAAACATTTTTGATTTAAAAATGGATCGATAGTTATCCTATAATTATTTGATTCAAAATAGTGATCTCCTCCAGTGGTACAATTGAAATTTTCAGCGTCACAACCTTCATAAAATTCCGAATTTGAAATAAAAATATTTTATACCATTTGCAATTGGGAAAACAAAAGTCTCCAAACAAAAATTATTGAAGGTGTCTGCTGTCAATTAACAACAGCAACTAGTTAATTGTAATTTATAAATTCGGGACAATTATGTGTTTTTGAATATCTACTTCGGACATCGCAATTACTGGTTTAAATTCAAAACATCCGGGACGACATCTAGTCAGTTTCTTCATATGACTTACGGTAAAATGGGATGAAAATATACACAGTTGACTTAAAAGGATGTGTGTGCAATACTCCATCCTGCTAAGATCTGTAAGGAACCAAACTTTTGATTTTCAAATAATCAACCAATTATTTTTTAATCCTTTACGTTGCTACTCTCCCATGAGGATGATGACAACACATACTTAGGCTAACAAAGGTTTTCTTCGCTGTCTAAAACCGCCACTATTTCCATTAATTTCCCCAGTTTCTCTTCTCTAATTTCCTATTATTTTCCATGAAGTTTTTAGTAATTACTTGGCGATTTCGCATACGAAGGACAAGGATTTCTCCGTGATATTAGTCCTGGTTTATGGTAAAGTCACATATGAATAAAAACTGCAATTTAATAAAATTTATTATGTAACCATGACTGCCATACACAAATAATTATTCTCGAGAATGAAGTATCGGGGGAGGGTGCTCACAGAAGGCGATTGGATGTCTTTAATATTGACTAATATACACATCTAAAGCCTATTTACTAGCTTCAGAATAATGAAAATGAATTTAGAGTTACCTATTGTTAATTATATGTATTGGTTTATCGCTCTATAAGCGACATTTAATATTAAATAGGACGCCACCCTTCGATTATGATGGCGCGGATTCAAATCTACGAGTGCTCGCTTTTTTTTTGTATTAATAATAATACAGTGCGACAAAAAGAACGGAGCGAAAGAGTGTGAGAGAGAAAGAAGTAAGTAGTCACTTCTGGCGGCACACGTGCCACTTTTGAATTTTTTTCTCAGAAACCATAAACATAGAAGAACTCTAGATAATCGTGGCCTTTACGACTTTGTAATTGTTTTTCAAAATTCCTATACTGACATGGTGCACCTTGCAATGTGGGTGCGAATTGTAAATTCTGACCTTAACGTAATTTGTTGTTTAGTCTCGGCGTCGTTTTGCGAAGATTCTGCATATGAAATTTGTTGTAGAAATTTAGTCGTTACAACAATTTTAACACGCAGGCCCTAATTGTATGCTAAAAGATTTATCCTTAATACAATCCTGTGCCTTTGCAATCTGTTATGAAAATAGTTATGCGCCTGCGCACAGGTTACAGCTGTGAGCTGATTGGCTTTTAACCTAACAAAACAAATAATAAAAAAACAAAATTACAATGTAATTTTATTTATAATACACAATTTATTTGCAATGTCGTTAGGATCAGATGCCGATTTAGAACTTCGAGTTAAAAAAGGTAATTACCAGAGTTGCAAGAGGCGATCTTATTCTGAGTTTTAGCAACGGAACGAATATCCGAAAATATGCATATTATCGCGAACGAGCCCTCATTGGCTTTTTACCGCTTACAAGAGCATGTACGAAAAGCTCTGACTCCAATGGTCGATCGTAGGGTCGAAGTTAACAAATTGCGACAGGAATTACAAGGACGATGTTATGACATTGATTATGCAGTGGGGTATGTAGGTAACGTTCGCCTCCCAGTTTAGTGTTATTGGACCTTGTAGGGCGATCAAAACCATGAACAAAGCAGAGGAGAGTTTTAAGAATATCCAAGATATCTTAAAGAATGCCATATTTTTGAAACAACAGCTAAAATATGAGGAGTCCCGACGAAAAAAACCAGAAAGTAGCTCGGTATATAAAAGATTATCTGCACATATTACCCTCGATTTACCGGAATTGCCCGAGCTTTCTGATGTAGTACGCGAAACAGCGAATAGGGTTGAGTCTATGATGTCTAAAGCAACTCACTAATAATTGTAAAATTAATGTCTATATTGGATCTGAGAAAGTTATTATCTAAGGATGATAGTGAAGTGTATGTGATTGCCGCTTTCTGTGGCCCCGCTAATTTTTGTTTAGGTTTTTGCAATTACTATTAAACTTTGGGATTAACTTAGAGGTGGAAAGATTGTTACAGTCTTTGAAATGATTTTGGTGGCGCTTCCACAGTTACAAGTGTTCCATTGTTTCTTGTATGCAATTTATTATTATTATTATTGTTATTATTAAGATAAATTTATTATTGTACATTAATATTGTCACGCTGCTAATGACATTAATGTTTACACTTGCTAAGATATTATTAATTTACTTCACAAAACAATCATTTTGTGAATTAGGATTTTAATAAAAGATTAGCAACTTTGGAAAGAGCAATAGCAGTATTTGTATTTCACTAGTCGAAATTGACAAATCCTGGTCGACTTGTTGAAACACATGTCGAACTTCCATTTTGTGGGTTTCAGAAACATTCCAAGCTTTGTCTTTTCTCAATTGATTATGGATACAGGCAACCAAAACTAATAGACATTTAATTTTTTAGCCGTAATAAATTGATTTCAAGCACACTTGTCTTTATTGTTATCGCGATAGAACTGCCAACTGTAATTGTGTAAAAAGGAAAAAGGAAGGTTATACACTGCCTTTTTTTGAGGCCCTCAAAAAAAATTGTCTCAGATCGACCCGGAAAAAAAATTTTCTTATAGAATGTGGCCTGTAGAATCCATAATTTCAAACAGTTCCAAGATTGGGCTACTAGTTCAAAAGTTACAGCCCTTTGAATTTTCTTTTCGAAATTGGTTTTCTAGTCTATAACTTTTGATTGAGAAGTCTGATCGAAAAAGTACGAATTGTTTTGGATTCTACGCACCAAAATTAATAAGAAAAAGTGTTTTCCCGAGAAATTTTGGTGCAGTCGATTTTTGGTAAAAAAGGAAGGTTATACACTGCCTTTTTTTGAGCCCCTCAAAAAAAATTGTCTCAGATCGACCCGGAAAAAAAATTTTCTTATAGAATGTGGCCTGTAGAATCCATAATTTCAAACAGTTCCAAGATTGGGCTACGAGTTCAAAAGTTACAGCCCTTTGAATTTTCTTTCGAAATTGGTTTCTAGTAGGGAATGCAATCCCGCAGCAAAATCTCAATCCCGATATTTGCGGGATTGTTAGATGTTAATCCCGCGGGATCCCGGAATTTGCGGGATCTCGCAAAACTTTGAATAAATTGATGGCAAATAAGCAATTCTGTGCGGTTAACTTCCGTATTAAAATAAATCGCTAATTATCACAATATTTAACAAAAAAGTACCTTCGACCTAACTTAGAACTCAAAAACCCTTACCTGTAAAGCACAAAAAGTCTTCTAAAGTGCCTCAAAAATCATAGTACATTTTTAACGAAAAGAGTTTAACAATTATTTAAAAAATAATTCGCCGTTATCAGTTTCATTAACAAAGTAAACAGTCGTCCCCTTGGTCGACAAATTCCTCAGTCCCGCAAATCCCGCGGGATCCCGCTCCATTTATGTGCGGTATTAATCTCGCAAAAATGCTGCGGGATCCCGCAATCCCGGTATTGCACTCCCTAGTCACTGCATATGTATATATATTAGTAACCTCTTCGGAGGTTCTTCTGTGCACAGGTCATGTTGGCTAACATCTCTACCTAAAACATGGTGCTATACTGATCAAGAGAGAAGCTGATGTCAGCTCTCGGTCTATCACCATATATACAAGACTGCCCATTATCTCCCATTCTGTAATGGACACAGAAGCCCAAGCATATGGGGATAAAGACATCAAAGTCAGGATGACTCCAGTCTCGGAGTAATCATTAATGATCAGCTGAACCCTGACGTCGGAATCAAGAGCAGAATCGAACAAGCCAGGCAGGGATTTACCAAATGGAAGACATTCCTCACTGACAGAAGCTTGAACACCATGTAGGTACCTACCTTGAAATGTTACATCTGGCACAAACATATGTACAGTGTAGAAACCTTGACTCTGCCAACAGCCACTACCAAAAAAAGCTATACAGGCTTTCGAAATGTGACTCTGCCAAAGAATGTTGAATATCTTGTGAACGGCCAAGAAAACAAACACGTACCAGGCCTGCTCAAAGCCATCGTCTACAGGAAATGCAAACACCTAGGTCACATCACTAGGAACCATCAAAAATACCAACTACTGCCACACCAGGCAGCGCGAAAACGACCTTGCTAGAGAACATGAACTTGATATGATAACAGCCCAAATTTTACACACAGTTAAAACAAATCACAAAACACTATTCGGCAGCATTAAAAAAAAAGAAGAAGGGGTGCTCAGGACGTGTGTCCCCTTCAGCCGTTTTTTTGGTTTTTGTAATTTATAATTAATATACAATACAATACAATAAAATTTATAGGCCTTATGTAGGTATATATGGTAATGTTTAATAATTGTACTTCAGCATCACGGATCATCATCTTGGTGGAGTTCGAGATCAGCTTCCAATTGATGTTGCTGGTGGAAACGTAACAGATGTGGACAGAATGGAAGGTGGAAGGTGCGCTCCTCTTAATAATAGTCCACTAGCAGCTACCCTATATACCTACCTACTGATTTGAGTTATCCAAAACTGACTTCCCAAAGGTGGGTCTAATCGTTCTACGATCCTTCATACAGCACAACTGACCTGACGACACGGAGCTCATATCCAACCACCACGAAAAGATGGCTTGGGATATACCACAATTAACAGTAAAGGCTTAAGTTCGTCAGATTCCTTATCAAAACCCCATCATCAGCATTAGACAGTGTCTCGTATTCTATATTTATTTTGTTTGTATTACGGACATTTTTTCGACTAATTATGCGATGTTTAGTGAAATTGGATTTTATTGTAATGCATAGCAGTCCCTCGGAGCTTACTTTTCTCAACCTTCGAGCAACTTATTTATATTACAGGCGGGTGTCAGAAAGACCCAAACTAAACAGAAGACCTTTTGTGAAGGGATTTTATTTCATAAGTTTTACCACCACTTTACCTTGCCATGAAAAACTAAAACAAATAGTGAACTAGCTACGTGCGCATTTTTAAATAATGGCGGTAGTGCAAATTCAATAGGTCATACTACCTACGATTGCATTGATAGTTTCAATGTTCCCATATTTAAAAACCAAACAAGCATTACCGACGACCTAAAAATAGTACCAGAAATGCAAACACCCTCTTTATCCGGCTATTTTTGGATCATAATGTATAATGGTTTATTTAATGAATGATTGCGGAAACACCTTTAGCTAGTTATTGTATAAGGGTTTTAGGTTTATAGAGGTTCAAAAATGGTAAAGTAGGTCAAATGTAACCGCGCTTAACCTCAAAATTTAATTCTGTCAAAACGCGGAATTTTAGTAATGGCGTAGTGTTCGTTGATCGAGTCTTTAAATGTATTTCGTTAAAAATTGTGTAAATATTGATAATACATTCTATAATCCTAAAAATACTTGATTAAAGGTAATTTTTGAGGTTCATGATTCAGTTTTGTTTTGTCAGTGGGAGGAGTGTATTATAATTAGAAAGTGGTTTTCGATTAATTAGTTCAGTATTACGTCACTTTTTGCGTTAACTTTCAGTTTGTGTTTTTGTTCGACGCTCGAATGATTTTATTTTGGATCAAAATGTTAGAAATGATAACGTAAATTTGTTCTCTAACCGAACTATTTTATATATACGTATATATATACACCTTATAAAACGTTCAATAATTTTGCCATTGTTACCGCAACTCGTCGCGATGACCGGCGCAAAGGTTCGTACAGTTACAATTTCCTTAATTCTCGGAAAAGTCGTTGTTCCTTACAAGTTAGTTCCTTATTGGAACGAATATAATTGAGAGAGTTGTCTGAAAATATGCGCACCAATTTTTAGAATAAACCATGTAATAATCGACTGGTGAATAAATCGCGCGGATGGGACATATTGATTTTAGCGTCTCGGCGACTTAATTTTCGGTGCTGGTTTGTAGTAAGGCCCCAACTTGACTCGCCGTTTGTGTGGTGCATAATCGTGATTGTAAAATGGTCATTTTGTACAACAGGACTGTGGTTACTGATTGTGATAATATATACTTCTGTGCTGGGAATTGAATGTGAAGAAAGTTCTTTCACGCCGTTTCCTGTATATACCTAATCGAGTTAACTACTTCTGAGGCAAGTTACCTAATTTATACTAATTACTACTATCATCGAGTAGCTCATATATGTTCATTTTGCTTGATGACACGAACGAAATGCATCATCAATCTGCCTATCATCCATTAGATGATTCATGTTTTTCTTGTAGAGAATGAGTTCATGTGTTTTTCAGATGCATTTCCATGATTTCTCACACACTATAAAGAATCCATGATGACTAGCTTGGCGTTAACATTGGATAATGTAGACGGAAGCGAAAATACTGAACAAATTAGTAAATTATTTCCAAAGTGTAGACCACGAAGTGATATCAATCTCAATCCAATTATTTCTCTGGGAAGAAACGATGATAACGTCGATAATACCCTCTCAGCTGCAATGAATAACGAAAAAGACAATGAGAGGTACCTATCATTACTATCATAATTTAATCAACTTTTCAAGGCTTGAAACTTATTCAGTCAATTTAAGAACAATTATGTAGACGTCTGTGAGTCATGGCTTGGATCAAATTAAATTCGCCAATCCAATTGCTAACACGCATACCCAACCAAACACGCGTGATTTAACGATTTCCTAGGGCACAAGTTGTACAACTTTCTTTATTATAGGGGGATTAGATAGATGTGCGATTGTATAAATAAACAAATGCGGTGAACGATTCCCTAAATTATTTTTTTTAAGAGAACTATTTTGTGTCTTTCCATTGAGAAATTTTGCGCAGTTTTCGTCTGCGGTAATCTCAATACCAATTCAATTTTACTGTAATATTTAGGCACTATCCAAGATGGGGGAGCGTGCAAGTATATTTGCAATTAATTCATGTCTTGTTAAAATTCCACTTTATGTAAAGAATGTGTATTATTCTGAAAAACCCATTAGATAAACAACTTATATGGAAAGCCCATAGTTCCAAAAGCAGGTCTTCAAACGTGCTTCATTGCAGGGTTAAACTTTTACCAAATCTCAGTCCCCTTTTAGCGCACAACGCAGGGGGTGGATTTACGAATTATCTGATTAGACTAAAGCCTAGAAATTTATCACGACTGAGAAATCTTTTTGCTCTGAAACGAATTTGTTTATTCTCAAATCGCGTTACTTCAAATAGTTATAGGTAATATTTGCACCACGGAAATGTCTATCTAAGTAAAAATGCTATATTGTTTATATTAAAATGTTATACAGAACAAAGAATAAATGAAATCCAGTAAAATTAAACCAAAAAACACGACCATGTGAGGATTATTGTGTTTCATTTTTTATGGAGTGTGAAGGGATTTTATTTGAAAAAATCCGTGATGCGGGAAGTATATACATTTTAAGAAATCAGATTCTGTAAATTATTGCAACCTTGAAATTTTATTGCCATTAATTATGTTTACATCATTGTATAAATGTTGGTAATTTGTCAATTCCGAAATTGTTTCAGCTCAACTGCACCACACGTATTTGCGTTTATGAAAAGCATCTGTTTCGAATAAATATTACCATAAAGGGTGGTGGCATGCGCGAGTTTGATTTTTAATAGAACCAGCTATGTTTAAAATTTAAAAAAAGTAAGACATTTTTTTAATGAAAGGACGGGCGCAATTTTTACAAATTGTTGATATAAATACGTTAAAAATTTCCATGCTGTATGGACATTTTCCCAGTCATAACTTCATCCGAAAGTTTCGCTCGACATTTTGCGTGGAAATATAATTTTTTAGACAACAGAAAATATTTCAAATATGAAAAGTTTTAAATTCAGATTTGTCATGCACGCTCATCCCCTAAGTAAATAAATTATTTGCTTTGCAAACTATTAACTTTATGTGTTTAATGCGAAATACGAACAGGCCTAACATTTTTGGAGAATTTTTTTTTAATTTCCAATTTTTGCGATTTTTAATTTTGTTTAGTTTTTCGATTTCCTCATTTTAATCTTTTTCTTCGCTGCCCATATACGTAGGGAATTGCTACAATCGCAAAAATTGGTGCAATTTTGAATATTCACATCGCGATCGAATCGATTGTCGTTTTTTTGAAGCCACTTTCCTTGTAGTCAGGGAGACATTTCTGAAAAAGGCTCTCTAAATCATGTCTAACGGCGTTTTGTGCTACAAACTGGCAACAGGCGGTTCTAGACTAATTTGACCCCGCTGAAAACGATGCGCCCTGTTGCCAGACCCGATTTTGACATTTAAGCCCTTAAATCCAAGATGGCGGCCAAAATTGCCGTTTTTTCGGTTATTTCGAGCCCACAAGGCAGCCAGAGCCACTGAACGTTTTTGGTAGTTTAAGGGTAGAATAATATCTAGTACACACGACGACACCATTTAGGCACACTTTCGTATTCATATTAAGGGCGTAAATGCCTAAACTCCGCTTTAAAACGTCAAAAATGCAAAAATTCATCATTTTTTTTCTTTCTGACCGGTTGCCGACGTCCAATATGCATTTATATGGTCAAGTTAACATATAAGTACATATGTGGGGACCTCCAGCAGCGTCATATGCCTGGGGCCTAAATGTCAAGATGGCGCCTGGAAAGTCCAAAAACAGTGAAAAAGTCGTTCTTTTTGCCGTAGTTTTACTGCACTGGCCACTCTTTACGTTCGCTGTTCATTTTGGTGTTCTGGAACATTATTATGAGTAATTGCATTCCACCCCCACGAGAGGGGGGTGGAATTAACATCTCCAACCGAACGCAGTCGCGTGTTGTTGTGCATCTTCGTCGGCGCCGCTCCTGAAGTTCGTCTATGTCGCTTCGATTGCGTCTTCCAGCTACGATTTAATATTAAAAGTCAATTAATTTTACATAATGTAACTAAGATTACATTCAATGAAGATATTTTTTAATGTTATTGTATAATTGTCATCGTTTTTTCCCCATGCTGCCTTTCAAATTTTGCATTGTGTACTTCTAAAATATTTTAACAAGTTTTATTCTGTAATTTCCTTAAGCCAGAAGATGACCGTTGGTCGAAACTAGACGCAGCGTTTACAATTTGTCTATTAAAATCGAGATTAAAATAGGTATGGGGAAGGTTTTGTGTCTTTTTGGGATTTAACCTGGGATTTAACGACTCACTCTAACATTTACATTAACATTAAGCTCGTTCATACTCATTTAACATGATATCACATTACATTTTAACGCATGAAGATGCTCTATTCAAACGTTAGGCCACACCTCTACTGATCGTAGAATGGTGCTCATGTCTTCTTTCGCGGTGATGACTTCCATTTGACTGTTTCAGTTTTTCCTAGGCCATTCAGCATGAATCATCCTCTGGTGGTGATTTTAACAGTACCTAGTCCTCGACCTAGTCCATGTGTAATATGCCGAAAACAATCCAGAGAGAAAACGTCAGTGCTTCAAGAGACAACGTTTAACTCTGTAACGTTCTTATTCTTGCATAATACCTTCTTGTTCTTCATAGCTCAATATTCTATACAGTTTCGACTGCCAAGTGTTACGTTTTAATTTAAAAAAATCAAAGAAAATTTGAGAAGCATGTTTTAATATATTTGCCGTCAAATTACGCCGCCAAACCAACTTCTGCCTCTTGGTTCCAGAGTTAAAGTTTATAGGAGACGAGTCCCCACTTCCGCAGTTAAGCCCTTCAGTTGTGTAACATCCAGAATGATATTCGCAATTCTCATATTATGGCTCCAGGCCATCGAAATGGGGAATGTGTGGCCAGTGTAGTAAAAATACGGCTTTTTCACTGTTTTTTGGACTTTCCAGGCGCCATCTTGATATTTAGGCCCCAGGCATATGGCGCTGCTGGAGGTCCCCACATACTTAAATGTTAACTTTACCATATGAATACATATTGGACGCCGACAACCGGCCAAAAAAAAATGACGAATTTTTGACGTTTTTAAACGGAGTTTTGGCATTTAGGCCCCTAATATGAATACGAAAGTGTGCCTAAACGATGTCGACATACGTCGACTAGATGATATTCTACCCTTTAAACTACCCAAAACGTTCAGTAGCGTGCCTTGTGGGCTCGAAATAACCGAAAAACGGTAATTTCACCCGCCATCTTGGATTTAAGGGCTTAAATGCCAAAATCGGGTCTGGCAACAGGGCGCATCGTTTTCAGCGCGGTCCAATTAGTCTAGAACCGCCTGTTGCCAGTTTGTAGCACAAAACGCCGTTAGACATGCTTTTTTCAGAAATGTCTCCCTGACTATTGTGGAAATAAACATTTTGCCGAGCATTTTTCTTTCTTGTGTACTTTACAGTAATGAAAAAATAAAAAAGCCGGTATTTTAGTACTACCTTTTTCTACCTATACGATTATTTGTTTTGATGGTGTTTCGCTAGTCGGCATCAAGATTGGTGAAACGCTCGTTTAAAAGCTAAACAAGCGTAGATTGTTTTATTGCAATGACTAATTAGCGGCAATAGTCCACAAATGTAACCCTCCTTCCTTTTTTGATCTGGTGGTTTTGCCGGTAAATGCGAGCAATTTAGCCCTTCATACTTTTTTGATCATTTTCAAAACAAAATTATTAATTTTATAATTTTTCTCGTTAAGAAGATGAATGTGCAAAACTTGGTTTCCTTAATCTTGCCTAATTATTATTATGTTCTAGGATCAATATTTTGCATTGGAGTTTAATCTCGTGTTGGGACGTCAATCTGCCGAAAGAAAATCGAATAGATTTTGAAATTCTTTTTGAGTGTTCAACTGCCAATAATATTCCATTGTCGGTTTTATCTTACTTTGTTGAGTGGCGAGATAGTGGGAACTGTCTGTGCGTATATGCCAGGTTTATTTGTGAAACGAGTATCTTATCAACTATTATATGTTCAGCTTGTATAGACAACTATAAATTCAGCGCAAGTGTTTGTTTAGTGCGGAAATATGTTTTATGATTATGTAAGTTGCATAAATAAGTTGTGTAATGACGCAATTGTTTTTCAATCAACGTGAACTTTTAAATCTTCAATAAGCCCGTTTTTGTGTTGACAATTTTTTTTTCCATTTATTCGACTCCATCCCCTTCTCATGTCGCGTCTCATTCTATACCCCTGTGGGGTTGTAAGCTTCTTCTAACTCGGTCTTCCATCGGTTTCAGGTATATTTCCTTTCTGCTTTTCTATAGATGATCCTTTGATATTTGCATTAGGTACCTGAGTTCAGCCAATATAATTATTATATGTTTCAAGCCTTGCTCAAATAATTGTGTATTGTACCTCATGCTGAATTTTGTAGATGGGACGGCTCCTGCAGCGATAGTAAAGAAAATGTGAGCCCAATCCATTCCACAGACGACGACGATGATATAATTATCGAAACTGAATATATGGGTGATGCGTACAAATTACGCGATTCCAGGTTTTTGAAATTTTCTCTCGCTGTTTTGTAACGTAATATGTCAAGTTTTATAGGATAATTGAAATAGCCGGAGGACGTGAAATTTATTCTCAAAGCAGGAGTAAAGCAGTGCGAAAATCTCGTAGCATCACTGCCAGTGATGAGAATGACAGAAGGAAAAACAATAAATCTCCAATCAAGCAAGGCGTGTGGGAATTGCGAGGAAAAAGTAATATCCCTGCCCGCCTCCGAGGAAACTTAAATTTTACTTTTTAGAAATTTGTTCCGTTAGACAACCCGATTGTGATCAAAAATCTAATGCTCAAGAAAATGAAAATATGATTAGTCCTAGTGGTAGTATGTCTCATGGGGAAATAGTAATTTTTGATGATATTGGTGATGAATGGCAAGGGGAAGGCAGACTGGAAGAGGAGCATGTCCTACAAAATTCGACAGATCTATTCAGTGCAGATCTCCTTGAATCAGATCGTGTTGCCAAGGTGATTGGCAGTTTACCTATCGCCGTCTACGAAGGGTCACCAAGAAGGTACGGTCCTCGTCCAGTAGAGACCGGTACACATCCACAGCTTCCAAGTGCACAAAGTTTATTAGCCTCCCCCAGTGTGTATCCACCTCGACCCGGTTTTCCACAAAGAATTGTATGTACTCCGAGTGATATTGAGCAAGTTTCCATAACGGATACTACCCACTTTAGTGTAAGTCTGTGCAAGTCATAGCGTGTGATATACCTTCCAATAATTACAGAAATCGAAACCTCTCTCTCCATCTACAGCAACTCCTGCAACAACAGCCGCATTTGATTATTTATACGAATTTTCCGAAACTAGAAAAGTATTAGAAGAGTTTTTCAAATGTCCTCCTCCAGAGGAAGAGAATCCCTTGCAGTCAGAATTTCACGACCTAGACTACGAATTACGACTGCAGAGTACAGATTCTGGAAATTCGTACGTCGGTCAAAGATTAGCAAAGGGTCGTCCTGATCAGTGTGATTTTGCTATTAGGATCGATTCTCCAAAAAAACATTCCAATCACACCCACATTATGACATTACAAGTAAGGCAACCAACTCAAAAATTAGTTCCCTTTCTGACACTCTTTTTAGGATCAAGATATGGAGCATGAAAATAATTTTCTAGATTTATCCATAGGTACCGGATCAAGCGGTGATCTTGGTGAAACAGAGGTAGGCTTACAAGTAGGTCAGAGTCGTAATTTTACTCTCTCCCCAGAAACGACCGATTGCGATTCTAACTGCGGAGATCTGGACAGCGAGGTGTCTCTTATGTTAATGGAAAATGAACTGCCCACCGTAGGAATACTCGGTAATGGTTAAGATATTTTACTTAAGAGGTTAAACATTTTTAGCTCTCAATTAGGAACGGGTGGTGATGTAGGCATTGTTAGTGATTCTTCAAGACTGTGTTCGAGTATGCCAGTGTTAGAGGACGGTCTATCGTCGGGACACGCGAGCGATACCGATAACAATAATCCGACTGTTGTGCTTGTGAAACGGCAAATCACGGATGCTGAGAGAGAACTTAATCAAAGCATCAATAAAAATATGCAAGGACTCTCCAAGCCAATCGAAAATGGTTTATCTCCGTCTCGAACGATTGTCGATGTTGTCAATGTGTGCACTAGTTATGAAGACGTTCTCTCGCAAGTTGATTCGTTAGGTTTGTAACACCTTGCGTAAGCGGTGTTGTAACATTTTTAATTTAGTTGAGAAGACACCACCTCCGCCTGCTCCGGTACCACATCGTTTCGCTGCCGGCGAAAAACCTGATGACGTAGAAGCCGCCATTAAGGATATAAGATTAACGTTGCAGAGAACAAAAACATTACCATTTACGTCTTGTGCAGAGGAAGAACGGGAAATCAATACTGTTAGTCCAATTTGGGTACCCAGGTAAGCTTTTAACGCACCATCTAAGCAGCTTTGCACGACCATTTTAAATTTCGGTTTTAACGAAAGACCACTAGAGAAGGTAATTGCCTGGATAATATTTTTATTAATTTTGATACTACATCAATCAAAACTAGAGTACCTGAAACCGGTCTCTCTGACCACTTAGGACAGACCATTACAATTCCAAAAATTTGTTTGGAGTATATAAATGACAACAAAATTGTAAATACTAGTTTTAGACCAATCACTGCCAAAGGATCATACCTGCTTTATATGTTGCTAACTAGCTGTAATTGGGACTTTCTCGATTCGCATGAATTAAGTTGTGATATACCTAATGTTTGATACATTTTTAAAAAAATTTATAGATGCCTTTGTAGTTGCATTTCCTTTTAAAAAATGTTATGTTCGATCTCGCGATAATAAGGTCGTGTGGTTCAATGAGAAATTAAAACGCATAAGAGATCGAGTGGCTTTCATCAACGATGTTTATTGAGTTGATAAATGCTATTTTGTACAACGTGAAAAAAAGCGACTTCGTATGGAATATAGGTATGCCATCAAAACTGCTAAATGTTTAGCGAATGACAATTTTATTAGTAATTCAAGTAATCCTGGCAAAGCCGCTTGGCAGGTAATCGATTCATTCAGAACAAAGCCTAGGAACAAGACAAACATCAGCATTGATGCAAACACGTTTAATAGTCACTTCGTATATCCCCAGAATGCATTAAATTCTGATTCTCGTACTACACTCAGTCATGTCAATTCATATAAAGCTAATACTTCTTTAAATCCTAAAAATAAATTCAGTTTTCACAAGGTCAGTGAAACCGAGATTCGAGATATAATCAAAACAGTATGAATGTTATTAAAAAGAACATTAGTTTGTTTGTGAGTCCTTTAACGAAACTTGTTAACATGTCTATCTGGACAGGAGTCTTCCCGAATGCGTTGAAATTTGCTTTGGTTACCCCATTGTATAAGAAAGGTGATCATACCAAACCCGAAAACTATCGAGCCATTTCTATTTTACCAATATTCTCAAAAGTCTTCTTTTGTAACAATTTTAGCAAAACATACTCTAGATGCTACTTTCTCACAAAAGAATTTTCTGAATTAATTCATTGATATCTAATTAGCAACGATTGGAGGTGTCATAAGAGTAGACGTCCTAAGAGTTAGTGCCTTAAATCAATTTATTGATCAATAGTTTTAACGCTTACTAAATTTTCAAGTTTCTAATTATTAGGTACTCCATTGATAACTCTACAGTAAAGCTCGCACCTTCAATGATCGCCAATTAATTATCAACTTATTACGCTAATGAACAGAAATTGATTTAGCAATACGCTTTTCTCCACACTAGATTTATGATATAATAATAGCACTCCTATAAATATGGTTTAAAATGGCTCAAAATGACTATCTCAGAATATTTTGAATATTTGACAATACAGTCAATAAGATGAATTTATCTAGGATATATATAACCTCTTCTAAAAGTTTTAGGCTAACTCTAACCACCATTTCGGAAAGACTGCAATATTCTCAGAATCGTTTACTACATTTAATGATACTGCTTTAACATTCGTCCTTCCACGCAACAAATCTCATTATTTACGAACATTTATATTTAACTACAAACATGGTTACACGAGGATTGACTAACTCTTGTTGCATGCATTAATGCATTTGACATTGAACTCAAAAGTTTAATTCTTATTCTAACCCTTAAAACAACAGAATCTGTTTGGAAAAATTACAATTTTAATTAAGGGTAATCATTTTCATCTGCCTTTCAATCTCTTCCACTTCTACTTCAAGTTTTGGTAGTTTTTGCAAAAGTGTACCAAATGGTCTAGGGATCAGTGTTGGGATAAGTATCGGAGCACAAAGCTGAAATGAGGAGTGTTGTATCATAATTGTACAGAAATGTTCGCATATTTACGTAAGAGGTCAATTTTCGATATGCCACAATCTTCTTCAGTTGAGCCCAGTTATTAGATTCGATTACACTATAGACTTTTTGAAGTCCATCTGAAAGCACCAAACATCTTTTGTGCACAAATGTTTTAAAGTACTAAAAAATAAAGAATTATTTTGGGAGTTCCGTTTAATGTTACTCATACCAAAACATCTTCTTTAGGTCGGAAGAGAGGGTTGTCATAATCATCAAGGTATGCGAAAGGATCGCAATCTTGCTTTCGGCATACAAGGCAATTGAACATTTCAGTGTAATCTGTTTGAAGTATTGCTGCTCGTCTTACCAAAGTGCAGCACAATGAGCAAACGAAGAACTTGTAGCTCTTGAACATTACCTAAAAGTACATCGGATAAAATTGTGTTGGTCGCAACTGAAGTATCTACCTTCAAAAGTGCTCTGAAGCTGAAGTTGGGTCTGTACAACAAAGCCATATATCTGACTGGAACAAGTTTTACTGGTCTTTTACAGACACTGCAATGTAAATTATCCAAATCTAAAACATGTTCAAAAACGTCAGTGTTTGGGAAAAATGTTGAGGTTATGTCCATTAGGTACCTCTACTAAATTTGTCTATGCATTTTAATTTGGGCAAGTTTTAGGCGTTCTACTTACGGATGAAGTTTATTGAAGGCATTTTGAGCTCGTTATTATCTTTTCTGGCTAATGGAGAAGTGGAATTTCACAAATAATTAGAGATAAATAGAGAAATTTAATTTCTAGCGACAGACGTATGATGTAAATATTTTTTTGTTTTCGCCTACTAGATTTTAAAATAAATTTGAATTTGAACAAAAGAACGCGCCAACGTTGCCAAATCCACTTTTTATTGTGGTAGGATTACTAGCTCTCCATCATTCACATAGACATTTGCTGTTATGTTGAGTGAACCTTAGTAGTACCTAATGGATGAAGAAAGCGTTGTACACAATTTGGTTGAAGCATCTGTAAGTTGTAAGGACGTGGTATAAGTCGCAATCTAATTTTGACGTTTAGTATTGAAACAGTTACGTTATACCGGTTGCCTAACTTCCTACTTGTATTACGCCCAAACCCGCTACAGTAAGAGATAATTTTATTGTCTACCATGGAGATTTTGGAATGCGGGCGGAGTTTCTGCCCAATACAACCCACTTGTAAAAAACTTTCTTGTAAGGACTGATATTCCAGGTATCCGTTTGGTCATATTCGACATCCAATAACCCCTAAACCAAGTTCACGAGCATTATAAGGTGATCTAACTCATTACTAATTGCGCGTAGCAGCTGGTCATGCTTTCGAGCGCTAATGTAATCTATCCTTCTTTTCAGTTTTGTAAACAAATTGGAAAAATGTCTACCTTAGATTGGTGTCCCCTTAAACGAGGGTTCAAACAAAATTCTGACATTGACGAAAGTTCGTGTCTTGGTAGCGTTGAACAAAGATCCCAAAGAGTATATGTATGCTGTGCGTCGAAATACATAGTTTTACATCTGTGGATATTTACTTTGTTGGTACATTTGATCTTTCAAAACCTAGTTTTGGGTTTGTACTTTATTCATCTTGAAAAATCTCTTTGTACCAAATTTCGCTGAGGTAGACATTTTGGCCCCTACTACCCAATTTTAATTACCTTATTAGTTATCCTTATAACAGTGGTAGTTCTACTCATGTACATCAAAATTTCCCATGTAATCCGCTTTGAAAAATACAATTATTAGAATCCTGACGTTCGACAATGTGTACAACATGGAACGTAAGAATAATGGAATGCATACTTTCACCATGGTAAAATGCCCTTCCACAGAAGAATTGTAGATTAAAGTTATGATCAATTTTGCTTGGGGATTAGTTGTGTAAAGGTTGTACTTTCACACAGGGCCGGACTGGCCCAGCACACTAGGCCGCCCGACCGGCCGGGCCCTTTTTGAGTCAGTCAATTTTTGAAGCATTAATGTTTGTAAATGTTGAGCGTATTGTTAGTTTAAATTTGGAGAAGGATAAATTAATTGATAAATTTGCCAATACATCATTGGAATTACAGCGCCTTCTCCTTTAATTTAATGTTCAATACTGTTCAATAAGTTGTTTGAAATACAATTAAAAAAATCTGCAAATCCCTTGTCTTCTTTTTGAGTTTGGGGGCCTTTTGGTCATGGAGCGCCCGGGGCCCTTATCCACCCCGTCCGGCCCTGCTTTCACACAAAGGAATGTATACAGCGTATCCCACCGAAAATGCAAACTGTCTATATCTCAAAAAGAAACCTTAGAATATTTTGAAAAATTATACTAATGTCGGTAAGAGAAATTAATCTAAAATGTTATCAAGTTTGGGGCACTTCAAGTTACCTATACCAGAATTTCATGCATATTATCATGTACCTAAGGTTAGCCGTTTTTGACATATTTTAAAAAGAATTCGCACTTAAAAAACTTAGTTTTAACGATTTTTTCAATCTTCAATGTTATTTTGGAGTCCCCTGTATTCATTTATAATCAAAATATCTGTACAGTTCATACCGAAGAGGTACCTCTTCTATAGGGAAACCAGCCCTAATTAAATAACAGCTGTCATATAGAACAATTTGAGATTGAAATGTGATTTTTTACAATATTAAAATATGCCAAAAACCCCTAATTTAGGTGAAGGACATTATACGTGGTATATAGCTTTTTAGGTAGAATCTAAAACTGAAATAATATATATGAATGTTCCATTTGAAATATGCAGCTTCCGTTATAACCAGAAGTATTAGTATACTATCAAATTTCCGTTTTGAGATATAGATAGCCAACGTTAATCGTGGGACATCCTGTATAAGTAAAGTGAGAGGAAACTTTGGGCGTTTAGGGCTACGAAAAATGATCGATCTATCGATAATTTTCGATATATACAATATACATTGATAATTTTTGCAACCATATTCGGGATGTACAAAAGGATACTGAAAAAATTAGGAGTTCCTTTTACATGAATTTACTCTTTGCCACAGGTGGTCATTTTCATAATAACAAATTAATCTTCTTTCGAAAAATTCCCCTAAAAAAACAAAGGGATGGTGTTTTAATTTAGCATTTACTTCTGAGAATGATCATGATCGCAAGTGTTAAGGTATCATCCTCCCACAAGTCATGGACTTGTTACAGAATTTCTAATAGTGCTAGAAAAAGTAAAAGTAGTGCTAGCTGTAGAGCTTATAGTTCAATCCGGAAATGAAAAATGGTGGTGTTAACGGTTGTACGATTATGTTTTTTAATTCTTACAGTACTTGTGAATTAATGCTTTGTATATAATTTCAGACAACGTGGACTTTCGGCTACAAGTGGAGATTCAGATCGCAAAGTGCAAAGTGGCGAAGAGGGTGGAGATGAAGGTAAATGCAACATACATAGTATTATGCGTACAATATAATTTTTACTAGATGAAGCGGACACAGATTTGGAGACTGACCGATTGCTTGGCCAACAGCGTACCGACGACCAGGGGTTTTACGACGACAAGGTAATAAACTACTATTAGCGAGTGTTAGGGACTGTTAGTTGCTAATGTTAATAAATGCCAAAAAGGAAGATGAATTGATTAGCTAACTAGCGTATATATGTCGATAGGGTTGGAGAAAACCTAAAAGTCGGACAGTTATGCCTTCACATAGTCTTTCAACTCCTAAGCATATGCTTAACCTTGATGAAGGAACAATTCCCTTAGTCCTCTCTGAACCAACCTCTCGTCCTTCTTCACCCGCCGCAGAATCTGATAAAAGTCAGTCTCCACAAAGCCAGAAAGGATCTACTTCCTCCATTAAACCTAAAAAGGTGTGAACCCAGCATGTTGTGGTATACTGTAGATGCTTAAACCCTGTTATTCAATTAATATAGCGCTGTACAATAAAATATATGCATGTTAGCAGTCTTTTAACTCGAATGGGCAGTTAAAGTTGCATGGATAGCTAGAAATATTAGAACCCAAGTGGTGAAATTTTCGGTAAATTGTAGACTAAAATATGAGAAAATTAATTCACGTTTAAAAACGAAATTGCAAGTTGGGAGCAACAAAATTCTGTGTATTTTTTTTAAATTGCCAATTATTTGTGCTAAGGGTGTACGCAAAATCGGACACTGAAGCCACTCTGTGATCAAAGTAACCATAAGTAAATCTGTCCATGGATTTTAAATCAGCCTTAAAATATCGAAATTAAACTAAACAAATCCATGAACCTAGTACTCCAATCGAACTACTTTTTAATTCCCTTGTTAAATAAAACTAGATTTTAATGTATGGCTTAAAGCATGTTTGTTAAAAATACTTAGTGATTATTAACAACTAGAATAACGGAACTTAGTTAAACAAAGCACCTAATAATGTTCAGTATATTAACGTAATTTAATTTTGTAGGACAAAGAAGCTAAAAAGAAGGGGCGCAACAAGGAAGGTAAGTTTATTTGTTAGTTGTACAGTGATCATGTTTAATAATTGTATTGGATTTGCTAACCTTGCCGGCTTTTAATTTATGGTAAGTGCAAGTCGGTGTAGCTTTATTCTCTGACACTGTCGTGCCAAATTACGATCAGCATGACAGAATTTATAATTGATTGTTGAAAGAAAGTTTGCAAACTAAACGTACTGTGATGAGAATAGTAGATTACGGCTAGGCTGTAGTGTGCTAATGTTATGAACATCGGCTATACACTTGGAGTTTGCATGAGTGGCAAATTGCTGATCATTTTAAAGAGGTTATTTGATAAGCGTGTTCTTAATTTTCTTAATTAAGGTCAACAGCAGTTATAACGGTTTTCTCTCTGGAAAACTGTAAAAGTCCTGTCACACAAAATGGTGACACGATCCTCATGTTTTGCACTTTTCATTGCATGATACAGCTCTGAAATTCTACAAATAGGTCTTTTGCTTGCGCATGACAGATGGCTGCCCTATGCAGTGCATTACCTGAATGTATCACGTACTAACGTCATATAATAATAAGTTTATGTGTACCTTTAATGAAAATAAATTTGCTCTCTTATATAGTACATTTGGGAAATATTGCAACTACAAGAGCAACATTTGATTTATTAGGGTATTTATATGGTGTTCGGTTAGTCACATAGGAACTTACTTAAGGACTAACCTTTACGGTCAATTTTTATTTGCGCTTAATAAAAAACGAACAGAAATGGAATTGCACCTTTATATGAAATATCACAATTTACATTAACACTAACAAACAGGGAAATTTTGTCGAAACACTCAACACTCAACGAATTTGTAACAATTTGCTTTTAACTCATAGTTTAATACTTCTCATAATGTATTCAATCTTCTCGACATTTAAGTCAAATTGAATTGCTTTAAAGAGCGGCAATGGGCTCATGTCAATAGGTCTGGGAATTCTTCGTGGGAACTCTATCGGGATACAAACCTACAAGAATACATTGCATAATAATTGAGGAATGGTTTGGTAACAGTATTACCGCCGAGAAAGCCATTTCGTATTCAATAATGTAGAACTCGTCTATTAGGCCTTCTTCAATAATGTATTCCACTTCATCTACAAAACACCAGTTGTTTAAGTTGATGGCGGAATAGATATCCTGTAATCTTTTACAAGCTTTGATACACCGACCATGTACATGTTGTCGTATTATAATTGGCTCATAACAGTCTGAATATGACCAATCATACATCATGCAGGAGCCATAGGGAAAATAGTAGTCTTCCCTGCATAAGAAGCAATAGCAACGGCGTTCGTGATAACATCTTGTGAAACTCGCTAATACATCCTCATTACACGGTTGACATATCAGAAACTCGTAGTTTTGAAACATAAGCTAAACATGGGCGTAATTAGTGTAAGACTGGAATTAACAGAAAAAATTACCTGCAGAAGGTTGTTTAGGCTGAAATCTGGGTCATACAAGTATCTTCTAAATCGAATGGGTACCAAGTCAACTTGCTGGTTGCATATTACACAAAATGCTAAAAAACAAATCAAAACAAAGTTGAATATTCTTATGACAAAGATTTAGTAATTAAAAAGTCCAATCCGCCAAAAAAATGCAGTAACATTGGTTATGTCTTTAAAATTGGATAGGTGTTCTTATATTACGCACATAAACGATGAAAATTGTACTTACCAGCAAGATCTCTGTTATTCATTTTATGAGAAGTATAAAATTGAAATTATTGTGAATTATTACAAAGGTGCCTCTTAACTTGCTTTTAAAGAGAGGTTAAGATTATATTATATAGGGTAGATACCTACTTTTTTTCAAGGCTTTTATGATTAGTGGCGCCAATAGCGTAATTTGACATTTGACAGTATTATGCTTATTTTCCGGGTACTAATTGGTTCAAGCAAACAAGGCCAACTGTGGTCTGTGGGGTTTATCTACAAAGGCCGTTCTGAGACCGTGGTAATTAGTGCCGTAATTATCGAGCACTTGTCTGTTAGACCAGAACTAGTCTCCACATCCTGTAGAGTGCATTACATGAACAGGGTGCTATACGAACCACCTCCATAGACTCTCTTGGGTGTGTCTCCATTGCATCTTCATGTGCAGGATCAGGTCCCGAGGGTAACCCTTTCACTGAAAATTTTTTGAATGAAACACCCTGTATGTGGGTCCAAATTCTAATTTACAGAAAGATCCTTTAACTATACTATTGTCCTTTAACTTTCATTAATAATGTCATACCTATACAGGGTGTCTTAAATTGAATAGGATAGCATCGCTATCTATTGATATTATACTTACAGATTCGGTTAAATTGGCAAAGTTGTGTGCAGTTTTTGGTGCTGATAGATATTCCGATGCGATATTTTGAAAAAATAATTCGTTTCGTAGATAATTGGAAAAAAGAAAATCACCATTTTTAAAAAGTTCAAATATTTTAGTAACAAAGAGAGCTATTGAAAAAATTTCAAATAAAAATTGCAAGATTGGATGGGATTCAATGGTTGTCATTTTCTATATTTGTTCCAAGTTTATTGATTTTGTTAAAGCATGACACAAAAATATATAAGGTGTTCCATTTAAACAAACAGAGATACACAAGTCTGACATGTTGTAATTGCAGATCTATATAGAAAATACCTTAATTCTAAATAACCTTTTAAATATTGAATAAAAACATTTTCATCTGACTAAATTTGAAATACAATAGGCAAAGGCTTATTGCAAATGTGATTTTTTTTAATTACTCGAAATCTTTTTCGTTGGTTTTACATGCATTAAAAAAGACGTAGAATTTCATCTAGAATTAGAATTTGGAACCAGATATAGGGTGTCCCATTTAAAAAATGTAACTTTTGATCCCCTACTTTGTCATTGCACCCTGTATAATTCAGAATATTTTTAAAATATGCAGAATACTCTACCATATTAACATACAATTGTTCAATCTCGATACATCTTTCCATAATAGCACTTGTTGGCTTACCCTGTACATTATTCACACTATACGCTAAACATATTACCATTGACGTTAAATCATTCTCAATATGTGTCAATTCTAAAGCGTAACAGCACTGTCGATATATTATTGATTGTTTTGAATTGCTGACATAGTAAAGATATGAGCTTGAAGACAGAGATAACTTAGTAAATGGTTGGAAAGTATGGAAATATTTCTTGTAGACTTTACAGTTCTAGAACCCTATATTGTTAATTTAGTTAGAGGGCATAAATGAAATATACTTGCTAATAAAGTACCTACACCATTTTCCTAATAATTAAATTTCAGAAAAAATTCTACTGTCACAATTGCTGTCGCTCTTGTTAACACTTCCACCATAATCTGTGTCTTCTTGTTCTTGCTTTTCAGTTGGTTGAATAACACTTAGTGGGAGGTTTCGTTGTACCACTCGCCTGTTATCAACATCAACATTGTATTACGCGAAGTGTTCTATGAAAACATTTCTGTAATTTTGCTGGTGGTGGCACCCTTTGTCCTATGTGGATAATTTGTTTAAGGGAATTATTTTAAAAACCAGTAATAAAAATCACATTTTCATATTGCACCTTTATTACGAAACATCACAATTTATAGCAAGATCATCGGAAAATGTTATATAATGCACAACTAATTTCAAAAAATTTACTACTATTTTATAGTTTGATATTCCTCATGATGTGTTCGATCTTCTTTACATTTATGTCACATTTAATTGCTTTTATTGGGGGATTGATCTTGTCGATAGGTCTAGGAATTGTTCGTGGGAAACTTATCGGGACGGTAACCTAGAAGGATATATTGTTTAATGTTGGAGTGTCTTGGGAACACATTACCGCGGAGAATGCTGCTTCGTATTTGTCAAGGTAGTAGTCATCCAATAGGTGTTCCTCAATTCTGTATTCCAGTTTATCTATGTAGGTCCAATCTTTTGAGTTTATTGCGGTATAAATATCTTTTAAAATGATGCAAATATCAAAAAATCTATAGTTGATGTATTCTCGCACATTGGAATCACTGTTTCTAAGTATGAAGTTACCATATTCGAGGAAGGAGACGAAGGGAAAATGCCCCGCATCCTTGCGGTCTAAACAGTAGCTACAGTGGTCGTTATAACAAGATCTGGCAATCGCTAATAATTCCTCGCAACACCTCTCGCATACCAGAAACTCATACTTTTGAAATATTCGCTAAACAGCCGTGTAATTAGTATAAAACTGGAAATAACAGAAACCAAATTACCTACAGAAGCTTATCTAGGCTAAACTTTCGATCATATAGGTAGCTCTAAATCGAATGGGGGCCAGTTTAACATACTGCTCGCATACCAAACAAACTACGCAGTCACGAGAATCTAAAAAACAGTTAAAAAATGCTTAACATGATTTACGATTAATAGTAAGTGTCCACTAGCCCTAAAATCGCAAGTTTTGTGGTTATGTCTAAATTGTGTTGGGACCAAATCGATATACTGCTCACAATCCAATTGAATAGTCACTAAGAGCTAAAAAACATTTCAAAAGACACTTAATATTATTGATTAAGAATTTTCAATCTATAATTAAATAATAGCGGGAAAAGAGTAACTTTTTTGGTTGTCATGCCTTGCCCAAGTTAAATTCTTCAAGTACATTTTGACTGAATTAAAGATGTAAAACGTGTACCTACCAATAAGACCATTCTCCATTTTTTGCAAGTAAACAGATTGTAAAATATTAATATATTGTGATATTTTGCACAATTTCGGGTGCCTCTTGTCTTTAAAAAAAAAAGATGAATATGCATACTACCAACATCAATTTTTTTGTAGAACAATAATTTTTAGGGAATTTTTTTTCTAACGTTTTTGATATGTGGTATACCAATACCATAGTTGAGGATATCAATGCTAGCTGAACTTATTATGGGTGCAGTATATGCATCTCCACTTAGCTTTGAGGAGGATTTATCTCCCACTCGTCCCATGTTGGTACAACAAGGTGTGGAAGGGTTTCTAGGGGCAGCGTTGGCGCTGTAGCCATGGTCCCTGTTATGCCTAAACAGGTCAAGCATGATACCGTTTAGTTTAGTTCGACACACTAATGCCTCAATGGGTAATTTTTGGTGTTAGATCCAATTTCTTTCCAAACATTTATTTACAGTACCCGTGAATATTCCTGTTACCCCTGTTTTGTACACTTCTTGTATGATTGGCTCCCCAATATCTGAGAAGGCACCCAATGCGACTAAGTCATTGCTTCACGATGCTTATTGCTCTGTGAAGAGCGTGTTCATAAGACTTCCTGTTTGATATTATTATTGATTAAGAGTTTCCAATTTATAATTAAACAATAGCGGGAAAACGGTAACTTTTTTGGTTATGTCATGCCTTATTCACGTTAAATTCTTCCACGTAGGTACATATTAACTAAATGAAAGGTGTAAAACGTTTACCTACCAATAAGACCATTCTCCATTTTTTGCAAGTAAATAGAACGTAAAGTATTAATATATTGTGATATTTTGCACGATTTCGGGTGCCTCGTCTTTAAAAAAAAGTTTAATATGCATACTACCAACATCAATTTTTTTTGTAGAACAACAATTTTTAGGGAATTTTTGTCTAACGTTTTTTGATATTTGGTGTACTTTTGGTTTATGCTTAGAAGTTTCCAGGCCTAATATAATGCCTTTCGACCATCTCTCTTTTCCATTCAAAAGGGGACCACTTCTTAGGTACAGCAAAAGTCCCCTTTCCTTCACAACTAGGTTCATCAGAGCCCATTCTTCTAAATAAAGGATAGGACGCTGTTTAGCCTAAGTTGCTTCACTCTCCCCTGTGTCAATGTCTGTCTCTGATGAAACGGTTACGGCGACAGATCAAATGGTTGGTAGTTTCCTTCCCACAGAACCTACACATGGTCATCCAGTGCTCCGTTAGGGCACGGATGATCTGCCTTATTTGGCCTCTATTCAGTTTTAGAAGTTTACAAGACCCAGATTTGTTGGAAGGTCTCGTTAAGAAGGTCTTGGACAGTCTGAGTCCAATTGCTTGTTGCCACTGAGCCTGACGTTTATGCTATTTATAATGGCATACAGCCCGGGCTGATTTCGTCAACAACATCATATTATTATTTTTAAAAACTTCAACGAATAAAAACTATATGGGGAAGGTTTAGAGAGTTTTGATCACACAATATCATATTTCGGTGCTGTTTTAGTAGTCCGAGCACCTTTCTTCTGATGTTAGATATTATGATCATCTGGGTAGACCATTCCCCACTCGCCGGTCCATGCTGCTTATTTACTGCTTCCGTTATTTAATGTTGTTTGGTATCTTGTGCTATCATTTGCCAGGTGATCCCTCGCTTCTGTTTCCTGGATATGTGACTGGTAGAGTGAGTTCACCCTTCAGGTAATATGTTCATACTTTTGTTTATATTTTTGCATTAGGGGCTTGTTAGTAAGAAAAATGTTTTACATAAATGGTTATGGTGAAGAACATTTTTGACAAAGAAGCCTATATTTCTTTATATGTAAATTAAACTCTAACTCAGTGTTACTCAAAGTGTGCTCCGTGGAGCCCAGGTGCTTCGTAAAGCCTCAGGTAGGGCTCCGCCGGCAGCCAAAATAAATAGGTACATGTATTAAAGTGGAGCCTATAAGAATAAAGTTACTCAAGATAAAAATAAACAATTTAATGCCTCCCATTAAATGACTTGGTTTTATCATTTGCTTAGTAACTCACTACTTACTCAACTTTTTTTGTATAATTATTAATCAACAAGACACGTATAACTGGTTTTTTTTTAATTTTAAAGCCTATTTGGGGGTATCTTATTGAGTTTCATTCGGATTTGCAACTTATCGTGTCTGACTACACCAAATATTCTGTTGTTCCTGGGGCTGGAATTAATCCTCACTTCTAAATCTAAAATAGTGGTCATGTCTAGCATTATTCTAAAGTACAGTGGTATCTTATTTGGGTTTTGTATGTGTATAAGTCCCAGCCAGGTCTTATTAGACATCACTTCTCAGCTTTTAGACACAAATTATTGAATTATCATTTATTAACCATCATTACAATTTTGTATTGCTGTCTGTCTGTCCGTATGCACGATAACTTTGTGTAGAAACGTCCGATCGCTTTGAAAATTGATACACATGTTCTTAAGGATATAAGAAAGGTCGCTATTATTTTTTGGCTACATAAATTGACGGGCCAAAAACTGCCCAAACCAACAAAGGATTTCTTTTATAATCTTGTTACAAAGAACATATGAATGTCCGGTTTTCTGTGTTAATAAATATTCCTTAAACCTCACGTAACTATGCAGATGAATAAAATAAGATTGCGCATGCGCAATCCAACTGTTGTATTTGCGCAACCCCACTTTTTTTATCTGTTAACATATTTACCTCCAATAAAAGTAAAACTAACGCCGAATCAAAAAAAGCTTGTTTTGCGCATGCGCAATTTCAAATCGAATCGGATCTCGAGGATCGTTCGGTATTCAGTTGTATCTGATTTTTAAATTGCACCTTTATTTATAAATAATATCACAGTGCCGAATGATTAAATTTGAATAATTTATGTAACGAAACAGTGTACATTTAACATTGTTAATCTATGAAAATTTTGAGATTTGCTAAACAACTTTCAATTTTCTTCAAGTCTATCTAGATCTTTATTGGCTTGTTTTCTGGAAGTATATGATAATGGGTCTCGGAATTGATAATGGAAGAATCATTGGAGCGCAAACCTAAAGGATTTAACTGCACAATATTGTTAGGAATGTAGGAAAAGGTTACCGAGGATGTTATCGATTTATATCCTTTAATTTTTTCGATCTTGGACCATTTGTTGGATTTCAAGAAGTTATACATAACTCTCACCTTTTGGGCAACCTGGAGACAGTGTTTATGAATATATTTCCGGTAGTACTGTAATGTGAATATCAGCAATGCTTAGTGGTTGTTATTTATACTTACAATGAGGTGTGGATTTTGATCCTTAAACAGGGGGTTGTTATATCTTTTGAGATAGGCAAAAGGTCTGCGATCCCTTTGTTTACATGTGAAACAAATAAATTTGCCTCTGAAATCATTGCAAACTATCGCAGAGAACGATATTATTGTAGCACACATCGAACACACGAATATCTCATTGTCTGATAATATCTTCTAAAAGCATACATAAGTAATATACAAAAATATCCAATACATATGCGTCTTATTCACCGTGACAAGGTCACTTAGCCTAAAATTTGGTTCGTATAACGTATTCATGAACCGAATCGGTACTAAGCGGACGATCTTCCTGCATACATCACAGTACAAGTCGTTTAGATCTAAAAGAGAGGGACATTGCAACACACATTAATTACTTTTCAAATTATTTGGAAAATTATACTTTTATGGTTATGTCTCATACATTTCACAAGTTAGGTATGCACATGAAAGCAAAGGCAATAACTTATTTTTTACCATAAATGACGATGTCTTCAGTATCCATTAGGTTTTTATGAAAAATTCAGGTTTATTGTAATACTTATTTATTTGAGGTGCCTCTTGACTTTAATAGCAGCAGTGTCCTGTCATTTTGATTTTAAATTTTCGCCTTCATATAATGGCGGTGGCGCTACCGGAAATTAAGAAATTTGTGGGAAATTTGAATATTTCAGTATGAAGTACCTATATCTGGCCACCTGATTTATGTAATTGATTAACTTAAATTTTCACGCTTGGCGAACTGCTTGGGAAATTTGTATTACCACTAAACTGAGATGTAGGGCTGACCGGCCGAGTTTGGTGGAAAGTTCAATTACATAATGTACAGGGTGTCCCAATTTCCACATCTCAATATATATACCGTGTACATAAACCCCGGGAACACTTTAACTTATTTATTGCACAAGAACTAACAATTGTACAGATGTCATATATATCTGAAAGTATGTTTTTAAATTTATAAACATTCAATATGCGAACTATAAGTGATCCAAGAGTTTTCTAAGAGTGGAGGGGGAACCTCTGATTAAAATAGTAAAATAGCATAATATCTGGATTGGAAAAATCAATATGTATTTGTTTAATATTTGTTTCATTTTATTATTTTTTGATTGTTGGTGATCGTGATTTACTTCAGAGGCCACAAAGGTTTCAGCAATTCCAGTTACTGACCATTGGTTAATTGGTGGTAACATATTATAATAGCAATATTACCCACTCCATTACACTGCCACCCTTTGTATTGTATTTAGTCAATTTGTGTTGAAGTACTTTCCTAAGAACCATTAATAAAAATCACGGTTTGGTATTGCACCCTAAGGTTTGGTGCACATGAGCTGCAAAGTAATCCGGACGCCGTTTTCTATTAAGATAGACAGAAAGACGCTGGAAGTAATGGGGCAAGGTATCCGATAGGTACCGACGTCCCTTGTACATTTCCTCGTTACTCCCAACATATTTCTGACTATCTTTGTTAGGAAACAATCTGGGCGTCTCGATTACTTTGCAGCTCATGTACACCAGGCCTTATTATGACACATCACAACATTACAATTTGCCATTTTTTCATATCCTGACAATTCGTGAAATGTGCTATGTCTACATTAATACCAAATTTAATGCCCTTGCTACTCTATCAATATTTGTATTATGTAAACATCTCTGCAACTTTTGGAGCAGGTGGCACCTGGTGTGTGTGGCCAATTTTTTCCAAGTAGGTACATACTCTTTTTAGAACCAGTAATAAATCTCTTTTTCATATTGCACCTTTATTACGAAACATCACAATTTATATTAATATCATCGGAAAATATTGTGTAATGCACAACTAATTTCAAACAATGTACTACTATTTCATAGTTTAACATTTTTCATGAAGTGTTCGATCTCCTTTAAATTAATGCCAAATTTAATTGCTTTTATTAGCAGTAGTATGACCTTGTCGATAGGCCTGGGAATGGTTCGTGGGAAAGTTACCTGAACAGAAACCTGGAAGGGTATATTGTTTAATTATTAAGGAATAGTTTAGGAACGGATTACCGCAGAAAATGCCGTTTCGTATTTGTCAAGATAGTAATCATCCATTAAATGCTGTTCAATCTCGTATTCCAATTTGTCTATAAAGGACCAACCTTTCGAATTTATTGCAGTATAAATATCTTTTAAAACGGTACAAATGTCGAAACATCGATAGTTTATATATTCTCCAGTTTCATATTCAAGGAATCTAATGAGGGGAGAATATTCTTTATTCTTGCGTAGAAAACAAAACCTAGAGTCATCGTTATAACAACGTATGGCAGCAGATAATTTTTTGCAACATTTTTCACATATCAGAAACTCATAGGCTTGAAATATGCGCTAAAAATTTGTGTAATTAGTATAGGACTCGAAATAACAGTATCGAAATTACCTCCAGAAGGTTATCTAGGCTAAATTTTCGGTCATATAGGAAGCGTCTAAATCGAACTGGAACCAAATTAACGTACTTCTCGCATATGACACAAGTTGAATAGTCGTTAAGATCTAAAAAACGATTCAAAAATGTTACATGTTATTTATGAGTATAAAATTTACAACTGAACATTAGCGGGAAAGGGTGACTTTTTGGTTATGTGATGACACTTTCTTCGTACATACAAATAGAATTATAGATGCAAAAGAATACCTACCAATAAGTTCATACTCCATTTCTACCAATTATATAAAATATAATGTATTTTGTGATATTTTGCACATGTAGGTGCCTCTTGACGTTTTCTTTCAAACCGATTAATATGCGTATTACCAACATTTTTTGACATCACATTTTCAGTGATTTTTAAAAATTTTGTGATAGTTGGCACCAATGTAAATAACGTTATAGTGATCATATTTGATGTAACCTAAAACCTCGTACATTGCGGTTCTTAAAGATTTCGGACGCGTTAACACTAAGCAGTTGGGCTGATCATTTTCGAGAATCATTAAGCACCCTCCCAACTTACAGGACTTTTTTTCCCATATTCAGACCCTATAACATTATAATTTTCTTCATGTCCTACAGTTATTCTGATTTTCCTCACTACTAGGTAACTAAAGTTAGTGATCATAACGTCATTATCGTTATGCTGAATGTGTGTTAATAGTTACAGTAGTAGGTATCTTATTTGGACTTTGCACAGCAAATTTTCTAATAAGAAGTTATCTACCGCTTAGCTTTTGGATACGCACGATTCTTGGTTACTTTATCAAAAACATCAAAACGTTTGAACTCCCACATGATATGATAACTGAAAAGTCTTTAACATACAACTTTGATGGGTATACAGATAGGCCATGACTTAGGGATGCAGTGATTAGGTTTTGGGCTTCCTTAAAGCTTTGATGCCTGGATTTATTGAAATAAACATTTACTTAATTGCACCTTTATTTATAAATAATATCACAATTTATCACGAATGATTAAATTTTGAACAATTCATGTATAAAACAGTACACATTTAGCAACTGTAATCAATATGAATGTTGAGATTTGCAAACAAATTTTCTATTTTCTCTATGTCTATGTAGATCTTTATTGGCTTGTCTTCCGGAGGTATATGATCAATGGGCCTTGGAACTGATAATGGAAACATCATTGGAGCACAAACCTAAGATTTCACTGTATAATATTATTGTAAGGGATGTAGGAAAAGATTACCGAAGATGTTATCATTTCATATCCTTCAATGGTTTGGATCTGGGACCATTTGTTTGATTCCAACAAGTTATATATAACTGTCACATTTTCGACCATCCAGAGACATCGCCTATGAAGATATTTTTTGTAATACTGTAATGTGAATGCTAGTAATAGTTATTGATTTTTATTTATACTTACTAGTAAGTGGGAAGTTTGCTTCAATAGGGGGTTCTCATAATTTTGGAGGTAGGCAAAACATCCGAGATCCCTACTGTGGCATACAAAACAAATAAATTTACCGATGAAGTCATTCAAAGCTAGTGCTGAGAACGATATTAATGTAGCGCACATCGAACATAAGAAAAACTCATTGTCCGACAATATTTTCTAGAAATATACATAAGGAATACACAAAAATAAGCAACATTGTCTTACCGTTACAAGGTGACCTAATTCAAAATTTGGTTCACGTAAGATATTCATGAATCGAATCGGTACTAACCGGACAATCCTCTCGCATACTGTACAGACAATGAGGCTTTGACCTAAAAGGAGAGGCACATTTCAACGTACATTAGTTTAGCAATATTTAAAAATTACTGGCATTTTGAAAATGATACTTTTAGGTTATGTCAAGTTAATGTTGTATGCACAAGAAATAAAGCAAATGTAATAACTTATTTTTTTACCATAGACGAGGACGTTTTCTTTATGCATTATGTTAATTATTAAAAATTCTTGTTAGTTGTGATATTTTTTAATTGGGGTGCCTCTTGACTTAACAAACAGTTTCTGTATAATATGGTATATGTATGACTGATTGATGTAAACTTCCGCCGTCATTCATACAATGGCGTTGGCGTTACCGGAAGCGTATGAAATGAGAGGGAAATTCAAAAAATTTAGCTAAAAATTACCATGTGACTGAGCAAGACAAGTTATATGTATACACCTTATGTATAATTATTTTTAGAAGATATTGCGGGACAGTTCTTCTTATATTTGATGTGTGCAACAATGATATGATTCTCTGGGATAGTTTGTTACGATTTCACCAATCAATTTGTTTGTTTTGTATGCCCCCAAAGTGATCTCAGACATATGGCTTACTTTGGAAATTAAAAGCGCCCTATTTACACCTAATGAAGTACAATCATTAAGCAATAAGCGTTGATGAGATTCACTACTACCGGAAATATCTTCATAGATGTCTCCAGATTACTCAAAAGGTGGTAGTTATATATACCTACCTAACGTGAAATCTAAGAAATAGTCCCAGATCGAAAGAATTCAAGGATGTTTATTTTGTTCCTTAAAGATTACACAACTAGCAAAATACACATAAGTGGATGGCATAACATACTAATAATAGTTGTTATTCAGATAGGTACCTATTCTTGCCGGTGAGATAACATACTGCCTTGAATTTAAATGTGCCTGATTGCACTGCTGGAGATCATTCGGTAATCTGGATTACGATAGGAGGATGGACAAGCTGTCCACACGCACTTAAGCCTCGTGTTCAGGCCCTTTGAAGTACCTCCTTGCCGTGGTGGTGTAACGCAATTTCTTTTGTTTCGAAGATTATTTTGTCAAAAGCCTCTACTATGTCTATATTAATGCCCCCAGTAGGCGCGATGCACAGGAGGTAGATTCCATAGCTCTGCAAAAGCTCTTCCGTGCCTCTCTTTGACGCCTCCTATTCTCCTACCTTATGGCTTATAGGCTTTCCAGTCGGTGTCGCTTTGTTCTTTCTTGCCTTATTGAACAGTTTGCCCAGCTGACTTTTCTGCTTTTCGAGCGCCCTGCACCACCAAGGATGGTTGTAGGACGTCTTTGGCAGTTCTCAGAGGACATACCTGTTCAATGACTCTACAATGGAGTTAGGGAGGAGATCTACGAGAGGATGGCTCTCTAAGTTTTTCTCCAAGGAGATGTTATTAATGGGAGATATCCGTTATCTTCGAGTTACGTAAGCCCTTTTGGACGGCTTCCTTGCAGTTAATTTCAAATGAAATTACTCTATGATCTGACATAGTCGCTTCTGGAGTAACTTGCCAATTCGTTATATGGTCAGAGATACTCGATGTTCGGTTCACTACCCTAATTTAGTATCTCTAGATTAGTAAATCAAGTAGTGATTTACCTCTTGGGTTGACGTTAGTGCTCCCCCATGTAGTATGGTGAGCATTTTAGTGGGTACGTGTTGGTTGTTTTTCTCGCAGTGTTTTATCAGTTCTACCATCCTTTACTGGGAGGTAGATTGACAGAATCTCCCGGGAGACATACTGATGCTGTTACTAATTCAGCTCTACCCTGTATGTTTTAACGGTATAGTGGTGATATCACAGTGACACAGGTGTGGCTTTAAAGTGGCTAGGGACATAGATACATGTTCGTGGTTTTTCTTGCTGTGTATTAAAGAAGACGGTTCTTTTTGTACCCCCAGTGAGGTGTCTGCCTAAAAGGTAACAGTAGCCCCGCTACAGTGTTGCAGTTTTACTTGTATAAAATTCTCTTTCATAGTTATATATATGTAGACAATAGCTATCTATTGTTTATCCAGTCAACCCAGTTCCGTCGTAGTGCAGTTTACATGGTAAACAACCCAATTAGAAAATATGGAATTTTGAACGTGTTTAAAGAGTGGTTGTTCTCTTACACCAGCATTACAGATGCGTTTTTCTAATAATAGTCGGTTGTCAGCAATGGAGTTACCTCAAAAGATAATCGCATAGCTTAAATGATTGTAGTAGCATTTAAGTAGAGCAGATTGCCACACCATTTGTCAGTTTCAAACAGACCTGGTCGTTATGAGAGCTCCAACTTAAATTTTCATTTATTGTTACCCCTAGGAAACTTTGAATGACTGTGAGGAGAAAACTACTTTTGTTTTTTTTGCCATTCAACTGCAGCTGATTATATTAGAGTTGCACCATTCAATGATGCACCTTATTACGGTGTTAGCCTTAAATCTTAAGGATTACCGTCAGACGCTTGAGCTTCTTATCCATCAAGTCGTTCACAAAAATGGCAAAAAGGTGCGTTGCTAAAGTAGCCCCCGAGGGGTTCGCACATTGTACCATAATTCCTGCGATTTAAATTTCTGATTTATTAGGTTGCCACATTTTCCCCTGAGTGCGACCTCCCAGTTAGTTATGAGTTGAATAATTTCAGCAGACAGCCTTGGATAGATCGAAATAAATCCTTATGGTAAATGGCAATACTCGCGCGCTACTTAATAAACTGCTAAGCTTGTGTAACAATGTGTTGCAAACCACCCTCTACCGCAAGTAGTGAATAGTAATTGTGCTTGTTACACATTTTGCTTAAAATTGAGAAAAGAATGAAATATCGAATAATGTACAGGGTGCTCTATATGCGTCACGCCTTTATAACCAACCCTGTATAATTAAAAAACTATTGTAGAAAACTTTTTTTGATATCATCGATAATTGACCGTTACCAAACTTATCAGCGACCATGTATTAATAGATCGAACGCGTTCCAACAGGCTGCCTTCATCAGCAATCTATTGATAAGGAGTACAGGAGCACAAAGCTGAAATTTATAATAATTATGTATACAGAAATTCTGAGATTCACATAAGGCACTAATTTGGGACGTGATATGGTTCAGCAAGTACCACTTGTAAGACTGAAGTACTTTATGCACTATATAAAGACCTTCTAAAAGATTTAGACTAATGCTAACCACCATGTCGAAATTACTATGCACTGTTTCTCAGAATCGTTACCACATTTCGTGATACTGATGGTTTAATACTAAATACTGTAAAATAGTTGACCACTGATTGTTTCAACAGACCCTAGGCAAGTTTGAGGAACTGTTTGCTCGCATTAACCATTAGTTTAACATTCGTCCTTCCACACAACATATCTCATTATCTACGACCATTTATATTTAACGTTTAACTACAAACATGATTACACAAGGATTGACTAACTCTGGTTGCACGCATTACTGCATTTAACATTCAACTCAAAGTTTAATTCTTATACTAACCCTTAAAACAAGAGAATCTGTCTGGAAAAATTACAATTTTAATTAAGGGTAATCATTTTCATCTGCCTTTCAATCTCTTCCACTTCTATTTCAAGTTTTGGTAGTTTTTGCAAAAGTGTACCAAATGGTCTAGGGATCAGTGTTGGGATAAGTATCGGAGCACAAAGCTGAAATGAGGAGTGTTGTATCATAATTGTACAGAAATGTTCGCATATTTACGTAAGAGGTCAATTTTCGATACGCCACAATCTTCTTCAGTTGAGCCCAGTTATTAGATTCGATTACACTATAGACTTTTTGAAGTCCATCTGAAAGCACCAAACATCTTTTGTGCACAAATGTTTTAAAGTACTAAAAGATAAAGAATTATTTTGGGAGTTCCGTTTAATGTTACTCATACCAAAACATCTTCTTTAGGTCGAAAGAGAGGGTTGTCATAATCATCAAGGTATGCGAAAGGATCGCAATCTTGCTTTCGGCATACAAGGCAATTGAACATTTCAGTGTAATCTGTTTGAAGTATTGCTGCTCGTCTTACCAAAGTGCAGCACAATGAGCAAACGAAGAACTTGTAGCTCTTGAACATTACCTAAAAGTACATCGGATAAAATTGTGTTGGTCGCAACTGAAGTATCTACCTTCAAAAGTGCTCTGAAGCTGAAGTTGGGTCTGTACAACAAAGCCATATATCTGACTGGAACAAGTTTTACTGGTCTTTTACAGACACTGCAATGTAAATTATCCAAATCTAAAACATGTTCAAAAACGTCAGTGTTTGGGAAAAATGTTGAGGTTATGTCCATTAGGTACCTCTACTAAATTTGTCTATGCATTTTAATTTGGGCAAGTTTTAGGCGTTCTACTTACGGATGAAGTTTATTGAAGGCATTTTGAGCTCGTTATTATCTTTTCTGGCTAATGGAGAAGTGGAATTTCACAAATAATTAGAGATAAATAGAGAAATTTAATTTCTAGCGACAGACGTATGATGTAAATATTTTTTTGTTTTCGCCTACTAGATTTTAAAATAAATTTGAATTTGAACAAAAGAACGCGCCAACGTTGCCGAATTTACTTTTTATTGTAGTAGTATTAACGTAGCCATTTGCTGTTATGTTGAGTGAACCTTAGTAGGACCTAATGGATGAAGAAAGCGTTGTACAGAATTTGGTTGAAGCATCTGTAAGTTGTAGGGACGTGGTATAAGTCGACTCTAATTTTGACATTTAATATTGAAACAGAGCTTCCTACACGTTATATTGGTTGCCTAACTTCCTACTTGTATTACGCCCAAACGTGCTACAGTGAGTGATAATTTTATATTAGTGTCTACCATGGACATTTTGGAATGCGGACAGGGTTTCTGCCTAAGCCACCCCTCTTGTACAAAACTTTCTTGTAAGGACTGATATTCCAGGTATCCTTTTGGTCATATTCGACATCTAATAACCCCTAAACCAAGCTCACCAGCATTATAAGGTGATATACCTCATTACTAATTGCTCGTTTCAGCTAGTCATGCCTTCGAGCTCTAATGTAATCTATCCTTCTTTTCAATTTTGTAAACAAATTGAAAAATTTCTACCTTAGATTGGCGTCCCCTTAAACGAGGATTCAAACAAAATTCTGACATTGACGAAATTTTGTACCATGGTAGCGTTGAACAAAGAGTCCAAAGAGTATATGCGTGCTGTGCGTCGAAATACATAGTTTTAAATCCGTGGATAATTACTTTGTTGGTACATTTGATCTTTCAAAACCTAGTTTTGGGTTTGTACTTTATTCATCTTGAAAAATCTCTTTGTACCAAATCCGCTGAGGTAGATACTTTGGCCCCTACTACCCAATTTTAAATACCTTATTAGTTATCCTTATAACAGTGTACATCAAAATTTCGCTTTGAAAAATACAATTTTTAGAATCCCGTGCTTTACGGTCGTAAAAAACACTAAATAATAAATAGTTGTATCGGTTTCACATACCTGAGCTATGGGCAGTGCAAAGTATATACAGAGTGGCCCAACGAGAAGTATACAGAGGGCTTTTAGGGTATTAAATTTAGAAAATTCGAAAAATCCTCGAACACGTCAATTTTGTATTCGAGGGGGACAACTTTTGGAATACAAATCACGAACCCAAGTCTTCACCCCTCTACATAGGGAGCTTAACCCCTAAAATTTTAAATGGAATCCTATGGCAAATGGCACATTATTTGAAAGCCAATTTAATCGTGATTACTAATCTGCTTTGTTTTTTAAATTCTATTGATTCGTTTCGGAGATATTCGCATTTGAAATGTTTTTCCCCTGATTTAAGTCCTTTAGATTACTTCTTGTTGGGATATTTAAAGAATAAAGTTTATGCTACTCCGCCCGGAACATTACAAGGGTTGCGAGCACGTATAACCATAGTGTAAGAATAGAATACATTATGGTATAACTCAACAATTTCGAGTGATTACCCCTGAAATCTTGCAACATGTACGGCAGCGTTTTGAAGCAAATCTTTATTATTGCATGGAAGCAGGCGGAAGGCAATTCGAGCATTTATTGAAATAAATGTTGTGTGTTTAAAGTTATTTATTATTTTTTGCACAATTTAAACCTTGTATTAAAAATGTTAATGCAAGGTGACTTAGATCGCATTTGTTTTGGTTTTTTTAGAAAAAACCATTTCAAATGCGAATATCTCCGAACCGAATCAATAGAATTTAAAAAGCAAAGCAGATTAGTAATCACGATTAAATTGGCTTTCAAATAATATGCCATTTGCCATAGGATTCCATTTAAAATTTTAGGGGTTAAGCTCCCTACGTAGAGGGGTGAAGACTTGGGTTCGTGATTTGTATTCCAAAAGTTGCCCCCCTCGAATACAAAATTGACGTGTTCGAGGATGTTTCGAAATTTCTAAATTTAATACCCTAAAAGCCCTCTGTATACTTCTCGTTGGGCCACTCTGTATTAAATACTTTCCAAATGTGCAAAAAAAATTTGGGTTTTTTTTACAATTTACCCTCTAGAGCCACCCCGTACAGGACGATTTTTGACGCCTTCTGGATTTCGATATTTCTAATGATCATGCATCATTTAAAATTGGTTTCAGCTTTTAACCCCGAAGTGTAAACGAAAATCACAATTGATGGCAGTGGGAACTCTACTATATGTACCTAGTATAGCTAGATCATTTTATTTCATTATTATATGTTCTAACAGACAATAAATCAGGGTAGCAAAGATACTATCCTTAAATGATTAAACTTTCAACGGTTAAAAAATACTCCTCAATTCTTGAGAGACCTAAAACAAACTGCAGAATATAATGACCTTAATCTGTAGCGACCATAACATTATTTAACTAACGACTAATATTTAAAGCTTTATGTAGGTAACACCTGCAATTTTCACTACTGTCTATTAAAACTTTAAACTGTATCTTAGAATAAAATTGCTTTTGGATTTTGAATACAGAGCCATCTCATCTGATTTTCGACTTCTTCTAGATCCACTTGAAGTTTCGGTAATGTGTGATTTATACAAATTTTTCCAAATGGTCTAGGTATTTTTGTTGGGATAACTATCGGAGCACAAAGCTGAAAGGATATGTCATAAAAAATAACTTCAACAAAATGTTTCGATAATTTACATATGGTGTTAGTACTTTGTACCCTCGGATGTGTTTCAGCAGAGTCCAGTCGTCAGATTCAATTATCATATAGACTAATCGCAGTATCTCTGAAATTGCCACACATTCTTTGTGTACATATCTTCTGTCCTGAAAGATATGCTTATAGTACTGAAATATTTTTCGCAAGCATACGACATACTATAATATGCTCTTTAGGCTGAAACAGTGGGTTATTGTAGTTGCTCAGGAATGCAAAAGGTTTTATAATTTTCATTTTACACACAAAGCAATAGGACATTCCACTGTAATCTGTGTTGAGTATTGCTGTATGGTACACCCAGTGACTACACAATGAACATAAAAAATATTGATGGTATCTCAACATGACCTAAAAGTCTATATTAGTAAAAAATTATTCCGTTACAATTGTGTAAACTACTTTTATAAGCTTTTTGAAGCTAAAATTTGGGCTCTGCAACCAACTCATGTATCGTACAGGAACGAGTTTCACTCTTCTTCTACAGACATGGCAGTGTATATTAGTTAAATCTGTAACAAAATTTACTCTAAAGCATTATTTCTTAATAGCAAATATTTTAAACAATTCTTTATCTTAGGTTATGTTGGCATTTCAATTTTAGTTGTATATATACAATTTTGAATCTCCACTTACATTTGAATGTCCCTGAAGACATTTTAACTCTATTGATCACCACTAGACGAATTTAACAAAAATAAAGAGATATCCCTGACTTCTCTTTATACTGTGCCTCCAAGACTATACCTACCAGACACATTAGCTGTATTCGTTTCAAGTGATTTAACTTAAGTTAAATCAGTTTAAGTGATTGCACTTTGTTTTTTTCGTTTACAATCTTAGACCATATAGTACATGGCTATATGGTCTAAGATTGTAAACGCAAAAAATCACTGAAACTGATTTAACTCAGTTAAATCACTTGAAATGAATATAGCGATTAAGAAATATCTATTTCACTGAAAAGTGTCTATCTTGCACATACATACATTTTCGAAATACTTTTAACTGGTATTATTTTTTAGCCTGTTGTACTAACCCAACCCACTACAGTACATTATTCTAATCTTACAATGTTCGTCCAAAATTTGACACCACTTAATTAGCTACTCAGTGAACTTACCTCTTGCTACTACTTCCTAAAAAACAAAAAAATATTATCATTAGAGGTAGGAATATCATACGCTACATAATAATACTAAACTGTTTCAAACATAGACGAACTGACAGACGATGCTCAAATGACCAAAATTTAGTATGTTAGTCTCTTGATCATTGTCTACATATTACGGAAAGCTGTTCGTGAATTATCATGTACACAGACGGACGGATAGAGGATCCAAAATGGTGAACGAGGTGGGTCGTTCGTTAATAATGGGCGAAGTTTAGCTTGAAAGACTGTTCAATGCTGTTCTACCACTTAACCCAGGAAGAGAGAACTAGGTAGGTAGACAATGGTCAAAATTTTGGTTATTTGTCCGTCTGTGGTTGGCACTTGTTTTATATTGGCTTGAAACCGTTTATTTTATATGGGAAGTTTTTAAAATACAGATTACTAATCAAAAATGAGGTGTATATCTTTATTGTTCTACAAACACACGTTGATATATCAACAATGAACATTTTCAAGATGGGAATATTGGTACCACTGGAAAGCATTTTTCAGTAGCTTTCCAACGATGTGTCACAAGTATGGGGTTGCCATTTAGGATTTTTGAAAATGGGGGGAGAGTCAAGGGAGTGGGGGGTTGACACTCATAACGTCATTCTGGTTCCCCGTCGATACCCCCGAAACTGTTTTGCGCGATTTTCAATATCTTCTTTAGTTTGGAAAATATGGCCGACGCAAGTTTTAAAATTGACACCCCGTATAGTATTGTATCCCAAACGTTGAATCAGTGTAGTGTAGCAGAATGTTACACTAAACACAAACAAAACTCTATGGTAAAGTGAGCAGTAAATCACATAGACCTACCTTTAGGTATATATGTCTATGGTTGTTAATCATGATTATTTGACTTTTGTATCTAGGAACAAAAACATTTAATAGTAGTGGCTGTTGCTTCTCCATTCCTAACTATGAAGGGTAATTAAAAGTGTAGACTGTTCACCACAAGCTTTGAGCTGTTCCTAGTTCATGCGATACAATTTGCATGTACTTTAAATGATTTTTGTTCACGAACAATTTTACTAGAATCCAAAAGTGTACCCGTCCTTATTTGCCTACCTTGTTACAGGTGTGCTTGAACGGTCAGTGTTAATAGAAGGCGTATTATTTCGCGCAAGATATTTGGGTTCTACGCAACTGGTATGCGAGGGACAACCGACCAAGACGACAAGGATGATGCAAGCCGAAGAAGCGGTTTCGAGAATAAAGGTGATGTAGCATGTTAATACTGTAGCATTATGTAACTCAAACCTTTAGACAATATTTACCTCTTGTTGCATTGCCCTAACAACCAATAAAAAAACATGTCATCACCTTTGCACATTTTTTCTTTCTTGAAATTGATAATTTTGTAAAACAGTGCATATTGGCATAAACTGCATGCTTATTACGAAATCTTATTATTATTGATACCAAAGAGAAACAATAAACTGGGTGTAATAATATAAATAGTTTTTGTTCGGAGGCAGGTTGATTTGATGTGAAGCCCCCTTCCCTTATCTCAACTGGTACAGTGCTATGGCACGCTTCATGTTTGGTTGGTCGCCTGTTCCATGTTTGTCCTACGATCTATTCATTTGTCGCACACCCTCTTTCGTCTCCATATGTGCTTTTGATGTTGTTGTCTCCATGAACATATAGAAAACTGCACTGATGGGCCTATGTAGAGCATTTCTCTTTTCAATTTTTACTCGCTATTTATGTTGTTTTTTCATTTTGTGTTTGTGTCATAACTTTGCTCTGCAATTTTTACTTGTGCAACTGAATTCTATAAGTTCCCACATTATCATTTGGTGTTAGTTGTAGTTATCTCGGTTGTGTATATAATTTTTTTTTATACGTGAGCTTTTAATTACATGTTTACACTTTGGGAATTAAGCGGGTGTATAGTAGATAAGAGAGGGCAAATTTGCAGGAGGCATCCAACCAAATGTTAGAAAGTTACAGCCAGCACTTTGGCCCGGGAAGTCCTGGCAGTGCTAGCTTTGACGAAACTCCTCTAGATCCAGAACCAGACAATGTATGCAAATCAGCCACGCCGTCTTTACAGGGTGAGCTTTTCAATATTGCAGTATTATCGTCTGACAAATTCTATTGGCACGCAAGATTTCTATAGTCACTACCGCAGAGTCTTTTGGCTTCAGTGCTGTTAGAGACTAAAAAGGGTGATCCGATACGAATTTTTAATTGCGTACCATTTGGACAGTTTTGTAGGTACTAAGTCTAAATTAAATAAACTTATTGTACTTCTTCGCTATTGTTTAAGAATTAAAAACATCTGGGCCTCTAAAAAAAACCATTTGTTAAAAATATGGCATTACTATTTCAATTGTGTTATTAGATTTCTGATTGCACTATACCAAATCACCATAGATAATGATAGTCGCTCGCCTGGCGCCTGGTAGGAATCCATCAAATTTGTTCATTTTGAAATATACGTATAGATATTGTAAAATGGTGTCACGAGGGAGGGATATTATGTCAGCATTAAAAATTTGTATTAGATCACTGATTGCTAAAATAAAAGATAAAACGCAATTTTGAAAGGCAGTTCTGTAAAGGTGTGCACGACACAAGTACCATACCGCTGGCGCCTGGAACTACGGGAACTGTTTTTCGACTACAGTTCTTGGGTTCCGTCGAAGTGGATGAGGAGGGGGGCCGTAAGCGTCGGAAGCGTCTGAAGAAAAATATGGTCGAAGTAGCCGTTACAAAGATCAAGGTCTGTTTGTTTCCTATTTCTGTGTATTTACTTAAATTCATTTAACGAAGAAATTTCTGCTCCGAAATTACTATTTATGTCACTACACCTTTGATCGAAAAGGCGTTACTAATGTACTAACATTTTCAATTTTTTTTTGTCTGGCTGCTAATTGGATGCAATCTACAGGCTTTGGTAAGTGGGTACTTTTTGAAGTTAGAAATTTACTCAACTATTGTTACAGGCACCTGACGGCGAAACTCAGCCAAGTACGGAAGTGGATTTATTCATTTCGACTGAGAAGATTATGGTATTAAATACTGATCTGAAGGAAATTATGATGGACCACGCACTTAGAACAATATCCTACATCGCAGACATAGGCGATTTAGTCGTCCTTATGGCTCGACGAAGGTTCGTGCCGCACGAGATGGAAGATCCTCCCAAAATTAATCGGACACCAAAAATGATTTGTCACGTTTTCGAGAGCGAAGAAGCACAATTTATTGCACAATCAATAGGGCAGGCGTTCCAAGTGGCTTATATGGAATTTTTAAAGGCAAACGGTATTGAAGATCACAGTTTCGTAAAAGAGATGGATTACCAGGAAGTGCTGAATTCTCAGGAGATATTCGGCGATGAATTGCAGATGTTTGCGAAGAAAGAAATGCAAAAGGAGGTCGTAGTTCCAAAAGCGAAGGGGGAAATTTTGGGGGTCGTCATTGTGGAATCCGGTTGGGGTTCGATGCTGCCAACTGTCGTTATTGCAAACTTAGCGCCGGCCGGTGCGGCAGCGCGCTGTGGCCAATTAAATATAGGAGATCAGATAATCGCTATTAATGGTGTCAGCCTTGTTGGATTGCCTTTATCTACATGTCAAAATTACATTAAGAATTCCAAAAATCAAACTGTCGTAAAATTAACAGTAGTTCCTTGTGCACCTGTTGTAGAAGTAAAAATTAAAAGACCCGATACTAAATACCAACTAGGATTTAGTGTACAAAATGGAGTGGTACGTTATGTTCATTTTTATTAAGATGATTGTTGAAAGGCTTGTTTTTAGATTTGTAGTTTATTAAGAGGAGGCATAGCCGAACGAGGCGGTGTTCGTGTAGGTCATAGAATTATTGAAATTAACAACCAAAGCGTAGTTGCTGTTCCACATGAAAAAATTGTAAATTTATTAGCTACATCCGTGGGAGAGGTAATCATTCATGAGGTATTCACATACAATTGATACGTCGCATTATAGATCCTAATGAAGACAATGCCCACTTCTATGTTTCGTTTGCTAACAGGACAAGAAAATCCGGTTTATATATAATGGAAGTTTAATTGATGGACTGAAAGTGCCTAATTGTAGTTAATATTGACCTTTCGATGGAATAAATCAAGTTGATCAGTCATGCTTCTGTTTTAGATCTATATATTTTTTATTGTACATGTTTCATAGACTGAAGACAATACGAGGGAAGCAGTGCTTTACCATAACTGCGCTTTCATAATAGACCATATCTCATCATTGCATACTGTACTTCTTGTGACTCCTAAGAGCATAGACCAAAGACTGGTTGGATAAGCAAAATGAATTCAAATGATGCGAGTAACTAATTTCTTAATGACAAAAACGAAACTTTTTGTTTATCCAACCTTTAAGTAATGCTGGCTCAATAATCAGTGTGGTATTATATCTAGTCAGCTGCTATTAGAAATTTAACTTGTGTATTTGTTAATTTAAAGGTATTAGATCTCTCAATTGAAATACAAGGTGTCTACTTGAAAAGGTTTAATTGATCGGTGTCGTAAAAGGTGTGAAATCATTTCGGGGTATGCAGGAGGAATACATTTTTGGGAAGCTCTTGAATTTTACCCTTGCGTACTGCAGAAAAGGATTTAAACATCTGACAACACCTTTTTTTACCAGAAAATAGCTTATTGAACGTTTTCAAATGGACAGCCTTTATGGTAAAAAATGTATAAGTTGGTGCTTAATAGAGACGATCTTCTATCAATCGTTAAAACAACACACATTGTATATTTGTAACTATATTTAAAGGTAAGAATGGAAAGCGAGATTTACTTTTTGCAATTATTTGATAAATTTTGTATTGTATAAGGTAAACGGACACCCAGTTATTATTATTTATTTTGTATAACTTTATGTACTATATCTAAGGTGTTTATAAGACTTAGAACTCATTTTCTATAATGCTTTTGTCGTATGTTTAAACACTGTAAATTTCACGTTGACGGCCTTACTCCTTTAAAACTTGGCACCTTAACCATATCAACTTTACATCGTGTTTACTTACTTTATGTGTTAAATCCCAGCTCATATTTGATCGACATGTTACATTTCCTTCATCTATATAGCATAATAAACTTATGTGTGAAAACTGTGTACAAAACAACTATAATACAGCATCCGCTATACTAGACCTGTATTTTATTTTTATTTACTCGCATTATCTTAGTCTTGTTAATATTTATTTTAGTTTCTCTCATTCTTACTCATTGGTTGACTAATATAAATTTATTTTGAAATTCGCCCAGATTGTTATAATAATGTGTCTTTGCTAGTGTTTGTTGCCTTAAATAGGTTTCTTTTGTTGCACTGTGTCCAATGCCTTTTCTATGTTCAAAAATACTATGTACTAACTACTACTTATGATCTGGCGTGCTTTGCTCTGTTCTGAAAATGATATGTACTTAATAATAATAATAGGACTTTATTGCACAAAACATAATTGACGATCACTCTAGCAATTGGTCCATACCCATTAGTGCAAACGGCGGCAGTTCAGATCGTTGTCCATATGACGTAGACCTGTTCTTGCAGTCAACCGTATACATTCAAATAAATATTTTCATTACACAGATAATACAGACGTACCATATACCATTTTTCAAACTAATCCATACGATTATAAGATGTGGTTACTCATCTCTGGAAACTTAACTCAATACAATCCTGTTTTGTCTTCTGGAATATAGGAGAAAGCTACGGTACATCTTTTTGAAAGCTGATTCGGAAAGAACAGAGGTGTTTATGCAAGGGGCTGAGCTAAACAGTTTAACTATATTGTACGAGAAACGTCTTTCAAATAGATACAAAATTATCAATCGCCTTCTTGACAACTCCTCCCTACTTTCCAAAATTCTATTGATTACTCCTTCCTATCTCGCTGGTCAACAGCCTCCCATCTCAAGCTAGAACCAATTTATATTACAATGCCCCAATGAATAGAAGGTTTTTGTTGTTTAATAACAATGTTTTTCGGAACTTGGACATTTTTTTGGTTTAGCTCTAATTTATTTAAAAAGAAATTATTTGAAATCTCTTAATCGGTTTATTAAGTTTGTTATTTATCCTTTTTCCTTTTCTACACGTCGCATTTACCATCATGCCGTATATATATATGTTTACTGTGTCTTAATTTTATTATTACAATTTGGTTGGTTTGCCTCTGCTAAATTTAAGGCTGGACGGTACATACAGAACGGAGTATGTAAAGTTGCCTATTGTCAATCGCCAAATTTGGCCATTTATAATATTAATTTGTGATTGATGGCAGAAACATAAACTTAGACCAATCATAATGCACATTTTCTATCTGTATAAACCAAGCGGCGCGACGGAAGCTATCTTTTCGCGCTTTTGAGGAAAACTTAATTTGTTTTTCCAAGATAACTTATCTGTAAATGAAGTTGGAACAATTTCCAAAACTGAGATAAGTTCGTAAACTTAATATCTAGGCAATAACGCCAGGAACATTTATTTCCTTTTTTCTTTTCCAAAATAGGGCACCCTTAGCCCTCGACGTTACCCTTAAAAAAAAGATTATTTTAAAAGATTTTAGTAAACCCCGGCGTTATTGTCTAGCTAAAGCATTCACCTTTCACAGGAATATTCGACCCCTTCTCCATCTTCACTCAGAATTCAGATATCGTGGAACAAAAAAGCGTTTTCGGGTAACGGAACAGGTATACTGTCCAGCCTTAGGTAGCACATCATTTCTTTCCTGTACCTATACTAATTTATTATGTATTTGCAATTCATTTAATTTACTCTGTTATTCTTGTTTAAGTTTTGTTTTGATTATGCTTGTGGAGGAATGTCACATTTACTATTGATATATTTTTTTCAAAACTAATTAGTTGCTATTTTAGCTTTGTCTTGTTTGCAACTCAAATTGATGACGTTTTGTGAAGGGGGCATACAAAGAACACCTTTGTGTCTTAAGTCAATATTGTGGACATCCTGTTTGATACCCAATTTTACAATGTAGATAACTAAGAACCTCCCTAGACAACATTTTATGTGAAAAAGAAAATATAACACTAAGATTCTTCATGTTTAGCCAGTTTTTTTTAGAAGTTTACTTAACTCCGTATTAATTGTTTCCATTGCTAGTTGAACGTTATCAGGTGGAAATTAGAGGTATATTTGCGTGTCATTGGCATAGAAATAAGATTTGCACTATTAATCCCCGAGGCACACCGGCCGTTAATGATCCCTTCGCCCTTCATAACCTCATCTCTAAGGTTGAGAAATCATGCTGGACAAAGAATTATCGACCTGAAGTCTGCTTCATAGACATTGAGGAGAGACTGCCCCTCATGTAACTCCATTGATGCAGCATGCACAGATTGGGATCGGAACCAGTCCTTGTGACTGTGAGCAGAGGTTGTCTGCAAGTGTAATGGGTCCCCTCTCCTTTGGTCGCTAGTCATGGACGGACTAGTGTAAACCTCCTACCCGGTATAATCTTTAACTGCATAGCATAGGCAGACGACCTCGTAGTATACCCTTGCTATACAGTACAGAAATGATGCCTCGCTCGGGGGCTAACAGTGCACCCGGACAAGATATACGTAGCCAACAAGACTTATCCTTCAGAAGCTACGATTGGGCATGCAAGAGTCCACTCCAGAATGCAAATTCTTAGGACTCATTTTGGACAAGAGATTTGGAAGCCTCGCATCCCCATAACGGTCAACAAGGCCATTACGGCCTTAATGAACTGTCAAAACTTTATGAGGAGGAAATATAGACTAAGCTAAATCCCCGCCTCTCCCTATAGCTATACACCAATTGTAGCCCACCATAATGGGATGCACATTATCGTGGATGGTGGGGCTTAGTAGTCACAATTTCGTGGCGAAGCTAAGCATCTTTTTCTTATTAATTTTGGTGCGTAGAATCCAAAACAATTCGTACTTTTTCGATCAGACTTCTCAATCAAAAGTTATAGACTAGAAAAGAAACCAATTTCGAAAGAAAATTCAAAGGGCTGTAACTTTTGAACTAGTAGCCCAATCTTGGAACTGTTTGAAATTATGGATTCTACAGGCCACATTCTATAAGAAACATTTTTTTCCGGGTCGATCTGAGACAATTTTTTTTGAGGGACTCAAAAAAAGGCAGTGTATAACCTTCCTTTTTTACCAAAAATCGACTGCACCCAAATTTCTCGGGAAAACACTTTTTCTTATTAATTTTGGTGCGTAGAATCCAAAACAATTCGTACTTTTTCGATCGGACTTCTCAATCAACAGTTATAGACTAGAAACCAATTTCGAAAGAAAATTCAAAGGGCTGTAACTTTTGAACTAGTAGCCCAATCTTGGAACTGTTTGAAATTATGGATTCTGCAGGCCACATTCTATAAAATTTTTTTCCGGGTCGATCTGAGTCAATTTTTCTTGAGGGGCTCAAAAAAGGCAGTGTAGGTACAACATTGGACACACATAACAGATCCAAGGGTCACAGTGCATAGGTGTGATATATAGCCCAACCCAAGCAGGAAACCAAAATATATGGGCCGGAAGGATGTATATTGTCTCTAGAGGGTATAGTATAATAGGTCCCAGTCGCAGTACAGGAACTAAACCCTCAAAGTTTAAATAATACCTTCACGGTAATAAAAGACACACAATACAAATCATACCCTTATATTTCTCATTTACGTGTTTTCAAATGTACAGGTACACCACGATGGTAAAAATTTGAATGTTATATAAAACAAATGATGTAACAAAATCAATAACTTAAAAAATTGTAATGATCAAATATACAATGAAGAAACAATTTAATGTCCTTTTTTGCTGGGCTTCGCTAAATTTTCGTACTTATTTTTACTGCGGAACCATAAGGAAAATGGAATTGCCAACGATGGTAGAGTCATGACGGCAAATGCTAACCAGTCTAAGACATGTGATGAAAATTTCTTATCGTAGTCTCTAAACGCGATGATTGCACCTTCACCTGGTTCACTGCTGACTGCCATTTGAATCTGAAATTAACACATATGCATAAGCAACAGAAGACCTCACTAAAAAACGTTACATACCTCGGCGTCATCTTCTGCCACCTCATAAGTTACTTGTGCCCCAGTAAAGTTGAAGTACCCATACTTTGTCGGTCTCACGACGACGACATGAGTGAAGTTACTTTGAGGAGGGATTCTATCAATCTTGGTGCTTAACTGTCCGCCAACCACTTCAAAAGCATCTGGATGAAAACCTCTATCGGCCAAGTGAACGTTAATCGCAGCAGAGCTTCCCACATTGAATATGGTGTACTTTATCAAGATGTCCATGTTTTCAACTAAATATTTGTTTAAAATATGTTTAGATACCAACAGCCTGGGCCCACTTTCTTCTTCATTATTAGAATTCACTCCAATAATTACAAACAGCAATACGAATAAATTTCTTATATCCATTTTAAAGAGTGTATCGCGGTATACCGTTTTATGTCGAATAAATTCAAGCTTTATGTTACAAATCACACATGCCTTACACCACAACAGAAGTAATGTAGAATGTAGAAGAGGTTCACGTGTAAATTTCACATTCCCCCCGCACCTTCCACATCATGTGCCAACGAACGCAAAAACACAGCATACCAACCTTATCTCTTTGGCCGCGTTCCGCTCACGACTGTCGCCATGTCTCGTGACAGTTACCAGGAACATAAACCGCACTTGCCGTTAAATAAAGTTGTTTAGTAATGGAAAATGAACATTTATTAGAATGTTTTTTTTAACTTAGGGGAAGGTAAACTATTTCTGTCATGGGGGGGGCTGTATAGAGCGCTCGTGCAGGCACAGGTGGGGTCTTCGTTGGCCCCAAGGCTAACTTAGGAATTGCTCTCTCTGTTGTCAACGCCAGGATTAAAAACTTGGTGATCAGTCAATCCTAGGCTCAGTGGCAACAAAGCAACAATCTGGGTCTACTAAGCTAATAAAACTGAACAGAAGCCAGATTAGGAAGATCACCTGTGTCCTTACGGGGCACTAGATGATCAACTATCACCTACACAGCATTGGGCTTGTAGGAGAGCCCATATGCAGGTTCTGTGGCAAGGCAGATGAAACTACCAAGCATGTATTCATTGTGACGCCTTGATCGGACACAGACATCAGCTCCTTAGGGACAGCGACATATCTGGAACCGGTTGAGAGGATGCAACTTAAGCTACACATGGTCCTATCTTTTATTGAGAGGGTCTTTGGTGTGCCTAAGTGCTAGGTCAATAGAGAAATAGGGCCTCAACATTGTAAGTTTTCTTTTTCATACTGGCAAGCTCTTTGATGTATGTCACAATTTTAACATGACAGATTTTCCTCCCCTATCGATTAAAGCTGTAGAACTCTCAAATAACTTACTTAAAACTGCAACATTTATTAATGTTTTGTTTGGTATTGATGTTAATTTGATAATACAAGGTTTGAATTCAAAGATATAACGTAAAAATTGCTGATGAACGCATATTTACCGTAGACCGATCTAATACACCTTTATCTCTAAAAAAACGCAGAAAGTTACATATATTTCTAATTACTTATGGGAAATATATGAATACAGAATGGTTTAGAGGTAGTGTTTGACGGGTTGCCAACATTAAGGTGTTGTGACGTCACAGTAATATTCTCAATACCCCCATCTCTTGTTTGTACTTCCATTTATACCTTTAGAAAGTGTAAACAAGACTTTATAATATAAAAAAGGCTGTCTTTTTGTTTTTTGACACTTGAGTCAGCTGTCTCAGTTGACACTTAAAGGTTACGTTTGCCTTTAAACGTCAGTTGATAACTGTTCATTAATAGACACTTTATTTATGATAACTGTTTAGAAGTGCGATAATTTTTTAATTTAATTATTGATAAATTGATAGTCCCCTGAATGATACAAACCTCTCATACACTTCCACTGTAGCTATGTGCAAACAACTATGAATCAACAATTTGACTTTGTGATGATTTGTGTGCATAAATAGTGCATGTACTACACCTATTAGGACATTTCCTCAAACAGTAAGTCACCAATTTAATAGACATTATTCCTTTTAAAGTGTCCTACCTGTAGATGATGGATAACGATACCTGCTTTGCAACTCGTCACACGAACAATACCATTTTACTGAACGTGTACGAGGGAATACCAGAAACACTGATTCTAAACGTGATTTGTTGGATCTTACTTGTTTTATTATTTGCTTTATTACGTAGCCGTGCGTGGGACTACGGCAGGTTGGCGCTTGTTCAGAGTGAAAAATGGACCCAACTGTTTTATAAAAACACCGAAGAGGCATTAATAGTCGAGGAAAATGGTGAAAACGCGCTGTCGGCTGATTCTGGGTGCTGTTCGTGGTTTCCAGCTGTGTTCAAAATTGACAAAGAGCGGCTGTTTCTTCGTTGTGGCCCAGATGCCTCCCACTACTTATCCTTTCAAAGACATCTGTTAGTGTTGTTTAGCATAATCACTTTCTTATCCCTGTGTGTCGTTCTACCTGTAAACTTCAGGGGAAATCTTCAAGGAGGGCCGTATACTTTTGGTCACACGACCATTAGTAATTTAGATCCAAATTCGCAGTGGTTGTGGGTACATGTTGTTACGTCGTTTGCTTTCGTGCCATTAGCTATTCTTATAATGCGGCGATGCTCTAGTGGAATACCAACTTCGACGCTCCTTTCATCACGTACTGTCATGGTAACCCACATTTCACGTAATCACAGGAACATCGAGGATATACGTAGTTATTTTTCCGTACGTTACCCGAACATTCAAATTAAAGATGTTCAAATGGCGTATAGAATAAAAGATCTCACACAATTGGAGGAGCAACGCGAATCTGCTCACGAGGCAATGTCTTTCTGCGTAATGAATAATGAAACTTCTATGAAAGTGCAACCATACGGCTGCATCATTTGTTGCCCTTGGAAAACCAAGAACGCTTTAGAATATTATACCACCGAAGAGGAACGCTTGCGGACCGCCGTAATTAATGCCCGACGACAAACCGCGCAAGAACCTTTAGGCATAGCCTTCATTACTTTCGACACGGAAGAAGCAGCCCAGTATGTTGTACATTCCTTTGTACCGGGCACTCGTTTTCATTGGAGCGTTGCGAAAGCGCCAGCACCTCCCGATATAATTTGGGAAAACCTGCAGGTTTCCTCACGGAATTGGTACTCCAAAGCCATTCTAATTAATTGCATTCTATTTTTCATTTTGTTTTTCTTGACTACACCTGCAATCGTAGTGACCTTTCTAAATACGTGGACCGCGTCCCAAGAGGAAATCATAAAGAAAGCAAGCCCTTTACTATCCGAATTTCTACCTACCCTTCTGTTGTTAACCATGTCCGCGTTGATGCCTGTAATTGTTTCCTATTCTGACCAGTGGATGTCTCACTGGACAAAGTCCGAGCAAAACTTCGCCACAATGCAAAAAACCTTTTATTTCTTACTATTTATGGTACTGATCCTACCCTCTTTGGGGTTGACTAGCGCTCAGGCGTTACTGGAATGGTCAGTGAAACCTGGTGGGCAAAACTACAGATGGGAATGCGTTTTTCTACCGGACAAGGGCGCGTTTTTTGTTAATTACGTTATAACTTCAGCGCTAATCGGTACAGGGTTAGAGTTGCTTCGGTTTCCGGAGTTGGCAATGTACGTATGGCGACTACTTATAGCGAGATCTCTAGCAGAAAAAATCAGTATTCAAAAGGCGATTCTTTCCGAATTTCCCTTTGGCATTCATTACGCGTGGACTTTACTTATCTTCACTACTAGCACAGTGTATAGCTTAATTTGTCCTCTAATAACCCCCTTCGGTTTAATGTATTTGTGTTTCAAACATTTAGTGGATAAGCATAATATCTACTTTGTCTATAGGCCCAGTGCAATGAGTGGTGAAGGTCAGCGCCTCCACGTTTCTGCTGTTCGCAATGTTAGAGTCGCTTTCATTTTGTTGCAAATAATAATGCTAGCGTTCGCGTTTGTCCGAGGAGGGTTGGGAATAATGTCCATTATATTGATATTGGGACTAATTGCAACTTGTGGCTTTTTCTTTATTATGGGTCCCTTTCCTTCTTGTAAACCTACAGCCCTCTCCGTTAATAATTTGCCCGAGCAGGTGGAGCGGTACGTTGCCCCTGTACTGATTAAAGTTCATTCGCAAACTAGCACCCCAAGTCTTTTATCGCCGGACTATGGTTCTTCCAATATTAGCGATTTAGGAAAACGTCTTTCCACATCATCTTCACTTACTACTTGAATTGCGTGCTGAAAAACCTTACTTGGCTGTGATTACATACTTCAACTATTTAGTATTTATATGTGTTTTCGTGTTAAAATGTTATTAAGTTTGGCCTATCTAAAGACATTTTATCTTAGACGTGTATGGTGCATTAAAGTTTTTTTATCCTGTTAGTATTATATTGCTTGAAAATAATATATGTATATCCAGTATTTTTTCAAATTTTGATAACACTAGTGTGTAATATTGTTATATAATGCTGTATCATTATGTAAATTTTATGTAAATTAAAAAATATAATTATGTTAAAAACCAACATTCGTAAATCAATGGTATTTTTAAACTTCAAACACAAAAACAACCGGGAATGATCAAACTTATGCATGAGGAAGGGCCAAAGACAAGGTGAACGAATGGGTCTCCGATTGTGACTCTTGCGGATGCACCACTGTGCACCTTCCAAAATTTAAACACTTAAGATGGAGGGAGTTTTTGGGGCATAATGTCGTTGGAGCTACAGAATCATCCTAAACGTTTATTTTTATTTCACTATATAGAATATATGGCAGAAGGAAATGGAAAACAGTTCCTGACAGTAAACATGCTAGGCAGCGAGGCCAAGGACTGGTTTGACTGGGTAGGTCGACCTGGATCAGAAAGAGAATCCCACACTACCTTACGCCGATAGATCTAAGGCGCGGTGCAGTCGATTTTTGGTAAAGAAGGAAGGTTGTACACTGCCTTTTTTTGAGCCCCTCAAGAAAAATTGTCTCAGATCGACTAGTTCAAAAGTTACAGCCCTTTGAATTTTCTTTCGAAATTGGTTTTCAGTCTATAACTTTTGATTGAGAAGTCTGATCGAAAAAGTACGAATTGTTTTGGATTCTACGCACCAAAATTAATAAGAAAAAGTGTTTTCCCGAGAAATTTTGGTGCAGTCGACTTTTGGTAAAAAAGGAAGGTTGTACACTGCCTTTTTTTGAGCCCCTCAAGAAAAATTGTCTCCGATCGACCCGGAAAAAAAATTTTCTTATAGAATGTGGCATGTAGAATCCATAATTTCAAACAGTTCCAAGATTGGGCTACTAGTTCAAAAGTTACAGCCCTTTGAATTTTCTTTCGAAATTGGTTTCTAGTCTATAACTTTTGATTGAGAAGTCTGATCGAAAAAGTACGAATTGTTTTGGATTCTACGCACCAAAATTAATAAGAAAAAGTGTTTTCCCGAGAAATTTTGGTGCAGTCGATTTTTGGTAAAAAAGGAAGGTTATACACTGCCTTTTTTTGAGCCCCTCAAAAAAAATTGTCTCAGATCGACCCGGAAAAAAAATTTTCTTATAGAATGTGGCCTGTAGAATCCATAATTTCAAACAGTTCCAAGATTGGGCTACTAGTTCAAAAGTTACAGCCCTTTGAATTTTCTTTCGAAATTGGTTTCTAGTCTATAACTTTTGATTGAGAAGTCTGATCGAAAAAGTACGAATTGTTTTGGATTCTACGCACCAAAATTAATAAGAAAAAGTGTTTTCCCGAGAAATTTTGGTGCAGTCGATTTTTGGTAAAAAAGGAAGGTTATACACTGCCTTTTTTTTGAGCCCGAAAAAAAAAATTGTCTCAGATCGACCCGGAAAAAAATTTTCTTATAGAATGTGGCCTGTAGAATCCATAATTTCAAACAGTTCCAAGATTGGGCTACTAGTTCAAAAGTTACAGCCCTTTGAATTTTCTTTCGAAATTGGTTTCGTAGTAGGGAATGCTGTAACTTTACAATATATTGTAGCTAGCACCTTTTGATTTTATAAAATGATTGCATTTATGTCTACATAATAATTAAAATTTCTTGTAAACCAAATTGTGTAGGGTAAAGTGTATTAAAAAGCCATAAAAAAAATCAACACTGCATTTTTTATAATGTATGCCTTATGTAGTAGGCAACCCATAATGCACATGTGTACGTATGTATCATACTTAAAACAATTTCCCAAAAGTTACTAAATTTAGTAACTTTTTCGGATGTAAATCAGACTTTTCAATTTACTCCTGTTAGTTTAAAAACAGAGGATAGCGATGACCAAACGCTTTATTATTTCGAGGGCGTTAAAGCAAATTCAAATTTTAGCGCGCTTGCGTTTGCGCAGTATCGAGGGAGTCAATATGCATCACATCTGCAAGTAGTCGCCGACCACCGGTAACACACTGCAAGTGTCTGTGATTGGTCAAAACATCTCCAGTACAGGGTAGCAGAAGCCGAAAGTGTTTCATAAAACTGTTTGTACCTATATTTGAAATTTAATTTAATCGTTTTGTAAGTACATATTTTCATCTATTAACCACTTTACTTACGTTGTGGATTCTCGTCTTGTCTCAAGTCATAACAGTCTGCTAACTGCTTTTCAAATTAGTTTTAAGGTTATGTGACATTGATTGATTTATTATTGAAGAGGATTAAGTTTTCTAACGTAATTTTCAGATTTGTATGCGCATTTTTCTGTCGACGTTTCGTTACGTTAATAAAATGGTTCCCAACGTAGTATTTGTACTAGGAGGACCCGGTTCCGGTAAAGGAACTCAATGTGCGAAAATTGTCAAGGTAGGTGCAATTGCGTTGAGCTAAATCTAATTTACTGGCTCTTTTAGGAGTTCGGATATGTTCACCTATCCGCGGGTGATTTGTTGCGTGAGGAACGCCTGAATCCGAAGTCCGAATTTGGGGAATTGATTGAGGAATATATACGAGAAGGAAAAATTGTGCCCGTTGATATTACGTGTAGTTTATTAGAACGAGCAATGGAGATCTCTGGGAAAGACAAATTCTTAATTGATGGATTTCCTCGAAACCAAGATAATTTGGATGGCTGGAATCGGCGAGTTGCTGACAAAGTTCACTTGCAATTCATTCTGTGCTTGGAGTGTCCAAGTTCGGTACGTGTTTCCCCTGGTGTTGATACTTTTAACACTAGAAGTAAATCATTTTTCCATCTTATTGTGTAAATGTTATACACTTTAGGTTCCTTCAATTCCTTATTGTCTTGTCCATAAATCCCCAGATACCTGATAAGAAAGAAAAATTGTTTAATTCATTATCACGTCATATATGAAAAGAGGTTTACAGTTAACTATTTGTTTAGGTTTTTATGGGGAGACTAATGGCAAGAGGAGCTGCTGGAAGTGGTCGTTCAGATGATAATCTGGTGTCCGCTCAAAAACGTCTTAACATTTTCACTAATGAAACCACACCAATTATAGATCATTATCGTAATCTGAATATGGTGCGCACGGTTGATGCCACACAGTCTATTGAAAAAGTGTTTGAGGATATAAAAGTACTTTTTAAGAGCGTAGAAGGAAACAGTGAAGTTTAACTCCATTGCTAGTATGATCCAAAATTATATTTAATGTTACTGTAAGAGAACAATTTATTAAGTATATGAATATGTTACAAAAGAGTATAGTTTATGTTTCATTTGTTTAGCATTTAAGTTAAGTCAAAGTTTTAGTTAGTTAGTAAAATGTATAGCTTTACATTTAGCATTTTTGTTTAGAAGACTAGAAATAATTTGTTTATGTTCCTTTTTAAAATAAAATCTCTGTTGTGCAAGTTTGACATGTTTTTTTATGTAAATATATAACGTAAAATCTTAATCTATAACAAATAATTGTAAAATATAATGTACTTATTAATTTTAAGTGGTTACCTACATCAATAATCCACGTTCAATTTAGTCTTTTGCCTTAGAACATTTACAGACTGGCAACAGTGATTAAATGGGAACAAGTTGTTGCTCTCAATGCAATTAATGCACTAATGTTGGTACAACTATTATGTATAATTTTCAGTTTTATTGGTACAAAATGATTAACATGTTTTTGCAATGTCAGTGGAGTTCCAAGTTTTTCCAATGAGCTTACCACCCACCAAGTGCAACAAACACAGATGAGTGTGATCTATGTGAGATTCCAGATGTTCAGTCTTAAGAAAACTGATTTTCTTTGCTCCCTGGTATTAGAAAAACAGCAAAATTTAGATGAGTAGATGCAACACTGGCAGAAGCAATCTCAGATTGGTCCGTAACTGGGTGCGACGACCTGACATCCACAAATCGGCAGAAACAAAAGTCTTGGGAACTCCCAAAACTGAACGTCACCTACTACTGTGCACTAATAAAATACAACCAGAACATAATCAAGAAGGTCGTGAATGGCTTCTCGCGAATGCCACTGAACATGCTGGAGATTGTCTGAAAGCCATACCGTCACGACAGATGTGCACCCATCTCTCTAATGGATGTTTTGCGTATTTCAGTCTCACTCCGTCTAGGTGCTGATATCCGTGTAGCTCACCCTTGCCCCTGTGCATATGTCCCTTCAACCAGTTTCATGCTAGGTACTTTTAACGCTGTAAAAAGTCAGGGAAGATTTTCACGCCACTCGGAACTCAATGACATTGTTCAACGAGCTGTTCGTATGGCCGAGATCCCGTCCATCAAAGAACCATCAGCAGGATGTTCAACATGTTATCAATGCCTGGACTTTTCCAGTTGTGTAAGTGATTAATAGTTTGAATGATGTCTGTTGTAGTGATGTTTGTATTATTCATAGGGGTAATGTATTCAGTGCGTGTGGTTTCTGTAGTAATCCACGGGGCAAGTGGATTGTGTATAATGTCTTTGTTATACCTATAAGTCAGACCGGTATTGCTGGAGTGAGTGTAGAGTGGAATGAGTTTTTCATTAGTGCTGTTTTGTGTTAGTGATCTGTAAAATAGTTTTTCGTTATGTTTAAATTGTGTTATAGCGCTTTCTATCTACCAGTTTCCCTATAGCGTGTTAAACGGTTTGTGTGAGTGTATCTTTATGTTCGTTATGGTTTGTTGTTTAGTTTTGTATAGTTATGTGTTGTACTTGTCGTGTTAGAAGAAACGAGTTCTTTATTTATTGTGTAATTGTCCCAAGTCACATTTGATGTCATCGATGCGATTTATCAAGCGTTGTTTCCAAGTCGGGGGTGAGGTTTTTTTTGTTGTGTGTTGTTCTTTGTTTATTGTTGTTTGTCATGTTGTGGGTCAACAAATAATAAAATCAAAATATTCGTCTTGACTATTTACCACAGAGCGCTTTAGTTGCAGACCACCCTGTATGCTAGCGAAGTTTAAGAAATTCAAATTTCGCGCGTAAACGATGGTGGTCGGTTTTGTAGAGAGGGAAGATTGATATAACCATTCTTTTCTTTGACGTTCAAGTGTATACTTCTATTGAGACATTTCAAAGTTCTGAAGAAAAGCTTTAATACTTAGCTGAAAATTGTTAGTTTAGCTTTTAAAGTGGAATGCATACAGGAATTTCATTTTACAAAACGAAGGCATTTTTTGGGAAATGACAATTTGCTAGCAAATTGGTAAGTTTTTACTTTTATTTCTGGAAGTTAGTGATAGCATATTCGTATAAATAGTTATTAATTATTTTCATTTTAATTAACAATTTATTTTGCTTTGCAGGCTTATAGTTGAGAAAATGGATGAGGAAAACGTAAGTGAATTATTTCTATTAAAATTTATTGACCAAACAAGTAGGTTAGGTTCTAAATTATATTTTGATTTCTCTACCATTTTTATGTAATTATTGTAATACCCATGTTATATTTTTTAGAAGGAAGATGCAAAAGAACGTAAACGTCCCAGAACTAGCGAAGATTTCTATTTATTTTGTACTTACGTATTGGAATACGAAAATTACGATGCACAGAAAACTGAGGTGAGTTTTGCATGTTGCAATTTGGTGTCAATTCTAGGATTTCTGTTTGTAGGAACTACGAAGTAATGTTAACCATAGCCCGCCATTAGATAGTTCAGGTAGCAGTGTAAATTCTGAATCGAATTCGGAGACAGCTAGCTCTACTCAGGAGTATAAACCTAGTGAGGATGAAACGGACGAAGGTAGTGATTCCCACGACTTAGTTACATGTTATTGTGGAAAACCGTTCGCTGGTCGGCCCATGATCGAATGTTCGCGTTGTCTTACATGGATTCATTTATCATGTGCACGAATTAAGAAAACCAATATACCTGATGTAAGTGCTACTATTTCGTATTAGAAAACCGAATTGCACACAATTTCGCAGAGATTTTGCAACTCTGAGTCATAAACGTTTTTTATCTTTGTAATGGCATAAATTTATGGAATCAAAGCCAATCACTTATTAACTTGTTAACACACTAATCTCGTTATTCTTCAAGCTCTGTTCTGGTTATACAAGCATATGTTTTAGGTAGGTGCTTCCAATTTTAACATTATTGCTACACACTGCTCTGCACTGCAGTTAATCTAGCAAAAGTCCATTTTTAATTCCCCGAAATTTCGTTTGTGAATAAAAACTATTGGCAATTCAAAGAATTGTCGAATTTTAAAAATTACACGGAATCCAAATGTAAAAATTCAAAATCTCTGAAAATTCAAAAATGTCATTTTATGACACTTAAAGCCAATATGCGTTAACGTCACGTTAAGGTCTTTACAAATGGCGTTAAAACTCCCTACACATTCTGTGGCAAACCATACTGTACCTACTTGTTACAAGTAGAGCAGTTTATTTAGTCCAAAAATAAAAGATTAATACAGTGTGTTCCATCTAACACTAACACTACTGCAAAACTTGAGGGAGAATTCGTCTTTAAACAAGGTATACGCCGAGGTATACCTACGCTACATTTCAAAACTGCAAAAAATTTCAGGGGATTGGAATGTGATTTCAAATTGGATTTTAGACGATTACAAATAATTTCAATGTGACTTCAAGTCATTTCAGATGATCTCAAAGTGATTCTAAGTTGCTACTTCTATAGGATTCTATGCACTTTGAATTTCTGATCAGACTAAGGTTTTTCTTTTTTTTCCTCCATTTTTGGTAAGTAATAATGCTTTATTGTTTTAACGAAAGATAAATAATCGCCAGTAATTGAAAAAAAACTACTCATTTAACAAAAAAGATCTTAACCTTATAGTTTGTGCAATACATGTGTAAATCAAACATATAGTGGGCGAGTAGAGCGAATTAATCTCCACGTGAGAAAGTGCCATTATAGTGTGTTCTTTACAACAAAAACATGTTAGTTTCGGGCAAATCGAGGTGTGATTATATAGATTATAGAGAACATAATTTATATAATAATTTATTAACGTAAATTGTTTTTGGTTTTTATTGTTAAACGGGCGGGATTTAAGCCAAGGCTGCTCTGCCAACCCAACCCACTATACATTTACAAATATCCATTCCGAACCTGGAGTCGAACTAGGGACCCTTAGTGCCGCAGTCAGGCTTCCACACCTCTGCGCCACACAGCCCGGCAAAACAATAATACCTATGTCAATTAATATCCATTAGCGAGAATATATACTCTGTCTTTATTGTGAATTCTAATCTAATATTAATTTCGTAAAAATATTATAGGACCAAGTCAACATTCCTTTCTCATTAGCAGAATGAAATTTCATTTGAACATAAAAGTACACGTGGGCGTATGACAACAATGGGTTGTTACATTAAGATCGCCGAAACGTATGAAAAACAGACGTTCCTCATTCCAACAATCCTATATATATATATATATATATATATAAAACAAAATTACAGTTTCATATTCACTCATGTTGATCTAGATTACAGTGACTTTGATCACCAATTATGTACATGGTGCCACGGATCATTTTATCCAAGGAATTTCTGTAATCTGTATCACTCAAAGTATGATTTTTTTGGATTTGAATTATATGCACCTAGTTTTATAATTTTTTTCGCTCAACATTTTCACATTTTGTTTAATGTTCGGAATATTTTCAAGCGATCGTCTGTCCTTCCACCTTGTGACGTACCCAGGCCTGTCCCCAGGGGCTGCGCAACTCAAGGTTTAAATTCAAAACTTTCCCTCCCAAACTAACTTAACCCCCTGGCACATGATCGTCTACACAAAGCTACCTAACCTGAATACTAGGACCACATACTACGTTGTGTTTTCAAAAGTCGCTACAAGATATGTGTTGCCTGTCAGATTGAGGATCAAGTAAGGAATACAAATAAAACAAATACATGCTTTAAAAACCGAGATTTAATCAAAATAATTTGCATTGCAACATTAAATTTAGAAAATGGTAGTTCACCGAGTAGGTACAAATATAAAAATAGGCTGGGAAAAAAAAGAACTGACCAAAAAAAAACCAGCCAACAAATATTAAACTTTATAGCAAAACTAGTTATCTTTAAGGACATGGATGCATATTATGATGGTTGTTAAGTAAATTAATATAATGTCGAATTATAGACTCCACTGGAATTCCTAAAGAATTAATATTTGACACACATAACATAAAAAACCAATCATTAAAACATTACAATAAATTCACGTAAGTTTGGATATTGGATGGCCAGTCCAAATCCCACACCGAGTAGTCTTTAGTAGCTCTGGTCATGACATGTCAACCTTGTATGAAAACGCTAGGAGTTGGCCTCTCAGAAGAGAATTTCACTCGGAAAGGATACAAAGAAACTTTAATTCTTTCGCTTGCTTTGAGAATATTTAAATTGAATTTTAGCGGGCAAATTCGGTTCCATTACAACCTAACCGTCTTTTTATTGAACTGAAATTTTGTCAAAAAATTTGTTGTAAGTGATAAGGATTGCTTCTATACATGTGTCCATGTCTCCAGCTTTTTTTTATCATAAAGTGCAATTAATCTCAAATGTTAATAATCCATTTATTATACATCTTAGACAGTTCAATAAAAGGAACTAACGGAAATGCGTCTTATCAATTATTTATGATTAGTTGTGTGAAATCAGAACGGTTTCTTTGGCGATATTTCAACTTCTTCTGATATAAAGGTAAGTTGATAAATTTTGAAGGTAGTGTGTGAACTTTGATATCTATGTTTGTTTGCAGTAAGCTTCTCTTCCACTCAATATCAAAATATTGCACATAGGTATGCCATGAATGTATGTTTAAATTGATCTGAACTGAACGAACGAACTGAATACCTACATTGTTTACAGTTTAATTAATGTTTATCAACAGATACTTATAATTCAGGGCTTTTATCAGTCAATGTTATCTATTAAAAATATTACCTTCACACTATAATTAATTTTTAATATATATTTAATAGCCCAAAATCTCTACAAAACCATGTTTAACCAATAAATTTCACTTTTATAAATAATAAAAATGATGATTTCATCATACATTTTTTAAGAGATCTCCGGCGTACAATGCTTGCCGTTACTTTAATGCACTGCCTAGGTCATATATTGTAAACTATATACCGAAGTTTAAACAAAAAATTAAATCTATGTTGATACATAACGCGTTCTATAACGAAAAAGAATTTCTTGATTTTGTGAAGACCACCTCGTAAATGTATTGTTTGTGACGATGTGTTACAATGTGAAATTGTTTTTTACTAAATAAACATTATTATTATTATAGTTTAACTTGATCAGGATGATGGAAATAACTATAGAGACAAAATTCATGTGACCAAATAAAGAAGCTTTATGTTTAAAAGTAATGAGATACCTTTTGGTAAATCTTTTAAAATATAAATATGGCCAAAAGAAATTATTTTGTTAACATACAAGATCACCAAGGATTTAAAGTGTGCCCAGTGCGCTTTCATCACCAAGCATACATCCAGACTTAAAGCACATCTTAACATCTTTGAAGATCCCTGCAAGGATTTAAATGTGACTTGTGGGATTTTGTGAAGTACACATCCAATTTCAAAACACATTTGTTAAATACATTAACACAAGATCAGTAATAATTTCAAGTGGGAAATTTCCACACAGCATCTGAAGTGAATAAATGCATAATATGCGGTTACAGTAGTAGTTTGGCCTATTTTGTATGTATTCTCACTAGTTTGTACGGTTGTTCTGATGCGAACAAAATATTTTGTTTTTTGTCGGTCAGCCGCGCAAATACAAAGTTGATGTACTTATATAAATATATAGTGAAAAGTTAATTACACTCGTTGAGGAACGACGGTCGTTATGGAACCAAACAAGTTGTAAATCAGCATATGCATGATGAAAGTGCATTTTTGGTAATCTGGATCAGTATTTTATTAGCAAAGTTTAAAATTATCGATCTTACGAAAAAAATAGACTAGAGGCTGCACATCTACACTGTAGCAGAAAGCTTTTAGTGAAAATTTCTAGTCTAGCTATTGTATAATAGAGTATTTTTTTTTTCAAAAATGCGCTAAAAAGTAAGCGGTACGTTAATAGGAAATTAAATTAAAAATTGTGGTAGGAAGTTGAGGAGAAACTAAGCGTCTACCCAAAACCGTCTTCTCTTTTCCAATCAAATAAATCTCATTAAAGGCGTTTTCAACAAATACGATTCAGTAACTGAAACCTTTTCTTGTCCAATACAACCACTCTGTCTGTAAGTATTCGTAGGAACAAATTTCTTAAGAATTCGTGCGATTAAATTTTCGTACGAATTCTCATCCACTGGAACCACCGCCTAACGATCCAGCAAATGTATCTGCTCCAATTTTATCTTCAAATTTTTCACTAAATGAAAAAAACCACTCAGTAATTGTAAATTAGGAACACAGCCCCTAAAAGCATTAATTTAATGTTCTGCGTTTACGAATTTGTAGATAAGATGCCTTATTTTTTGTTGTACAGGTCAGTAAATAGTAGTTCTAAGTAAGCATTCTTATATGGAATTCTAGGTACTATTTGCATAATGGTCATATTCTGAACAGATTTTACTATGGTGTTCAGAACTTCAAAATTCCCAAACTGTAATCACGTCACGACTATCCCAGTGTATTGTATGATTAATTTAAAAAGTTTTCGGGCAGGTTTGAACCGCCCAAAAAAACCCTCCTGTTTATGTCCCTGGCTTGTTGTAATAATTATATTCATAATCAAAGTAACAAACCAGAATTTATGTGTTGATAGTCCATTGAACGTGCACAGGAGAGTTCTTGGCAAAGGGTGTATTCAAAAACTTACATGAAAAAGTAAATTAATGGAAATCGAAATTAACAACAAATTTGAATACAATATAAAAGTACAGACAATGATGTTTTCCCTTTTGAATTAGGGTACCAAAAGCGGGATACGTCCGAAATCTCATGTTATGATGGGTGCAACCAATGTAAAAATAGAGAATTATGTGTCTTTGCGAGTTTGAAGTCTTAGGTCTTAAGCAGCACCATATAAAATCTAATAATTCAACCACCAGCTGTGAGAAACTGGTACTGTTTTTTACAGAACAATTATTTTTTTTATATATTAGTTTTAGAACTGAATTTGAGTATTGTTATCTATTTGATCGACTTAGTAACACTAACACATTTATTCGTTAACAGGTGTTCCATTGTGCCATGTGCAAAGCTGATGAAAAAAAAAGAGCAGCTTCGCCTTCTTCACATTTTAAAAATAAACGCCATAAGAAAACTTCCTAAACCTATTGTACATAATAATATAGAGACAGCAATTGTATATTTGTGTAAATATTATTATATAATGTAAATTTTAGATAGCAGATTCTAAGAAATTATATTTCTATTAAGATTACTATTAAGATTTTCGGTAGTTCGATTATATCATATTTGTTCATTTACAAGTAGTGTGATACCGTGTGATACTAAATTTCCTTTACTTTTTCTAATGACGTTTGATAATTAGCTAGAAGCTGATATATCAAATATTGATACATAAAATACTGTGTTAGCTACAGTGAAGTGTGTACTAAGATCCGCCTGCATTCTGTGCTATAGTTTTTAATTTTTATTTCAATTTTTTCACTACGTGGGATTTTAATTTATCTGCCTATGGTCGTATTGATTTTTAAATTATGATTTCAATTTTCAATTAACTAGGCTAGTGTATATTATGTATTTGATTCTTTTAATAGATTATGAAACAGCAATTGCGTTTTAGTTATTTTTATTATTGTTAATCAGTTAACTGGTTAGTGGCTTTAATATACGTTAACTATATTAGTTTTCATATCAATGAATCTGCTTTGTGATTGTGATTATTTTTGTTAAATTATTTGTGGTAGTATATTTACGTTAACAATAACATAATTGGTAGTATCGTTTTTTTAAATAACTACTATTAACAATTTTAAATTTTATACCAATTATTCTGTGATAATACTATACTCGTAAAAGAATGTTGGTAGATGTCGATTTGAATTTGGCCAAAGCCCTAGAACAGTTTGCAAATTAAAAAGACTGCATTTGAACTGTTCTACTAGAATGGAGAGTTCTGTAATTTAAGAAATTGTATATTGACGCGCATTTTATTGTATCATTTTTGGTTGCACTTCAGGGTATTGTAATGCAGTTATGTTGCTGTTGTGCTGTTTCATTTTCTTTCAATTTTTGGAATATCATTAAATGTTAGTGACTTGTAGAAGCTTGATTGAAATAAATAAAAAATTACGCAATTTGTCATTATTCATTATAATGGTAGGGGCACAATTTACTTGCGTCACATTTTTTCGTTTATTAATATTGTTGTATCGGTATGAAACCATACCACACTTGTCTGAAGCGTTATCCATTGGTTCTTACGATGAAAACTGGTGTGATTACAATATAAGTAAATGTTGTTTCTGCAGTGTGTAGTGCGAGACATTTTAGTTACGTCTAGTTTCGTTTTGACTTGGTTATGACTTAAACATGTTTTTTTAATGATGTATATAATTAAATTACTAAAGTTTAGTATTAATTGAAATGTGTATTGTTGAAAGTAACCAAATTTTTGGATAATTGTTTTATGTAAATTGCCTATTTTTAATTGTTATATTTTCATAGGTATTTACTTTGACTGCAGACTTGCATATATTCTTGATTGCATTATCACCAAGTCACAACACTGTAACTTGTGACTGATTATTATAAGATAATAATAGAAATAATAGTGTACTTTTTACAGGATGATGTATTTGAAATAAAATTAATATGTGTATATGCAGTGATTGGTAAAATCTTGCAGAATGCATGAATGTTTTTTTTTTGTTTTTTTCTGCGTCCTTTTCCTTGTATTTCCCTCATTTCGTTTGGAATTTAAACCAATGAGGGTACTTTCTTCGGTGCATCCCATCCCGGCGACCATTAATATCCCTGCATTCGTCATCCAGGCAATTTATACCCGGCGACGACCTATCTTGGCGACTATTTCTTTCCCGGCAATGCACACTTTCCTAACGCCGTCTGTCCAACCTCATTTCTCTTTGGTTTTTTTTTGGACATAAATAATGATATGCTTTAGAAGCGGATGTCAAATTTGGTACCGAAAGTGGCTGTTATTGTGCCGGGACGCATGGTAATTAATGCTTAGAAATAGGTATAGGAGACTGAAATATGCAAGGAAGCTCAAATAAGTTGTGTTGTTTACACAATTGCCATCTGTGCAAAGGACCCATTTTTAAAAAATTGCGTTTGCCATTTACCTACGCAGGTAGATACCAGAAAACTTTACCTACCTATAAATGGCATATTTTCAATTTGATACTATAGTCCCTATTCAGATTGTATTATATCTAAAAAGGAATAATCACACTATAAAATAGCAAATCAGAAAACTTAAGTCTGGTGAATTGTTTCAATTTGTTAAACATGAATTTGCTTGATATATTTACCGTGTCTTAAATGTTTTCCATCCCTCTGATCGCAGAGTTCAAATTGCCGGGATGGCTGTGGCCGTACTTTCTTTGTACCTATTTCTAGTAATGATTCCATTTGTTTGTTAAAGACAGCCCCAAAATTAAAATGGTCAGGTGGGTGGAATGCAGACTTCTGTATGTGGTAGCTTCTACCTCGTGTAACAAGCTCAGGTACATTCAATTGTTTGTACTAAACGTTTGCAACTGCTTGTCCAGGAGGTAATTCCAGCTGATAGTGAGAGGGCAGAGCTCTTTTAAAAATATACCAAACAAATGTTTTCGTTGGTATCTTCCTACCGTACAAGACCTTGTTGGACATCCTCTGTATCCAAAATCCATCGAAAGACAACTTGTCATCGAACTGGAAAGGACTTGCAATAGATTTGAAGTATTGTTCATAGGACTAATTCTTTCGAATGGAACTGGCTTCAACGTGAATATTTCTTGGAGATCAGTTACCCCTTGACAAAATATCAAATCAATTACAAAATTTCAACAACTAGCAAAAACAATCTCCTGTAGTTTTTTACGAAGCAATATATATTGGATATCCATAAGTACCCATCACTGAATACATTTGAAACCCCGTATATAGGACCCAAATTTGTCCCAGGGGTGTCTGTACCCTTCTAGGCTAATTTCTAATTTTCGATTACACCGAATCTACCTGATGTGATCAGAGAGCTTCATCCACATTCACCTAAACCTTTGAATATATACCTATATTTTATATTCAAAGCCTAAACCTATTTAATAATAATAATAATAATAATAATAATATGATTTATTGCCCAACAGAATCAAATTCCAATTATAGGACAATTACTAATCTAAGAAAGCACAATAACTAAATATACTAATGTCTTAACCGCTAACCTAATAAAAACCAAATTAAATGATATTAAACTTAAAGATTAAAAATAAGATTAAAATAAGATTAAAAATATTCCATCAATCTTTTAAGATCAGATACTGAGCAAGTGTTAATGTCACACATATTAGCAATTTTGTTAAAGTTGCTTACCATAACAAATATAGGTGATTTACAAAGTAAGTTTGTATTGGCCTTAGCACAATTGAAAGTATATACATTACGAGCCGAAGAACGTGGCACATGAAACCGAATAAGGGAAAGAAGAGATGGACAATCTAGGTTATTGTGTAACAAATTGAAGAGAAAGTTAAGGCTTGACAGAGTTCTGCGAACTTCTAAGGAATGTACCTGAAATCGAGATAGCAGTAGTTGATGATCAGTACCAATTGCGGGATAAACTCTGTCCAATTTAAACGATAAAAACTTCAGAAACTTACGCTGCACTGCTTCCAGGGTTGTTTTATGGCAGTCATAGTAAGGATACCAAATAAGAGAACCATACTCCAGTTTGGATCGCACATAAGCAGCATATGGAGATTTGATAGCAAAAATATTGGAAAAATCACGACAATTTCTGATAATAAAGCCAAGCTCGCCTTTATACCCCAGCAGGTTTCTTGAATCATGTATCCTCTCAACCTTATGCTGTTGCAGCTGTTGAGTGGTGTAGATTAATTTGAACCACCTTAGTCATAGGTAGGACTACTTACCTATATCAGGTGTGGTTCCAGGTTAGAGATCCCCTTCCGTCTCTATGACCTCGCCTTCGTAAATGTCTTTCTCTTTGGCTTCGGTCAATGGCTTTAAAGGTAAACCCTGGAGAAGCTCTGATGTAGACGACACCCACACACCTCCCTCAACTCGTCCCAGGAAGTGTGATTCATCAGGACAACCAATCGGATGGTTTTCATTTCCTCATATTTTTTACTTTACTTGACCTTCCGTAATTTACACAACAATCCTGAAGATAATTAACATACTTTTAATAAGATAGTGAATACCACTACTGAGTTATTAAAACAAAAACAACCTCATTACTATATTCTGAACTCGTGTAGTTGTTTTTTAGTGCACTTGGATTGTACCTTAATGTGAATAGTTTGGACATTTTGTTTATAAAATGCAATGCACATTTTCGGCAATGTGCTCTTTCCGAGGCGCCTATTGCTCCTTTGCGCCGTAAGGAACCTCGCCCCCCCTCTGGGCCGGCCCTGCGGTCGGATCAAGTTATGCAGGGCCCTCCTGTGTCAGTACTCCGTAAAGCGGAAACAATTCACGGATAATCAAACATACCTAATAGTGCTTACGACTTAAAGTCACTGGTCTAGTGACTAATAGTGCTGATCTGAGTGTGCCCTCTGTTGTCTGCCATGGTGTACTACAGAATACATGGTGGTGTAAACACACCTTAGATGAATATTAACAGGTTATTTGCATTAAGAAATTTATAAATAAATATGTGACATCGTTTACATATTTTCGTCAATCTTTCTGTTAATGTTCTTCAGTACTGCTAGTTCTTCGCATAAATGTTAAATTTTATTTGCCTGTTAAATTGTCACAAACGGTAGGCAACACTAACGTGGTAAAGATAAAACAAGTAAGACATGCCAAATATTTTGAATTTTCTCTTTTAGTATACGAAATGCAAAGCTCTTCATGTATACAAACACCAATGGAACATAGTTTTCAATACTGTGACATATCGGCACCACACCAATAAATGAGGCAGCTTAATATCCAGTATTAAAGCGCATTATGTTAACCAGCGTATCACAAGAGTTTCGAAAGTTTTCTCGCCACTGTTACACGTTACGAATGATACTGAAGGACACGTCTCGTTCCTTGGAGGACATTCAGTGTAACTTGTCTTTAGGAGGTAACTCACTTAACACTATACTTCAGAATGAATTCACTTTCTCATTGCAGAAGAATTTAGGGAAAATTTTCGAAAGGAAAACGTCATCGGCCGTCTGCAACACATGTTAGAAGAGTGCTTACCTGCTGTACTCGTTTTTGGACAAAGTTGTCACGTGAAAGCCACTTTTATTAATTACATGTTGGACCAAACAATATTACCTTTGAACAGTAGCGGATGGAGATGGGTGTGTTTTTTTATTGCTACCTTAAAATACTTTTTACCTGTTTCATCTGTGTAGGTGAGATTATCGTACGGACACACAAAAGAAATACGGCTCACTTTAATGCACGAATACGAAATTTTGGATAATCTTCAAGCACATCAGAGACCATGGGTAACAGTACCCGAAAGTGACTTAAAACGTACCGAGCAAGAATCAACTGCCGATTCGTGCCAAGCTTTAGAAATTAAACTAAATAGTGCATTTCTTAAAGATAAAGTGAATATTCTCGTTCCACCCGATTATCCATCCGAGTGTCTATCAGATACTTTGAAAGATCTTATCCATATTTTACCTGTGATAATTTATGTTGTAGATGAATCTCTTAACGATTGTGTAAGTATACTCATATACCGATATTCCAATTTTTTGCCAATCCGCAGCTTTGATAGTGCAGGTGGACATTGGCAAACCAATATACACGATGTTTCAAAATGATTCCAAAAGGTATCTATTACTGAAATTTCTTAATGTGTATGAAAGCAATTAATAGAGCATAAATGGGGGTAATAAAGAAAGCAGAATTGCTATTTTAATCTTGTTACATTGAATCAAATTAAATACGGTGAAGTTTCATTCGTTCTTTTACTATCTGGAATTAATCTTTTTATGAACTGTTTATAGTTTTCTATGGGACATAAATGTCGCCCTCGAATTGGCTATTTAAATTCTCGAGCGGCTATAAATGTAATTGTCTTTCAAAGATCCATATTTAGTATATGTATAACAATGGTGTCAGAACACGGTACTCATAAAAGGCAAGTGGAACGTCACGACGAGCCATATCTATTGGTGATGTCAAGGTTTTTAGTACAAATATCTGCAGAATAGAGTGTCAGAGCACTTTGAATGTATGCCAGGCGGCCTTTAAATGTTTATGTGTAAAGAGCCTCCTCGCCATTAATCATCCACTAAAAAAGTAAACATCGACAGCATCCTACTACTTGATAACACAATCATTTACTAAGGTATTTCGGTTTAAAAAAATGCGCATAATCTGCACAATAGTTGTGCATAATTTATACTTGTTTGTATTCCTTCAGCGTGGTTAAATTGGTCAATTAATAAAAGTAAGTGCAGCAGGCCGGATTGGTGATGCTGGCGGGCCGGTTTTGGCCTCTGGGCTGTAGTTTGGAGACCTGTGAGTTATATCATGGTGTAACTCACGATTTATGACATAATACAAGCATGGCTTAATAATACTTTATTTCACATCGATGTTAGAACTAACTCGAAACACAATTCGATTTGCTTATATAGCAAACAACGATCGTTCTAGAATGTTCTTCGAGTGCTCCCGAACTCCTCCGAATGTTCTAGAACAAACACGTCGTATTTCCCAGAAAGAATGGGCGGCATCCACCTTAGTTTCTTATCGCCGATGACTAATGTTTCATGGCGCCTCGATGTCTATTGGAATTTCTAGAATATTCGCTACGGTAGTGTAAATCAGCAGTTCTTAAAGTGGGTGCCGCGGCACCTTAGGGTGGCCCAAGGGTGCCGTGATTTTTTTAAATACATATTTTAATTAAATTTACTTACATTAAAAAAAGAATTAAAACATGTTGGTGAAAAATATTGATTAACTTAAAACTGTAGTTGACATTTGCGCAAAATGATTTTTTATAAGTATTTGTTGATTTGTTGTTAAGTTGAAATTATCAAAGTGTGCATTTGCCAAAGACTCCGGATCGGGGGGAGGGGAGCGAGACTAATACTAGTATCATCTTGTCTCAATAAGTTAAAGACTATAGAATTATTTGCCAATGTCCTCTACACTGTAATTGCAAAATACATAAACAAAATATTTTTTACTGATCTTAAAAATCAATAGACTACGTATCTCTTTTTACAGCATATTCAAGAAATACGTATTATAAAAGAAGCATATCAGGATCTTCCAATTTTGTTTATAAACATGACAAAAAATGGCATTGAAACACTATCACCGCCCGAACAACCCATTTTACGTGCATTGCCTCATTTAAAAAATGACAAATTCAGCAAAAAATATATACTCTTAAAAAATCAACTTATTAATTTAGGTAAGTGGTTCGGCGATTCCACTATTTCATGTTTCAAGTGGTTCATTTCAGGTTTTATACGCGATAATGTAATGAACGGAGGTGAATTTACTCAACCGTTCTGTACAGAATATAACAATATGTTATCGAACGATTACGAATTCAATGACAAGTTTGTGATATTCGTTCGTCACACCTTCAAATCGTATCTTTTAAATATGTCTTCTAAATTAAGTATGGTATGTGCAGGTGTTGTCGTCCTCGATGATTAGCTTACTCATATTACGGTTGCAGATTCACAATGAGTGTCTTAAAAATTTTATACTACGGACTTTCGACATGGCCCGAGAAATTCAAATAACACCTCAAAGAATCAAGTATGCGCAAATTACAGAGGCTGGATTATATCGAGCTTTAATGGAGATTGCGGGGAAAAAGCAGGAAGAGTTAGTTCGAATAATTCAGTCTACTCTACATGATATGAAATTAAATGCTAAGCAAATATTGGAAGATTACTATTGTGAAGGTAAGGATTTTGCATACATTAAGGGTTATCTCTGTCGAAAATATCTACGCCACAATAACACGTGCGGGGCTCGCTACGCGCAGTCGCAATGCTGACAACCTTATACTGTGTCTTGTTGCAATCAAATTCGTCACTGCACATCATTATTAGCTTTTTTTCCTGCTAGAGTAAATTACTTTACGTGATTATGGACAATTGAAAATTTACGGTACTAAGCTGGTTGTCCATATTTATGGATTTTGTGTGGAGGGTGAACTTACTTCCACTATGGTCGTCCGTCCGTCGCCAGCGTCATTTAAGCACCCAAGTTTGTCGCAAACTTAGGGACGCCTGCAGGAGAAGCTGCCATTTTCAGTCGGAATTTCCCCAACAGTGGATATTACGAGCAGCATTTTGCGTACATTCTGGCTAGTTGGACAGCTTTCTTATTTCCCTTTGCCCTGACCCACACAAGTTCTTTTTGTGAGGTTGGGTTGGGAATTGAGTTGTCCGACCTCGGTCTCTTTTTGTCCAAATTTGAGTGCTTACCTATTTGGAGATCGGGAACCTGCAACTGAGTTTGAGGGGTATCCTGAGACGCGCAGTCTGTGTTTTTTAAAGTATTAATATCCATGCTAGGAAGAGTTGACTTATTTCATTTGCTCCCCATCCGCCAGGAAACCCCAGGAAGAGGTGTCTGGGCTACAGCTCCGGAAGGTAACAGCACGCAGATCTAGGTTTGTGTCTAGTAAGTACAAACATGAGAGTCTGCTTTTAGCCTGGATTCTCACTTAGGGTTGTCATACGTCAAGTTGACATAAGGAATAAACTAAGCCATCCTGATATTACACACCCAATCGATCATTGTATCACATAAGCCTCACAACCGCCGACTCGTGTGGCACAGTTCAGTTAAAGCTGGACTGTGGTGCTAAGGGTCCCTGGTTCGAATCCGGGTTCGGGCATGGATATTTGTAAAAGTGTAGTGGCTTGAGTTGGTAGAACAGCCTTGGCTGGAACCCCGCCCACTCAAAAATAAAGGCAGAATACAACCACTTCAAAGAACAGCACTGAAGGGTTACTAAACTGCTCTTTATATTAAATTTTAGAGATGGACGGCAATAATTCGCACCAATCATTCACAAAACCAGTTTCAACGGAAATTCAGCAGATCATTTTAAATAAATTGGGAAACGCGGTGGCCATCCAATTAGTGCAGTCGGTCGGCTGTCTACATGAGAACTTCACAGGAACTTTGCAGCGATGCTTAGAAAATCTGGAAAAAAATTGTAAAGACCAAGATGGCAATGTACTGGCATCCGACGCTGTTAAAAAAATTATAACTGCAGCTTATAGTATTGAGCTCAAATCGTCTTCGTCTTTCTCGATCGCGCATTCGTTTATGGAAAGGTTGCGCAATTTTATACATAGCTTTCAACTACCGTGGGTGGCTCATTCTCAACAGCAATACGACTTTAGCTGGCGATTGCAGACAGTCACAAATATGCTGGATTCGTTGAGCTCGTCGAAGTTAGCAAAAACGGTTTCGGCACAAGTGAGTAGACAAATGATCATCTGTTGATGGTGGGTTTATTCAATTGGAACGTTTTTGATCATACCTTCAAAATTATTGCTCGCAGAAACCCATCAAAGTACTCTTAAACTTAGCAAGCAATATTGCGCATGCATGGATGTAACAGTTTCAGGAGGTTGTTAGATCGTCACACGAAGCATTTCAGGCAGCTATGAGGTCATTGGAACATCAACTCTCTGGCAAATTAGAGCGTATGGAAGAGCAACGAATAGCCATAAGAAAGCAGTACGCGCCGCGTTTCGCCCGACTCGCTTTAGAAAGCACGTCGCTTTGTGACCTTGTGCAATGGGGAATGCCAATACAAAGCAAAGAAATAGGAAGGGGACAATACGGAGTTGTGTTTGCTTGCGAACCGTGGGGCGGCATAGATCCGTGTGCAGTTAAATCAGTTGTGCCTCCCGATGATCGGCATTGGAACGATTTAGCAATGGAATTTTATCATACCAGGTAAGTTTGGGAAAAACGTTTAGTTGAAACTGTAATTCGAGAACTAATGTTTTCATGTTAAAAGTCACGCATGCGCAGAGCTTTAACCACAGATGTTGATCTTGGCAAATATAGTAAAAGATGCTTCAAATCTCACTCACGTCTCCTTTAAATTTTCCTAATGCTATCTCTACATATCCTATGCGATCACCTACACCTTCAACCCTACATCTTCTTCATGTCTTTTTTGCATCTCCTACAAGCATTCCTCCCCATCATTTTTCACCTTATTCGCCCTCGCTTCCCCCATGCCTTCTGGAAATTTTTATCGTGCATCTTTTTTTCTTCTTTATTTACATTACCTCTCCTTCAACACTCCTTTAGGTTTTTTTCACTTCCTTTTTCTTATAACTGAATATACTTCTTTGCGCTTTCTTCATCTTTCTTTTACAGTTTCTTCTTCCTTCATCCTCTAACATGTGCTTCGCATCCATCCATTATATCTCCTCTTCCTCCACTTTTTGTACATGAATTAATTATGTTTTTTTTTTTCTAAAGAACAATAGCTGAACATCCACGCATTGTAAAATTACGAGGTTCTGTAATCGATCATCAATACGGCGGAGGTTTTTCAGCGGCAGTGCTGCTAGTCATGGAACGCATGAATAGAGATCTGTACTGTGGATTGAGGAATGGTTTATCGTGGTTGATACGACTTCAGATTGCCATTGATGTTATTGAAGGAATAAGATATCTACATTCGCAAGGTTTAGTTCATCGTGATATAAAACTGAAAAACGTTTTGGTATACTTACTTACATTTCAAAATCACCACATATTCACCTTTTTTTGCAGCTGGATAACAACAACCGCGCTAAATTGACTGATTTTGGATTCTGCATACCAGAAGCCATGATGTCAGGTAGCATTGTAGGTACACCGGTACACATGGCCCCTGAGTTGTTATCGGGACATTACGACTCCAGTGTTGATGTGTACGCTTTTGGAATACTATTCTGGTACATTTGTGCAAATCAAGTTCGATTGCCGTATGTTTTTGAGCAATTTCTTAACAAGGAACAGCTGTGGACAAGTGTTAGGAGAGGTAGCATGATTCGTCTAAATCGGTGGTTCCCAACCTGAATCAAACAAAATGTAGCTACTAACTAAAATTGACAACTGATCATTGAAATCTTAGTACACTTTTCTCTGTTTCGTTTTGTACTTTATGCTATTGAAGTGACTACTTCTTTTTGCTTGGTATGCACTATATGTTTTGGGTGGGAGTAAAATCATCTCATTCGTACTGCCACAAAATATAGCTTTGTATTCCTATGGTCATCACGTGTAACGCGTGTTCGAACCCAGGCGCGCGCTTTTTTTTCTGTAATGCATCGCAGCAAAAAGAATGGAGTGAAGGAGTGGGAGAGAGAAAGAAGTATATAGTCACTTCTGTTGGCATTGACAAAGAGGCATTTTCAATTTGTTTTTTATTTAATGTTATTTATTTATTTTTAAGTGGGCGGGGTTTCAGCCAAGGCTGATCTACCAACTCAACCCACTATACATTTACAAATATCCATGCCCGAACCCAGAAACAAACCAGGGACCCTTTAATACCGCACTCCAGCTTCAACTAAACTGCATGGGTGGGTCTTATTTATGAACGAATAACAAGTTATATGCTAGGTAAAAATCTCCACACCATGACAACTCGGCTTGCTTGAACATTGTTGCTAGTCTAAAAGTTTTTCAAGTTTTGAGATTATACCTCTTTAAAATACTCTCTAGGGGGTCGCGGCCCACCGGTTAGGAACCACCAGTTTAAATGTTTGTACTTATAGATTGAAATTGTAGGTCTTCGTCCAGAATGTTTACCTATCTTTTCTAAGGGGTGTTGGAATTTGATGGAACGATGTTGGGCGGCCGATCCGGAAGATCGTCCGCCGTTAGGTGAAGTACAGCCTATACTAGAAGCTATCTGGTACAAAGCTACCATGGATACATCAATAGGAAAGGTACACACAAAAAATAATTGCCCTTCTATTTCTAGAAACGATAATGATTTTGTGGAAAATTACGAGTACTCTCAAAATCCCTATGTTTATTTGAGGGAATATTGATTGTTGATAATGTTACGCAATTGTTATAAAACAGAATCTATGAAACTTTTCATTTACAGTGTTCTTGTATACTGATTTTTGTTTTATTCCTTATTACAGATCATTAAACTGTGAAGATTGCAAGATTGTCTTAATTTAGTATTAAGTTATCAAGTTTGCATTTCAGCCGTTGTTCATGATTATAAAGATCGAAGTCTGAGGTGCTATCGACTAACATTATTGAGGTGTAGAAATTGTTGTTATGTGTTTGGGAAGAGAGTTGTGTAATGCTTTAAAAAACAAATGAAGGTAATGTGGCTGTGATTTTATTTAAAGTAGGTTTTTGTACTAAAAAATCAATCCCAAATTTTGTATATTAACTACTTGTCGTAGGTACACAAAGGATAAAGACTGATTTCATATTCTTATACTTTGTTGTGTACTTGATGTTTTACTCACGTTAGTTACAATAGATTGTATTGTCGTTCTTTTATAAGTACTTTGATAATAAATTGTTTTATTACTGTATTTTACTCAATACTTACGTGACTTAGGTGTAGCTTACCTACATCTAGAGTAGGGTGGATTGAGAATTCGAATTTTGAAATTGTGTTTTGTGATAGTACACAATAGTTGTCTTTTCTTATTCCAGTAGAAATATGTTACAATATTTTTATTGTAATACGTCCTCTGCTTTCTATCTATTCCCAATCTTTTGTACTTTTGCATATCAACAGACTTGTAAAGGATTTATCTTCTAATAGTTATAAAAATAATAATCGCACTGTATTGTCATTGTCTATGCCATACTTGTTATCTTGACCTATTAATTAATGTGTTCAATTCAGATTATTCTGAGATGTATCTGCTTCGCCTCCCCTCCCTCTTCATTTACGTTTTATTTACAGGAACATCACGTCTTCTTCTGTATGTTCCCTGTATATTTTTGTTTTGCTCGCCTTTGCGGCATTACTGCAAGCTTATAGTCAGGGGGTGGGCAGGCGGAATTCAGCCCCTCCTAGAACGATGGTCTTGCTCCCTTTGGGGACCATGGTAATAATAGTTTTAATGGTTCCTTTAGAAAGTATAAAATATAAAGCTACACAACTCGACATACAGCTACAATTAGACTGGGTAAACAAAAACAAGGAGACAAAAATATTTGAAGCTTTTATAAAAAATAACGTGGAAGGAATATACATTTCTGTGCACTTAAATGGTGGTTTGTGGACCGTGTAAATAAAATGTTACCTTCGCGTTCTCATTCAACACTGGAATAGCTCTTTTGCCCCCTTTTAACATTTTAGTCTTCCTACAGGGCGCTGCGCAAGCTTGCACTCTTGAATTTATATCTCATTCTAACCCTTACATGAAAACTAAAGTAAGTATATTTTAAAAGGGTACATTCTGCACTGGCAGAAAGTTCAATTGAAATTGAATTGAAAAACGTGGTGGAAAAAATTGGACCCGGAAAACTCGCCCCAGGAAGATTCACCCTAAAAAAATTTGACTAAAAATTCGCCTAAAGAAAACTCGCCTCCAGAGAATTTGCTCCTAGAAGATTAGCAGGCTCTCGTAACTATAATACCGAATTACTTAACTATAACTATGCAATCGAAAGTGTCATTAATGCACTTATATTACAAAATAGTGCAACAAATATAAAGTGACTAATAACCCTGTAAATTAAAAGGTAGGGAGGCCTGGGGAAATTCTGTATTGTCAAAGCACTATATCGTACCATGGAAATCACTTTTGGTGTACATGTTTGCTCGATATTTATGGTTATGCTTTGATTACATGCGGTCATGACCTGGAGTTTAATTTATATTTTTGGTCATTCGTTTGAATTTGTGGATGCTTAATGTGTGTTCTGTTGTTTGTAATAACACTACGCCGTGGATAGACAGTCGCAGGGATGGGAAATACTGTAACCAAAATGGACACGACCTAAACGTGTGATTGATCTCGAATCTCAACTGTAGGCTTGAATATCCCACAAGAGGGACAAGCATGGTTCATTATCAATCATTTGCCAACAGGGGCGGACTGGCCCGGGGGGGCGGGTGGCAATTGCCACCTGGCCTGTACGTCATAATGGCCCGTTGGAAATTTATAAGTATGTGTTGTATTTAGTTTCTTGCACTATTAATAAATTAACACGTTTCTCTAATTGGAGTTGATGTTAGGTTGTTAAAAAATTAAAAAATTCTGTTTTAATTGAAGTGTTTTACAAGGAATTTACTATTTTTTGTCGTAGTATGAAAGTGCTGAAATACAATGATAGGCGACGCGCCTCGTTTGGATTGTATATTTTGTTACTTTTAATTATCAGCTGCAATTTAAAAAAAAAACTGTATTGTAATTGATTTCCGAAAAAAGGAATACTAAAATGAAGCAAAAAAATGTTTTTGTGGTGCACCGCAGAGCTACCCCCGCCACCTACATTACTACACTAATACTTTAATGACCCGTAACCTATGCAATTCCACCTGGCCCGTAAGTACCCAGTCCGCCCCTGTTTGCCAACAAATTTCGAACTTAAATCGTAAAGCAGACTTAATTTTCAGCAGGCCCCTCGTAATAATCCGTAATTGAATATAATATATCAAGTTGGCACTTGAAATGTTACTATCCTGTGGTACCAACCCCCCCAGCCAATCCCAAAGCTGCATTTCGCGGTATTTGTTTAATGGAGGTTATGTTGCGCTCCGAACCTCCGATGTCGGTTATGATGGTCTCAGGTCTGTGGTCGGGTATGCAGTTGTACTTTAAAATGGCTTTAATTATTTATTTTTTTGTGTTTAAGCTTGTGGAAATTAAGAACTCGTCGACCATATTATAAGTAAGATGTTTCTTAAACCCTTCAAAATGAGGTCAACCCATCAGTTAAATAAAACTGAGAGGTAAGTGGTAGACTGTTCAACCGAATTGTTATTAGTTGGTATTCTAGGCGTGAATTGAAGAAATTTTGCATTAAGAGTTTCCCGCTAATCAGCGACTGTAACTTTTATGAGGACTGGATAACGAGAAAAGACAGAGTAACGATTTGCAAACTGCTCACATATGGTGGAGAGTTTGTGAATGCTTATTTAGTGAATCAAGTGCCTTTATTCTTTGAGTATGATGAGCAGCTATTCCCCACTGTCTATTTTTTATGGCGCCATCCAGATGCTTTATTATACTTCACGACACACTCACAAGTAGTACGAAAACTGCAAAATGGTGCAGATTTGATGTTGCCCGGGCTGTGCCCTGAGATATATTCTAGTCTTAGTATTGCAACGTTTGAACGTGGAACTAAACTTTTTGTAAATACTTCAAATAATAAAGCTGCAGTCGCTGTCGGTGTAACGGCAGACTCGGCTTCGGTACTACGTTCATGTAAAGTGGGCAAATGTGCCATTATTTATCATTCTTTTGACGATTTTCTGTGTAAAATAAATAATATGCCTACCTCTCCTATTCCCCAATTGGGGCAGTCACAACTTCCAATTCCATCATTGCAAATGTTACAACCTGTGCTGGAGGAACCAAATACGCAATCGACGTCCAATGAAACTCCAACTTCTCCAAATGAAGAGGCTAATATAAAAGCTATGGATGACTTATTATTACGCTGCTTATTGGTTGCAATGAAATTTACCAAAGATATAAAAATACCAATGTTGGTCTCGACTTTCTGCAATACATATATAAAGGAGGCATGTCCCGCTGCTGACATAAAGAAAAGTTCCTATGGGCGTATTACGGCGTTCCTACAAAAATGTGCCAAGGTAAGAAATTTCATAATTATCCTGCAATTTTAAGGGGAAGCTGAGGGATGAGATTTTCAAAAACATATATTAAAGTAGACAAATGTTTCTAAAGTAAATAAACCGCGTGTAAGGCGGATCTAGAAATGCAACAGAGTGAGTGACGCTACAGGCTCTTTGGATTTAATCCATATAGGTCAATAGTGTAAAGTTTGAACTGAATTGGTCTGAGCGTTTGCAAGTTATTGTGTACAGAGACAGCCACTATCGATTCTCCTAAGAAGCTTGCATCATTTTTCACTGCCGCTTAATGAGTAATTTTTTGTCCTGGAAGTACTTTGGGTAAATGTTTTAAAGTTGAATACCACCACATCGTTAATAAAATAATGATCTATGATTCTGAGATTTTTAGACCAGAAATTCTTTCTAAAACAAATGAAAATATTACTCTACTAACTACAACACCTAGAAAATTTTCTGAATCGCTTAATGGTAAATTAGTTTTATTAAAGAGTAAATGAAAGCTTTTATTGGTTTTGGGAGATCAAAAGCTACTGAAAAATGAAAAAATCAGTATTTAAAAAATAAGGTACCGTCGCATCGGGAAAGTAATAGTTATTTGTACAACTAGAGAAGAAAGTGAAGTTTTTCAACTGCAGTTCATGTATTAATTGAACGAGAGTTGCAAAACGCTTTCTTCTCAAGTTTTACACATAATTTTTTCTGAAACTACAATCAAAATTGAAAAATTATCGTATGCAATAATGAAATTTGACACATAGCAGTCTAGATGTGGGTATGTTTCAATTTTAAATGTCATTAACATTATTAAGATTAACGTGGCAATAGAGAGGAAAATCAGATTTTCTTCGCCGTTTTTAGAGACGAAAGTAGCAGAGCAGAGAGCATTGAAAAGTGCCAAATATTCAGTTTTAACAGATTAACCAGCATGAACATTACTTCAATTTAACCAACTCTTTATTTCTTATAGATAGCAATACTATTGCACCTAATTTGTAACACTCCGTATACATTATATGACAAAATTCTTTAAACTCTCATTTTTATTTGAATTTGAAAGTTTTAAGAAGTCTTAAAAAAAGATCCAAACTTGTGCTACGCGAAGAACAACCATTTGAATCTAAAGGAAGCAATGATTGTATTCGTCAGCACATGTAACAGGTCTTCCGGTAGGCGAGTGTATGCGGTAAAAAATGCTAGATAGGTCAACTGAACGCACATACGTGTTAGATGTGAAAAAGTAGCAGTAATGTTGTGCGTGATATGATATGATATTCGTACTCCTTTATATTCTGTATTCCCCTAACACACTCAAATGTGATCACACAAAGCAAGGTGGCTCCCGCACATTGTCTAGCACTAGGTCCATCAGCAGAATAGGTAAGTGAAGGTTTAAACTTCCTGCTATGCAGTTTAAAACTTCCGATGGTAATTGAGATGGTAATGTTAAAAACTGACTTTCATTTTGGGCCCAGTTTAGCAAAGTACATGACGATCTTCGTGTAGACCTCAATGATAAAGTTGAGTATTTGCTGCAGGCTACTGTACCAAATAGTACGGCCAGGCAGCGTGTGAAAAGTTTCCGATTGGAAAAAATTATCAACAAATTGTTGAATGTTTAAAAGTGTTCTAGACCCCATTGGCAATTAGAATGTCTTTTGAATAAAGTACCAAAAGAATGAAAGAATACCGTGTGTAATCGCTCCATTTATAGTTAATTAATTAGCCAATTTTTTAATTTGAAAATAATGCGAAGCTTTTTATTGCATTTTCAAAATGACATTCATAAACTAATTTGATGTGATCCCCCTCTATGACCTTTTATGTAATCAATGGACTATATTAAAAATTATAAAATAAATAAAAAAAAATAAAAATAAAAAAAATTGTTGTAAGGTGCTAAACTTGTTTTTTATTATTTTATAGGACGAGCTCATCTCATTAAGCAAGAAAGGACACATATATGTTATTACGGAGTTCAATTACGACCACCAGTTGGTTAAGGAGTTCGAATATAATTCTGAACAAGAACCAAAAATATCTGTACCGACCCAAGAGAAACCGAAGTCGATGACTGTTAGAGATGTTTATTTCATCACGCAACCTGTCCTCCCACTTTTTCAGAAGATGGGAATGAGGTGCTTTCATTGTATTATTAGTTAAATTGAAAAACATTTGTCAATTATTTGTACCTGCCTTCATCCTCCCCAGTACTACTGTAGACGTATGGTCTGGCATTTGGCAATTTATTTTGCACCTGATTCTTAAGAACAATTCAAGTGTTTAAGAAAACATATACTGACATTACTCAAAATTTGTCAAATTTTTAGGGATATCGAATTGAGATAATCGCGTAAGGCCCAATGTAATTGGCAACGTATGATAATTTCTCATTACTTTCCAATGTACAAAGAAAATTTTGATTTATATACGAAAAAATTCGTGCTTAATTCGTTTTTCATGTTTTATGCCCTAATGCATGGACCGCTTTTGGAGTATTAAGATTTAATTTATTTTAGGCCTGGCACTGCAGTGTCTGTTCCACAGATAGACGAAGCCATTAAGGATTACCTTAAAACACATAACCTTGCATTGCAAGGCAACCAGCTCGAGTAACATCTATTTTAATGTAATTTGCAGTAAATTAAATTTTTCTAGTTTTAGCGCAATTGACATAACCGACTTTATCAAATCCCTCTTGCCAAAGGAAGGAATAATATTAACCTATCTAGATTTGAAGAAACGCATCTTGGATCGCATGACAAAAGGTCATACACTTAAAATTGGAGATGTTGAAACGACTAAAAAAGGTGAACTTGAACCAATAAAGATTACCACTGCTTTCCGAAGCAATAAATGTGTAACTTTGGTAAATAACGCGGAACAGTATACTATAAATTTACTCACACTCGCCAAAGAGTGCCAAATTGGGAAGGCTACAGGAGCAAAAGTTAATCCAGGTGTTCGTCCTTCCATAGGTAATGAACTGCAATTACAGGGCAACCAGATTACTTTTCTAAAAAATTTGTTAACTAGTAAGTGTCATTGTCAGTATTCGTTGGAGTTAATAGTATGTTTTCAGGTAAATACGGGGTACCTGAAAATTGTATTGTATCATCTCAAAAAAAGAAGTAAGTTTGTCTGTGTTAAATTAATATGTCTTCCATTTGTGTATAAAATAGTGGTAGTTTGTTTCGTTTATTTATGTAGAATTGTTTTCTCGATGACTGAATTTCGTTGCGAGTTTTATTAATAAAACGTTTATACCATTCTTAATTTTGTCAGAAAAGCATTTTTTTATCTTAAATTGAAAAAATATATATACAGTGTGACCACAAGTTCGCAGCATATGGGAAACTTTTTTATTATTTGCATAAAGAAAAAAAGTGAAACCTGAAACACAACAATCGGATATCAAATGTTTTCAATCATACGAGGTATGTCCACAAAGTAAGTTCCGTTTGGTTATATAAAAAAAACCTGCACAGATACAGGAAAAATATTTATTGTACAAAAATCGACATTTCTATATGACTTCCGGAATTTTGTAGGCACATGTCATAGCGTAGCACAAGTTTTTGTATGCCTTCTTTATAGAAGGTTACCTACCGCCTATGTTTTCAACCATGTCGTAACATGTTCTTTCATTTCGTCATCATTGTTGAAGTGTTGACCACCAAGGGAAGATTTCAGGTGTAAGAAGAGAGAGCGAGAGACCTGAAAACGAAGTAATTCGTATATCATTAGATGAGAAAAAACTCTTTTTTCAATTGATATCATTATAAACCCTCTTAAGTTAACACAGGGAACAATGATCTGCAAAAAAGCTTTTTCCCATGTTAATTGCCATTCGGTTTTGAAATATTCACCCGGTATATGACCTAAGGCATTGTTTAAACAATGCCTAACCTAAGGCCATCACACCCGGTATATGATCTAAGGCCATTACACCAACCATCCTCTACCTACAGTATACCAAACACTGCAGCACTGATGTTCATATGGTTTCCTATATGTTAATTTTGTTCTATCGATTTCAGATACTATGTAAAGTTCAGTTCAGATGTACTACACGAATGACGTGCGTACAAACTTAGGAAAATCCGATTATAGTAAAGTTCTCAGTGAAAATATTGAGAACAAAAAATAAGAATATAGTCATAGTAGAGTTGCCTTTTAGGCACTCGGCCACTAGACAAACAAAGGAGTAGGGAAATTGATGGATTAACCAAGATGAAATAAAAGTCGCCACAAGTCGAGGAAGATGTAGAATGTAAGTGGAACCATTGAATAAAAACACTATAAGAAGCCTAACGCTTATGGAAGAAAGCGCGACAAATCCCCTTGCACCCGCATTGGTTGTGACCACCGAACTCTCTTTGCGGTAAATAGGAGGAAAGCAAATTCTCGTTCTTCTCAGTTCAAGAATCGACACTATTGACAGTGTTCCCATTATATTCTCAGTTCAATCTCTGTCGCGCTTTATTTCCACGGGGTTAGGCTTCTTATAGTGTTTTTATTCAATGATGGAACAGAATCAAGGCGGGAATAATCAAAGCAGCTGAAAGTTGGATATAAGAAAGGAATACGATTAAAGAAGCCTTTGATCAGGAAATCATAGCAAAGATGAAAGAAAGAAAAAGGTACAAAAACATCAATACCGAAGGAGGTAGAAGACAATATCGGAGGCTAAATACGGATTTGAGAAAAGAAACTGGTGAAGCTAAGAAAAAGTGATGGGAAAATCAATTGGAATGAAATAGAAAACCTTGATAGGATAGGAAGGCACGATATTACTTACAACAGGATTAAATAGGTTACCTGGGTGGAAGACAGGAATGGAAAAGTAATGAAAAGAGAAAGAAATTCTAAGTCGATGGAAAGAGTATATGGTAGATCTCTATAAAGCACATAACGAAGGCAATTGGAACTGGAAACCGAAGAATGGGTCTGTCCTGACAATATAGGAGCCAGCATTATGTCATAGTGTAAAGAATACACTAAGATTATGTTTAACGAAGTAGAAAGAGTAATGAAAGATATGACATCAGGTAAAGCTACAGGGATAGATGGAATTCCAGTAGAAATGTTAAGGTGTCGTCAGGAAGAAGGAATTAACATCTCTATATGATATTTACGAATCAGGGGAATGGCCTGAAGACTCTAATCACTGATGATACCTCTGAGCTAAAAAGAAAGGAACAAAGGCAGTGTGATGGTGAGCATAGAACAATCGGCCTGGTAGGACAGACAGCAAAAATCTTGTTGAGAGTGTTAGAGGATAATGGGAGAAAATGTGCTAGAAGCACAATTCGGATTTAATCATTCCTCGTGTGTAATATGTGTTGCCTATGAATTGGGCGAAATTGAATAAGTGTGGCAACACCGCGAATCGCGATTTGGACAATCAAAACGTCAAATCTACTCCGTAATCTGTATCTCGTTCCATTTCATTAGTCATTTAATAATTAATTGAATACGTGCGCTGATTTTAGGTGTACGTTCGTATGTAAATAGTGCTACTTTGGTAATAAGTGGGCGAAATGTTTAGTTGGTTAACCAGAAGTAGCGACAAAGAAGAAGTGTACGAAAATGTGGTCCAGGGTCTTAAAAATATTTACAAAAATAAGTTGCTGCCTCTTGAACTGCATCACCAATTCCACGATTTTCACTCTCCCCAATTGGAAGATTCAGATTTCGATGCGAAACCTATGATTCTTTTAGTCGGTCAATATTCTACAGGAAAAACAACCTTTATCAAATATTTATTGGAACGTGATTTTCCTGGAATCCGGATTGGACCCGAACCGACTACTGATAGATTTATAGCGGTTATGTACGATGATAAGGAAGGTATGATCCCCGGAAATGCTCTTGTAGTTGATCCTAAAAAACAGTTTCGTCCCTTATCGAAATTTGGCAACGCCTTTCTAAACAGGCTACAATGTTCCTTGGTACCTTCACCTGTGCTGAAAAATATTTCCATAGTGGACACACCCGGTATTTTATCGGGCGAAAAGCAACGCGTTGATCGTGGTTACGACTTTACGGGAGTGCTGGAGTGGTTTGCGGAACGTGTCGATCGTATAATCTTGTTATTCGACGCACATAAGTTAGATATATCGGATGAATTTCGTAGATCAATTGAAGCTTTAAGGGGACACGATGACAAAATACGGATCGTGCTCAATAAGGCCGACATGATCGACCATCAACAACTGATGCGGGTGTACGGTGCTCTCATGTGGTCGTTAGGAAAAGTATTACAGACTCCCGAAGTCGCTCGCGTCTATATTGGCTCATTTTGGGATCAACCCCTACGTTATGACGTTAATCGTAGGTTATTTGAAGATGAGGAACAAGACTTATTTAGGGATTTACAATCTTTACCTCGTAACGCGGCGTTGCGTAAATTAAACGATCTAATCAAGCGTGCTCGGCTTGCCAAGGTACACGCTTACATCATTTCGGAACTAAGGAAGAATATGCCGCCGATGTTTGGCAAGGACTCTAAGAAAAAGGAGCTAATCAAGAATTTAGGTCAGATCTATGACAAACTACAGAGGGAACATCAAATATCGTATGGCGACTTTCCCGACATAAAAAAAATGCAGGATGTTCTACAAAATCAAGATTTCACAAAATTCCATCCAATTAAGCCCAAACTACTTGAAATTGTGGATCGCATGTTAGCCGACGATATATCAGTATTAATGGCGAAAATACCACAAGAGGAGGTGAATCATGTCGAGGCCGAGACGATTATCAAAGGGGGTGCTTTTGAGGGCGTCGAGGATACGATCTCGCCATTCGGATATAAACGTGGCGAAGGCATCGATGAGGGCTATGGTGAACCAGAATGGGTCGTTGGTAAACATAAACCTCAATATGATACCATATTTTATGGATTGGGACCAATGGATGGTAAAATCACAGGAGCTGGTAAGTTCAACTTGTCATGAAAAATAGTGGGGGGAGGAGGTGTGGGTGTATTATATGTTTCGGGCGCAATTGTTACATTTAAGAAAGTAGGTAGTTTGTAATTGGAAAAAGTGAGTATTATGATAATATTGGGTCAAATATGGGGTTTGCTAAATGTAAAGGATGTTATGCTTACAATTTTTAGCTTTGAATTAATGTGAGTAAATTTCAAAATTTTCTAATGTTACCTACACTGTAATTTTTACAATCAATACCATCTGTACTCTGCAGTACATACTCTTGATAGTCTTAGTACTAATAAAAGTAACATTTTTGGCATCATCTGTACTATTGGGATTATATTAACAGTGTCGGTATTACATTTGTTCCCTACTCCAAATTTGAAAAAAAGTTCAGCGAAATGCTAATACATCTAATAGAATTTGATGGTGGGGATGCTGAGTTGACTGCAAGGTACCGAGAATTACGTGCTCAATTTAAGGTAGTACCCTTATTAAAAACGTTGTTTAACATTTTCCCAAAAATTCTTATAAATCTTTAGTACAACATTTAGGAATCTTACAAATCTCTTGAACCTTTTTGAAAACAACAATCTCTCTTTTAGGTAGATTTCTATTTAGCTACGTATTGTAATGGTACCAGTATATTTATATCACTTCCAAGAAACACTCTTAACTTTCGTAATTATGAAACGATTTCGATCAAAGTTTAAGGGTTGTGTAACTCATAAATATCTCGGTCAAGTTCGTGAATCAGTCAAGAAATCTAAAGGGACTCTTGCACTGTTTGACCATGAATGGACTAACTGTGGCTTTGTTTGCAGTTGCGAAATCGGAGATGGTGAAATCAAAATTGCCCAATTCAGTGTTGGGGAAGATATGGAAATTGGCTGATGTCGACAAAGATGGAATGTTGGACGCTGACGAATTTGCTCTCGCAATGCACTTAATCAATATAAAAATTGACGGCAATGATTTACCATCTGACCTACCTGATCATCTGGTACCTCCTACAAAGCGCTAATATGTGCACTGTAATGGATAAAATCATACTTCATATTCCACAAGTGCTATTTATTATTACATTTATCTTTGTGCCTCTTTAAGTATAGTATAGACAAGTTTCAAGCGTGCACTTGATGTCACTATACCAAATATTTCGTTATATACTTTACCCCTTTAATTAATGTCAATTGCTGCATTTGTTTTAAACTGTTAACTGTAATATGTTCCCTTTGTAAAATAAAGCAGGTAATGTGATAAATATGTACTGTAAATAGTGTAATATTGATAGGTAATGTAACTAAGCGTTGTACAGGATAATAACAACCATTAGAGAAATTAAAGGGTTGTTTGCCTCGAAGGTGATTCACTCGCTACACAAACACCTATTGAGGATAATTTAATATCCTTTATAGTTATCAAATAGTTTTTCTTATAGAGGTAATATATACATATATATTTATTTTTATAATTATAGATTTGACACATTTCTTTATATGAAACAGTTTTGTATTTACTGTACTTTTCTCAATTTTTTATTAGTCTTTTGTAGAGTATGTACTGTTCAATAATAAGATATTCTGTTGGGTAATTTATATTTTTATGACCTTGCACTAAGGTTATATATTGCCGCCCAGTTTGATAAAAAAATATGTCGAGTACATTTCAAGATAAGTTTCGTTTGCATAAAAATAAATCTAGTATCGGAATTCTTCTAATACGCACATACATTACAAATTGAATGCTAGTATCTGTTTGAGTTCCACTTTAAATTAACTGCACAATTTCGAATATAGGTACACACTATTATAAGATATTAACAGAATGTGATCACAGGATGGAAGCAATTGAAATTGCAACACCTGTTATTTTATTCAAATGTGGGTGCCGATTAAAATTATGAATGAATGAAGAGTAAAGTGAATTGGTACGAAACATCCTCTCGTAACTATTGAATCAAATTATGCATATCAATTTTAGAGGTATCTGTTTTCACGATTAAGGGAGACACCACTAACATTTTGACAACACCGTAGGAAATATAGTAAAGTAGCCTTCACGGTTTTCAGGGACAAGGGTTTCAAATATACACAAAAAATCTCCTTGAGTGTAAGGATTTTTCACCCAGGCACACACACACCTAAATAGTGGAATTATATTGCCCAGTACACTTGTCAAACAAATAAAAACATCTTCAAAAAAGATGTATTTGTGATTAGCAATGCCGAATAATAAGATTATATAATTCCAGAGTGAATTTGTATTTGCTGCCGTGCATTACTGGAAATGCGTCAAAAGTGCTGAAAATCTGACAACGCCGGTATGAGAAATGGTTCGTCTTTATAAATATTGCCGTGTAAAGATTTCACGTCAACATTTAAAAAAAAACAAAACTATAAACAATTTAGAATAAATATTTTAATTGTTCCATCGTGATTGTAAATTACATACCTTTAGACAATCCATCAGTTTCTAAAATGAGCGAGTTGTAGCACTCTGCACTGGGATTAGAAAATTCGAATAATTGGGACATGCATAATTTTCCTATCATTAATTGTAGTTCGAATTATTAATTTTAAGGTAAGTATAAATTGTACATACAATTTGTTTATTGTATTAGGCATTCTATTTTTTAGTTGTAAAGCAAATGTTACTGTTACTCAGGTCTACTTTTAACTCACTTTTAATGAGAGATATTAATGCAATTATTTGTATAATTAAAAAGGTCAATAGTTAATAAGGTTTTCTATAATTAAGAAGATGTTCTGTTATAATTGATAACAACCATCGTTTTATAATTCTCATTAGCTTCCTATATATAAATTATTCATTCTTGATTTTCCACATTAACCTGAGTGAAGCTAGTGTGTGCAACAGCAGATATGGAAGCAGGTGTGTTGTGTTTAACCATTATTTAATATCCACTTGCTATATCTGAAGTGTTTTATATCTGTACCGATGGAAGCTAATCGGGACAGTGCAAAAGATAAGGCCATGTTTAAATAAAAGATTCCAATTAAAACCAATTTGTTTTCCAGAAGGCGACCGCTTCACAATGGCTGCTGATGATACATCTATCGATGCGGATTTTGATGAGGTAATTATATAATTTGTTATTAGTTAATGGGACAAATATCGAGTTTTTGTTCATTTGCTCAAGGATATAATATGTATATATGCTTTGCTTGTCTCTGTTTTCACTTCTTGGTCGGTTTTCTAATAACAAACGTAGGTTATAACAATTGCAAAAGCTTTGTGCATTGTGTGCCAAATCGTAGTTTTTTTAATAATTGTGTTTCCACTTAATCTAGCACACTTAATTGAAATCTAAGTACTCGATGGTGTTTAATTTTAATAATTTCACTTTTATACCAGGCATCCTTTCATGATTGGATAGTGAATCGGTCATTTCTTTCAAGTTATTAATTGTCAAAGTGTCGGTAGAGTTCTTCAGTTTATTGTACTTGTTTTAGGACACATGAAATCGTTTGTGTGTAAATTTGACAGCAGAATTATATGTACCCCCCTTTTTTTTACAATTATTTCTATAATTAAGATAATATTAGAAAGGCATTGAGTAAATTTCAAATAATTATTCTAAGCGATTATTCCAATTTCTTGTATTTTAGGGAGAAAAGTTGTCCTAATTTAGACTTTTGTATTAACGATGATCCCCATCAAAACCGGAGTGCATGTGTGGAAATTGGGAAGTATGTGCACACATTGGCAAAAGATTTTCCGAAATTAGCTATTAAGTCATTAAGCAGCTAATAAATATAATGGATCCTTGCGGCACAACGTTGGAACTTGGAAGGTGGTCATTATTTGTTGGCTCCACTTCACTGACTTGATTGTTGAGTTTACTCAATCTAGGTATTTGGTATCTTCTATCTGTGCAGAATCTTCGTCATATGATGTTTGTAAAAGACATAGTTGTCCTTTCATTGGGTATGAACCTTGATGCTTATCAAAACGTGCCATCATCTTGTCCTGTTTGTAAACATTGCAGGCAGCGAAATTGTCACATTTCCCGAGACGGTTTTTAAGGGAATATTAATAACACATATATTTGAAAGGATCTAAACTAATCTAAATTTTTAAATATTTATAAGAGTTGTGAAAAACACACAATTATAAGTCGAAATTAAACAGCTTAATAAGGAAATGTATGATAATTGTGTGTCACAGACAGATGAGAGGATTTCTGTTTATTTCTACAAAACGTAATTTCTGCATTTTTAGCTCATTTTATAGATTAAAACTTATTCCATTGTGTTTAATAATTTATCAGCACCCTTTGACATGGGGCAACAGTGTACTGTTTGTGGAATAATTAATGCATTACTAATGTGTACTCGTATTTACCGTTCGTTCTCTCAACTGTCAAACTGTGGGTTATGTTGGATCAAAACAAATGTTCGTGTTAATATTGCGTATGCGTCCTCTATCTTTATTTCTTACTCTAAGCTAAGGTATGAACCTCGGTATGAACTATGTCATCATCAATCATGAAACCATTGAATATCCATTGGATATTCAATGATGAAACCAACTAGCGTTTTCCTACAGTGTTGCCACTTTGAGAGAATTTTTCATGTCAAGGGTAAATGGGAATCTTAGCCTGTTTAGTGATAAACACTCAAACGGGTTCCACTTATTAAAAAAAAATTAAATCGGTAGTTTACCTGGAACGAAAATAGTCTTTGCTCAACTGTACAGGCCTACTTACTTGACTTAAAAAAAAACGAAAGTAAACTAAAAATAAGTTACACACCAATCAGGGCGGAATACCTATTGTAAATTCAATCCGGAGACATACTGTAGATACAAATGGTAAAAACAATGCAGAGGGAATTTTGGTAGGCGAAAGGACATGATTATGAAATTCCATACTTAATTCGTTTTTGTTTTGAATGGAATTGTGGAATTCTGGATAGTTTCATATTTTCAGATCATTTGGTGAGGTCTTCTGCATTGGTTTTAATTTTAATAACTTTTCAAAAGCCTTAGAACTATCAAGTTCACACGAACATCTTATTAAAATACTGTGCAAGGAGATTAATAGTCTATTAATTATATATTCCTACATAATCCTAAATCGTAGCACTTATAACGTTTGTGAATTATTTGTGTTCCTGTCCTATTTCATTGATTTTCTATTATATTAATTATCGTTCAGAATTCTTTAAATATATGATCTCTCATTTACCTACTACTACAGCTTATAAACTTTGCCAATTACAAAAATAATCAAGTGTACTGAATTGGAATCCTATAAAGGATGACATCATCTGCATACCAGCGCTCTGAACATTTGAAAAACCTGTATTGTATTTGTTCCTTGTTGGTTAGGTAGGTACTTCATTTACTTTTATTATTCATGCTAGTCTACATAAAGTACTTACATATCGTCATCAGTAAATCAGATAAAAAGTTTATATGTTACTAAAATTTACAAAAAACACCCCATTGACATACAAACAATTACTCATCGCAGGCTCATATTTAATTAAAATTGCATTTTCTGGACTGAAACAACATTGTACTAAAAAGCGTTTCGTTTTGTGTTTAAAAATGTTGGCTTGTAAGTCTATAAGTTTTACAGGGATGCAATTAAGAAACATTTGTGATTGAACTATAGGCCCCCGTTGCAATCTAGTGAGCCTACCAATAAAAATAAAAAATTTAGTTTTAAACGAAATTGAAATGACAGCTACACTTTTGTTTCTCATAAGCAATTTACCTATACAAACGGCGCTACTAAATTTACTATATCTCGTCTACATGGGAAAATTTAGCTTTTTTTCCAAAGTGTGAAATTTTCTTATAGAATGTGGCCTGTAGAATCCATAATTTCAAACAGTTCCATGATTGGGCTACTAGTTCAAAAGTTACAGCCTTTGAATTTTCTTTCGAAATTGGTTTCTAGTCTATAACTTTTGATTGAGAAGTCTGATCGAAAAAGTACGAAGTGATTTGTAATTATCATTTTTTGTTCCAGTTTCAAGACGCTTGCGATGTTTCGCCAGTGTAAGTCAACGGCAACAAGATAGTAAAATGTTAACAGATTTTTCTAGGCCCGAAGGAATGACATTTGAAAAATCAATGGAGGAAGCGCAGCTAGCTATCAATTATTTCTTTAATAATCAATTTGAGGAAGCTATCGAGCTCATGAGACCATTGTTCGTATAATTTCAGCCAACTGTGCTGAAACGACTTTTCTTATTTACAGTGCGAATTCAAGCCTTTATCATTCAATCGGTTATTCCGTATTTGTGTACTTAGAAGCACTGTTAACATTCGAGCATCAGGCGGTTGTTCGAGCTGTGGAGCAGCTCAAAAAGTGTATCGCTGTTTGTAATCGTTTTAGACGTAAAAACACAATCACCGAATCATTCGGGAAAATGGTCAAAAAGGTTAATTACGAGCAGTATACGGATGTTGAGGCGCATGCCGAACTCTGTTATGCTGAATGCTTATTGTTGCGATCGATGTTGAGCTTTATGGAGGATGAAACTTTGAGCAGTTTGATTAAAGCTGGGTTTAAAATACGTTCTTGTTACGGATCTTACAAGTATGTATAGTGTAATGTGCGATTCATTTATTTTGTTTTGTTGCACGTCATTCATTTTCGTATTACTACATCTCCTATACTGACAATATTGACTATCAAAAATCCATATATTTACACGGTTTTTTTGAACTGTCTTGTGAAACAGTCTTCTATTATTGGTTGAAATGAATGTCTGGAATTTGATGCGAGGTTTTGTGAAAATGCACAACACTTCTGGGTTTGATCTTGAAGTGTTGATTAGGCAACAAGAAAAATTTGTTGAGTGTTAATAGGCCTTTTATTTCTTTTTCTTTTTGTTGTTTTAAATATGCATTGCAATAGAGTGAAAGACATAGAGAGAGTGAACCATGTTTCTGCGCTAGTAGAACCACAGAAGTTATATACAAACTAGAACGCCAATGGGTTAGGATGCGCGAAAACAAAATGACACACTTTACTCTGCCTGAATCAGATGTTGGTGCACTTCTGAGCTTGCGCATTGCGTGAGCTCACAGAGCCGGTCACTGAACTCTGTCCATTTTAGTGGATCCGGTATTATTATTAACGCAATTAATGGTTGTTTTGTTTGAAGGAATAATGCCATCAAATTATTCCGTAATGTCCATGTGAAAGAATACCCAACGTTTAACTTCGTTATCTGACTTTCCTCAATATGTAGCTACTTCCAAATATTTTAAAGATTTTTGGCTTGTGGAAAGTATCGGTAAAGGGACAAGATTTAAGTGCTATCCTGTAGTGACAGTTCGGTTGTAGCCCAGTTTTACTGAGTTGGGATTGCTTGACGTTGTTAACTAGATACGTGACTACCGTTGATCGTCCCAGGTTCGGGAGTGGATTTTGTGGTTGGAGTGTAATGTTGGATATTTTTCAATCTGGGCACAGTCTCATGATTTATTTACTTATCTAGGGCATTGACCTCAAATAGTAAGCGTGATGGATACCTGACTGATATTTCGCAATTGCGTAAATTTCCAAGACTATTCAAAATAAAACTAAAATCTGACTGGTGTTACTAACAACTTCTCACAGCATGACCTTTACTAATAACATTTTAATTGCTTTATTTTTTGTATGTGTTGCATTTGTATTCTCTACTAAAGATAAAATGAGTATTATTTTAGAGAATGCCAAAATATTTTGATAAATCGTGATTGGCAGAATTGTGCAACAAAACCGCATTTTGAAGGTGGTGTTCGCATGGGCATAGGTGCTTTTAACTTAATGATATCTTTGTTACCATCGAGAATCATTAAACTATTAGAATTTATCGGTTTTTCTGGAAATAAAGTAATACATTTATTCGCAATAACCTGTACTGAGTAATAATCGCGTATTATTATAAAAGGAACTGGGATTGCAAGACTTGGAAAAGGGGTATAGAATGGGCGGTCTTAGAAAAATTTTGTGCGTAATGACGCTGCTTGGATATAATTCAATTGTTCTTCAAGTACTTAGCCATGGTGAAGGCGATCTTGCCATTTGTGAAGACATTTTAGATAATTTTCTTAAGATGCATCCGGATGGAGTTTGGTTTTTGTTCTTTAAAGGACGATTAGAGTTTATGAAGGCTAACATTGACGAGTGTATCGGATGGTACACCAGAGCATGGAAATCTCAAGAGAAATGGCCACAATTTCACCATATGTGTTTCTGGGAGTTAACTTGGGTTCATTGGTAACTGTTGCTTTATGTTTTCAAATTTTAACTGTTTGTTTTAGTATGAGAACGCAGTGGAAAGAGGCGTTAGTCTATGCAACTCATTTACTAGAAGGGAGTCGCTGGTCTCGTACCATTTACAGCTATCAAAAGGCGGTTCTATTATACATGATGAGGGGAGAGTTAAGTGTTTCTGATCGTATGGTGACCGATAATTTGATGAAGTTGGTACAAGTGTAGTAATGTTACCATTTCATTCTCAAATTCTAGAGAGCTTCCTAATTATAAACAACGTATTGCCGGAAAATCATTGCCAATGGAAAAATTTGTCATTAAGAAATCTGAGAGATATTTTAGTCAAAATCAAACGCTTGTCCTTCCCGTGTTGGAATTAATGTATTTGTGGAATCTATTTAAAGTGTTAGGTAAACAATTTACATTAGCGGAAAATGTGTTTAAATTAATTGAGAAGGCAGAAAGCGAATTGACCAATTTTAAAGTACGAAAATATCATGCTGACAATACAGCTTTAGTACTACTTTTGAAAGGTGCATGTCTTAGACAAATGAATAGCCCATTGCAAGCTCTAGAATGCTTGGAAAATGCAATCTCGATGCTTAAAGATATCCAAGAAGATCATTATATTGTTCCATACGCCATTGTCGAATTAGCATTGATTGAATGGGAGCAGAATAATAGAGAGAAAGCAATTGCCGCTTTGGAGGATGCAAAGTAATGATCTTTATTTACTCTGTTTAGTTATAATTTTTTTTTGCAGGAAAAATTACACCGGGTATTCTTTGGAGTCTAGGTTACACTTCAGAATACATACAGCATTAACAGCATTTAAAAGCTATGAAGCGGAACATACAAAATTATAAAAGTTTTTTTGTTTTGCAGCCTATTTTTGTACCTTTTTTTAATTATTTCTGTTGTCTATGTTTTGATTGTTGGATGTATTTCTTGTTATTCGTATTCATTTCCTAAAGCAAATCAAAGGCTGTGTTGCATTTTTGTGTTGATTGTACAATGTTATTCGTGGTATATTTTGTGGAGTATTTGTATATCCTAATAAATGCTTATGATGTGAATTTTTTCGGTATTTAAAGAACTCCATGCCGGGAGTGCTATGTCGGAAATTTTTTGAAGGTCAGTTCCTTCATCAATTACACAGGTAAAGTGGCTTGTCGTCATTCGTCATCGCTGATACTCATGTTGAGAACGTTGATGAAGGAGCTTCTTAGGAGACCGTACAATGATATCAACATTTGTGGAAAATTCCACACTGCATGTATGTTACGTTAATTTCGGAATGTAGGTAAATAAGGCAGTTACATGTAGGAAATACGTTATGTGAGTGTTAATTCTTGAGAGGCGTTCAGTTGGAGTTGGTGTTGTAAAACTTTACGTAGTACACCGAACATTTTTATTTATTTGATAGATTATCCAACTTTCACACAGCCCTTTAATAATAAACCAGGGAGTTGCAGCTGGAGAGGATCCTTAGATTTTTTTAACAAAATGCCTCTCTTGGAGCAAGACACCGAGCACGCACAATTAATCCAAGGGTCAATTGGCAAAGGGGTGAAATAGCTCAACCCGAGGAGAAAAAAAAGTTATAGATAAGATAAAATTGCTAAACCCTGTAAGACATCTTTGTATAGGTATGCGGGAATGCAATGTATGCAATCGAAGCATAAGAAATGTAGGTTTCATTGCAAATAACTATAAATCATCAAGACCGAAATTTTAATCACCTATCTACATATTGTCTATTTCACATAATTGTACTACAATCATTTCCTATTGTATATTTTAAATATGTTTTTATATGTATTTTACCCACCCCAACAGTTAGTAATGGCACACATTAGGGTAATCTGTGGTAATAGTATATTTCATGCATTGTAATACAAAATTACTTACATTCGTCTCAAACTAGCTCTTAATAATAAATAATAAAGTTTATTCAATGTTTCGTAGAACAGCCTACATATACATTAGTCAATACATAAGCAAATTAAAAATACTAGTCCAAATATAAGGGTAAACAAAAATTATAAATAACAATACTTAATTTTCACGAAAAGAACTATGTACTGAAAAACTCCTCATACGAGTAAAACGCTTAATTAAATAAGGAATGCTTTGGTTTTGGTGTATGTTGTGGCCCAGAAATTCCTGAATCGAATAGAAGGCCTTTGTTAAAATGATTTTTTAAATTTTCCCTTTAAATAGAGCATAGTTGGTTTCTTTAATGCAATGAGGTACGGTTAAATAGTTTCTGGGACATAACATTAGTACCGTTTTGAGATTTAGACAACCTACAAAAAGGTACACATAGACTTTTAAATCTAGTATCATAACAATGCAAATCACTGAGTTGCAAAATTACTAAGATTAGATTTCATGTGACAAACACAAACTAAGATAAAGACCCTGGAAAGTAAGGATATTTAACATGGAACTCAAAGGACAGCTTGTGGTCCAAATGCACTCCAACAAATTTGACAGATATCAGATTTAACACATTATGATGCTTCAGAGTCAGCAGTCCCTAGGTAGGTATTGCCTTTTATTCTCATTAATGGCTAGTTCATTTAAACTGCTCTATTTCTTCGCAAGTTCCAGATTAGGTTCATATTGACTTTGCACACGTTCAGTTTCATCGTCTTCAAGTAATAATGTGACATCATCAGCATATACATGGTAGAAATAATGAGAGTGCAGTTGAGTAGTGCGTCATGAGTGTAATTTTTGTAAATGTACAGTTTTCCTTTATGCGCTTGTTTTTTTTCTTTTTTTTAAGAAAAAGCTAATTTAGTTGATGTACCTAGGTATAACGACATTACTTAGTTTAAGTTTGATTATGTCACTTTGCGTTCTTCGTAATTGAGCTTGTCCTGTAGAGAACTGAAATTGAAATATAATAGGCATGTTGTGCTTGTAGCATTGTTGTACATTAAAAGGAAAAGTGGACCACGTATACACTCCCTTGAGGTACCTACAACCTTATCCTTTTTTACCAAAAATCGACTGCACCAAAATTTCTCGGGAAAACACTTCTTCTTATTAATTTTGGAGCGTAGAATCCAAAACAATTCGTACTTTTTCGATCAGACTTCTCAATCAAAAGTTACAGACTAGAAAAGAAACCAATTTCGAAAGAAAATTCAAAGGGCTGTAACTTTTGAACTAGTATCCCAACCTTGGAACTGTTTGAAATTATGGATTCTACAGGCCACATTCTATAAGAAAATATTTTTTCCGGGTCGATCTGAGACAATTTTTTCTTCGGGGCTCAAAAATCGACTGCACCAAAATTTCTCGGGAAAACACTTTTTCTTATTAATTTTGGAGCGTAGAATCCAAAACAATTCGTACTTTTTCGATCAGACTTCTCAATCAAAAGTTATAGACTAGAAACTAGGGAATGCAATACCGAGATTGCGGGATCCCGAAATACCGGGATCCAGCATTTTTGCGAGATTAATCCCGCACATAAATGGAGCGGGATCCGCGGGACTGAAGAATTTGTCGACCAAGGGGACGACTCTGTTTACTTTTTTAATGAAACTGATAACGGCGAATTATTTTTTAAATAATTGTTAAACTTTTTTCGTTAAAAATGTACTATGATTTTTGAGGCACTTTAGAAGACTTTTTGTGCTTTACAGGTAAGGTTTTTTTTGAGTTCTAAGTTAGGCCGAAGGTACTTTTTTGTTAAATATTGTGATACTAGCGATTTATTTTAATACAGAAGTTAACCGCACAGAATTGCTTATTTGCCAATTTATTTAAAGTTTTGTGAGATCCCGCAAATACAGGGATCCCGCGGGATTAACATCTAACAATCCCGCAAATACCGGGATTGAGATTTTGCTGCGGGATTGCATTCCCTAGTCATCACTGTGAATTCCAGTTACATCATAGCCCAAACTTGAAAGCAACCTGCATGATCCTTTACACTTTACAGCATGATATGGAATATACAACAAGAATTGTAATGCTATTATTTATTATAATCAAAACCCTTCTACCATCATGGTGTAGGGAAAATAAATTAACATATTCTACCAGATAAGTCGATATAAATCCCCTGAAGATTTTGTGTATTAGGGAAATCGATTTACCTATATTAAAAGAAGCCCAGAAACAACAACCACACTTCCATGCCCGCTAGCTCGTGTGGCGTAGTTCGGTTAAATAATAATAATAATATATATTGTCCAAACAAGTAATAAATACCTATTCTATAACAGGACAATATCTAAAAGAAAAATATTAAAGTTATTGCGAGTCGTTAACTATTCATTAAACAAAATAAGAAAAAAGCAAAAAAAACAAATCTAAAAATTCAACTCAGATACAACAAAATTTCATTCTACGAATTGTAACAGTTCGTTTAAATTAATATTAAATATATCTGTGGTGGATGATAATTCGTTCACTAGTGAGCACACTAAATGAACTGGTGATCTCTGTAACGCAGCAGTTTTGCATCTAAACGGGTTGAATGTTGCTGCGCATCTTGACGACAATCTTGGAACGCGGAACCTGATTTTGTTTAGTAGAGAAGGACAATCGACAGCATTGGACAAAAGTTTGTAGAGAAAGGTAACACATAGCCACTTTCTTCTGGTACTAAGAGGGAAAAGTTCAAACCGCACACACATAGTCGACTGAGAAACCCCTTGGGGGATAACATCCATCTTCTCGGCAGCATAGGTACTTTAAAAGCCTACGTTGGACGTGCTCAGTTTCGTGAACGTAGTTTTGGTATAGTGGGAACCAAATTAATAGAAAAAGTCTCATGCTCCTCACTAAGAATAAATATTGAAGCAGGTAACATAATCTGAAACTACAATAAGTATGATGAAACATAAATTATACATATATTATTTAGTTACAATTATATAGGTATTCATTTTTGGTTAATAAGTTGTTTACTCTTCCCATCCCATTTATTATTGGAAATTTGCATTTGTAAAATCGAAAGCCTTTCATGCAAATCTACGAAATCATAATCTGGAAGCTTTTTGAAAGTGAATGTACCGTCAAGGCCATGTGAAATGTCGATGCTTTTTGGCTTGTCTAGGTAATGTTTAAACTGCTGAAGAGAATCCTTACTTCCTTGATAAATACTGCAACCACTTTCCTTAAATGTTCGAATAGATTTTTCACATTCTTGGATCACAGACTCTATTTCCCTTTTACTTTGTTGTTTGTAGGCTAAAAATGAATGTGGAGGGGTGTCTTCGAGTTTAAATTGTGCTTCATTTGTCTAAAAACTAGAAGGTTACAAACTTGTACAGAATTTCCTTTCTTAAGGAAGCTAATGTTTCTGTCAAAGATGGAAAAATACCAATAGGTTTTGAGTAGTCTTGAATTAGTTCATGTTCCTTGTCGATTCATCATTTTGTTATTAAAGATGAATGTCTTAATAGAAAAAGAATGAATGAATTAAACTAACTTTGACAAAAACGCAAGTTTTCCATCAAAAGGCGACTTGTTTGGGGTAGTACTTCAGTAGTAGTCTCGTTCCAAGCGCTCACATCGCCGCACACCAAAAACGGTATTATAATCCTATTGATTCCAATTAAAGAATCAAAATTTTTATTATGAAAATCTAAGAATGGGGTAATCGCAACAGGATCAAATCCTTCAGGAGGAGAGTAATTTAAGCACACAGCAAATGCTTCTAAAATAATTGACATATTAATTAAAATTTTTGTCACTTCCCATTCTCAAATAGTTTTCCTAGGAAAATCGACCATTTGTTTGTTAAAACTTTCGTTAGATATTGTAACGAGATGATAGATTTTAAGATACTTAGGTAAACAATTAAGTAATGAGAGCATGGTGATGATGAAAGTAGGATATGTAAAATCATTGCGTGTGCCTGGGTCGATGTCAAAGGGGTTGTACTAATCCACCTGAATCTCCCTTCAACTTCTACTACAGCCAATGGAATATTTGTACACATAGCTAACCCATCAATGCAAAGGCCTTCTTTTCCTACGCAGCTCTGTGTGGAAAATGCTCCTAGACTACACATGACATCTAGTTGCCAGTTATTGTAATTAAATATGTAAGCGGAATTTCGTTAAACGTGAAAACATCATTATGGCTCGCTAAGGCAATGTAGTTATACCACAGGTGCACTACCCGCACATAGAGGACTTCGTACGTGACATCCAAGCAAGGCAGATGAAAAGCAGAGCAGTGTATCGAGCCATTACGGGGTGTACATTATCCCTCACCCTTTTTATGCTTCTAACTTTTACAAAATATATGCATATCTAAATAAATTTTGATCTTTTAGTTCACAGGATAGGTATTCCAAATCAGAAAGGTGGTTAGATGGCTATGCTGCTATGATGATAGTGTCCACTATCTTAAGGTCGCCTTCACTATAAGTAGGTTCTTTACCTTTTTTACTTTAAATTCGATAGGGTGTCGAAAAAGAGTACTCATAAAGGGCAAGTGGAACGTTTGGGAAAGACATATCTACTTGCATTATGTAGGGTATAGATATTGAAGGTGTACCAGGCAACCTTTCAATGTTTTATGTGTGTTCCCATTAAACACTTATTAAAAAGGAAACATCAACAGCATACTACTACTAGACGAAGATCCAGTGACCAATTCAAAAGCCATGAAAATTCACACAGTAAACCCTCTTTAGCTTCTGAATATTAAAAGGAACTTGCGGCACCCCTCCGTGGTCGGGGTAAATTACCTTAGAAAAAATTCTATCACTAACAATCTACCAGAGCGAAATACATGTCCATGTGAGAGCAATCACAAATAGGATATGAACTAAGAAAATTCAAACGCGTTCTACTATTTGTGTTATATTATGCAATTACTAACTGCACAAGAAATATGCAAAATCTATTGCTGTCCTGTTATTGATAACTTCACGAGTATGACTACCATATGGTTTTATTGCGGTATAACATAATATTCTTGACTATAAAATTATGTAAAGAAAATATTTGGCTCGCTTTTATTTTAAAGCACTTAGTAGTGAAATCCAAATTTAACGCAGCAGATTTTCGCATACCATGATATACCTGTTTTAATCTATGCTAAAACCAAATCACAGTTTCCAATCAGAAGACTCAGAGTGATATGACGATTTTCCCACGGACAAATCTGACATGGGAAGTTTTAAAATAGCCACCGTGATTTACAAACCTATACTCGAAACCCTGGAACTGGATGGCTTTACAATAACAACATCTTTAAAAAGAAGTAGCAACTGATTCGTTAACAGATCATTGTTTTTATGATGAAAAACTTTCGCAACAAAGTTTCCTCCAGGCTTTAAAACATTACAGGTAATGTGTAATGCCCCTAATAGCAGTTGAGACTGCACATAAATGTCCATTGAGTGAAGACCAGTTACTAAAAAAAATTAGTTTAAGGAGAAAATTAGTAAATTTTCAAATTACCATCAGGTGCACCATCGCAAACGACTAAATCGGATTTTGTGCCCTCAAAGTGATTCATAATCATTTGCGCAGTTGAGTATTTCGTGATATCACCTTGAATCTGTATGACACCCGGCAGAGGGGCCATTGGTTGCAAATCGACCGCAATGATTTTGACATTTTCATTTTTCCCTTTAGCCACAGATGCCGAAGTTTCACTCTCTGCCACACTTTCCACCCCCATTAAAATATTTATCGCCTCTTTATTGCTCAAATGTGTTTTCAATTCAATATTTTCTCCCATGTACAACTTTCGGGACAACACCTGACTCCAACTGCCCGGTGCTGCGCACAGATCTACGACTTTAGTTACATCTGAAATTACAGTCTGACAATTTAAAGGGCACAATCATTAAGTTTAAGAAATACTCTCGAAAATGTTAAATTTGGAGTCGATTTGTATCAGTTTGAAAGCACTCCGTGCCCTCCAACCCTCCTCCTTTGCTTTACGGTAGTAAACATCTCTTTTATCTTTTGAACTCTTTCCCATGATTCATAAATAGTGTTACCAGAGCTATTACCTACGGGTTAACTTATGGCATGGTTTGTTGTAGACAGCACAGTAGACAGGTTGAGGTTATGCTATGTCAACAGTGAAATGTTAAAGACGGCAAGAGTAGGAACTATTTTAAATTTACCAGTGGCGTATCGATGTGGTGGGTAATATCAGGAAAAAACATTTTACACTGGTAGATAGACACTTGTAGTTCCGTGTATTCTGCACTTAATTTGAATTAATATGTCGTTCAATACTTACAGAAAAATGATTTAAACTGATATACTTTTTATAGAATGATACTTTCAGCTTGTCGGTTTACCTGTCTCTGTTTACACAATAATAATACGTTGGGTACAAGCCCAAAGGGTAACATGTTCAGCCACAGCTGGTTTTCCACATAATACACAGTAGTAGAGCACAACTTTAGCTTTTCCCTATCATGCAGTCTTTTTAGTAAGTTTTAAATTTAAACCTAGCACACACAAACACCCTAACTCTCACCGACACAAATACGCATAGTGCAAGTAATGGAAATCCTCTACCGCAACCCTCATAAATTCATCATTTTTCCCAAATCATATCAACCCGTCCTGCTCATCCAAAAGTGCTTTTTTATAATTTGGAAAATTCAATCATTTTCAACAGTTTCCTTATTGTCATAGGTTGTTTAATAACACGTCTTTGCGACCTGCGCTAATAGCTCATTGCATATAAAGCAGTACCCACTCACCATTTCTCACTTCAAATAGGCTCTTTTTACTGCGAGACAAATAAACCGTAAAGACAGACACTGCGTCGACTTCTCTAAAAAGCTTGCATCACTTTTCTCTGCCGCTTAATAATCAAGTATAGTTGGTTGGGTTGGTCCAATCAAAAATAAAATAAATAAATAAAATATACATTTCACCTGGTTCTACGCCATTGTTGGTCATGGTCAGAATTATGCGACGAATTTACTCCACTGTAATGTTTGTGCACGAAGTTCTCAAACGTTTCATTATGGAAAGAGACGCTTAAAATATCGAATACCATAGGTATGAACAAAATTGTTTGCACATATCTAGTAATGCTATTGTAAAATAGCGAAACCAAAATTAGTTTTTGAAAATTTGAATATTAAAATTCCAACTGCAAATCAGGACCACGCAAAAAATTGCATGAATTTTATTAATTTGTTAAGCCTGTATTTAAAGTCAAAACTCTAGGAGAATCTCACTAAATAATTAATTAATTTTGTAATGACATGTGATTGAACATAAACGTAGAAGATAATTTTAGACTTGGGTGAACTTGGACCACAGTCATCCACAGATTGAAGTACCGTTCTGGCCACCAGCATATTGCCAATATCTGAAATATCACTTCCCAGCTGTTTAATGTAGCCCAGAATGCCTTCTGCATTCTCTACAATGCGAGAATGCGTGCTGGTAATTATTATCCTATTGTCAGAACACCTGTCAGCCAACACGTTCAAGGGCCAATAAGGTATGAAGATATTTTTATTTTTTATGTATGACATTCAAATTTAAAAATAACAATCGTTTTTTATATGGACTAAAAATTTCATTAAATAGCAGACTTGAATTTATTACCCATATCTAGCTGATAAGTCCAAATTCATTAACAATCAGCACAACAGCTAACACATTTATCAGGGCTATTCCTAATTTCTTGTAGGATAATCGAAAATCGAAAAAATCAGTACGTTTGTTAAAAGTATTTTTTTATGCTTGCCACATTACCGAAAGGATGTCATGTTTAGCAACTGATCCAATTCTACATTTGGCCAAGTCTATAAGTTTTTCTTTTTTGCCTATACTAAATGAGTAATTTGAAAATTATTTTAATAGAAAAAGTGCACAGCAAAATCTAAGCCTCTGTCCATTAAATGCCTTTTTTTTTTTTTTCTCTTCCTATTCTATTCGTATTTTTTATGATAATTGATAAGCAGTGTTTGCAGAGCTTCATGCCGATATGTTAATACATTTTCCTTCATATCGTATTTTAGTTTTTGGTTGGATAATGATTATTTTTTAGTTAATGCACACATATTGATACAGCTCCTTTTTTTTATATATATATAATTCTATTTCTATTCAGTTAAAATATTAAGATTAAGTTTTATTTGTATGTTTATTCTTTGATTATTTTTAATTTTGTCATACCCTGTTAAATGTATTTTGTTTTGTAATATGGCTTTGTCCAATAAGTGGATGTATATCTGTTGGGCAAATAAATAAATATTATTAAAATATTATTACTACAGTTAAAGCTTATAACAATATACTGTAGCCCAGCCACAAAAACTTGTCCCGGGTCGCCATGTATATTCCTTAGCGAATACTATTAATAAAAGATAAATGGAAAAGTTAGCAGTCTTGGAGTATAAAAGATGGCATGTATATAGGATTAAGTATATTACTTTGAGTTTAATTACAATAGCATTGTATCATCTATATGCACAGCATGTTATGATTATATACCAAGTATACAAGAAACACGAATTAGTAAAGAATCATTCCATAGTAAATAAAGTTATGTTTAGATTAAATCACTCTCTTGAAAGTCGTACGTAAGGCAAGAATTAAACTATTAGATTTTTGTATACATGTATATAACGTTGCATTGTTTACTAAAATTACAAACAAAGATAATTAGGCACCAAATTGACAGTATCTAAAATACAACACACTGACAATAATGTAATAAGTACCTTTTTGTTTGCTAAATTGAAAATAATGCACAAGTATATTATAAATCTTATTGTGAACATCACATCAAATTATGAATCAGTCTAAAAGATTTTTAGTATTATCATTTATTAATCTAAATAGTTACTTTTATAAAACTTGACTAAGTACGTAATAGAAGAGTACTAGAAGGTACGATCTAAGAACGAAAATAAAGTAATTATCATCTAATACAAGTAGCGAATACTTCTCGATTATTTCAGTCTCATATTTTAACGCAGTTATAGTAAGCAATCTACTCATTCAACATTAAAAAAAATTGTCGCTTTTGTATTCTTTAAAATTTGATCCCAATGCAGTTCTCACTTTATCGATTCGTATAGATTCAAAGTAATGATTGATTAATATATCTGAATAATGAATGGCGATAACAACACTAACGAACTACATCGATACATGCAATTGTAAATGTTAAAAGACAATAATTAGCAAAAAATATGGCAATTTGATTACACCTGTTGTATATGATCATCAATAAAGGATAGCATAAAGCGCTCCGACTGCAAAATTGAAACATTTCGGCACCACAGAATACATAGATACCATTAAATTTAAACATCATGCGACACACATACAAAATGAGCAATTTATAGCCAAAAAGATTTGTTTAGAATAAATCTAACTCGTCTACAGGAGTTCCACTATGACATGACAAATTAAAGACATAAATAGACGGCCGGCCAATAGGCGGCATAAATTACACTGTACAGAAAACCGTGCTAAAATTAAACAAACATAAACAATCCACATCATAAAAAAATAATTTCTTTTTGCTCAAACTTTGTCCATTAAAATAAAGCCGAGTGAGACTTATTGTCATAAACTAATTCTATGGTCACGAATCAAAAATTTGAGCGTAAAGGTTATGTGGAGAGATCTGGCTGTTCTTGGTGTGAGAGTTCGGGAGGGACAACGGATAAAGGTACGGAAAAGCTGGGTTTCTTTAACACGGGAGGTTTCGCTTTGACCTGCGGCCGATTTCCTTCAATGCCTTTACGCTCGGCTACAGGACTGCCGATATCCGCTTTGTCCGATACATTACCAGTGTCCGTGATATGAACTTTTGTATTTTTCTTCAAAGTGCACTGATTTTGTTTTGCAAATCTCTCTGCAGCCGTTTGCATATCTGGGCTATCTGGTCCGGTTGGACTTTCTACAGATTTTAAGGAAGTTGTATCTTCATTCATGGAGTTCTCAGAGAGATTTGAGGATTTTTTGGTCAACTGTTTGGGGCTACTGGAAGGTACTAATGGCAAATCCATAACTAAATCGGGTGTGTGGTTTTGTCTTTGTATCCTGCATTCCGTTTGTTGCTGATTTTGCTTGAGAGTTTGGGTGATCTTGAGCGAGGTCTGCGAACTCGCGCGGCGCTGCCACTGTTCGCGGTTCTGACTAAAGTTGACAACTGATTTATCTATTTCCACAAAATCTGTTTCCTCCACTGAGATGGATGGATTGATGACCGGTTCCTGAATAGTTGGGTGGTGATCAATGTTTTTACTATTTATTATTGTTGTGGGTTCATACAGATGAACTTTGTTCAAGTTTGAGGTGCAATTGAAAAGAATTGTTTCGTCAAGCGAGCCGCTAGTGTTTAATTTAGTGTTAGATAAATCTGTTGGTTTGTAAGGTACATGTCCTATCTGTAACAAAGAAATAAACTTCATGTTAGTACACTCCTCTCCAAGGTTACGAAATCGTTTCTCATAAAAATTGGCGCTTTTAGAATGAATGGGAAGTGACATACTCATTACATGATATAAGTTGTTGCAAGTCAAGATAACTACAGTGGACTCCCATTTACACAGGAGGTTATTGTTAGTACTTTTTATATTGTGAAGAACAAACTTTTGGAGTAGGTAAATTTAAGTGTGAGGTCCAAAACCCAAGCAGTCTAAACTCGAACATATAATGATTTTGGAAATTATCCCACACTGGGACACATTTCCAAGACATGAAAAGGATACACACTAACAAGAACAAAAAAAACAAAAATATGCAGAAAAAGGGAATAGAAAAAATAAGATAAGCTATCAGAAGATATGAGAAGAACTAAGAAAAACCTAATAATCAAAGCAGTGAACACAAAAGAGATATCTACCAAAAATGAACTGTACCCCCTGTGAAGCAACAAAGTAGTAAAACTAAGTACTATGTTTTTTTAGGGATGACACGATGACTGATGGAAAGACAATATCATTAATGCAAAAGTAAAAATAAAGTAAACAAAAGAAAACCGAAGCAAGAAAAAGGAAAAGTGAGAAGGTAAGCAAAACACCTTCTTTGGAACAGAAATCAAAGAGAACAGTTAAGAAAGTAAAGTATATATAATCAGAAAATGAGACAGAATGGCAAAAACAAAAAATACAGAGCACTTCAGATGTCATTATGTCTTTAACGGTTCATATATTGATACATTTACAATAACAAATTTGAAAGTTAATGAATAAATCAACTTGGTACTGCCGATTTAATAAATGAGAATGACAAAATTAAAATAAACATTACTTTTAGTAATTACTTTGATTATTGCTGTATTCCCCTCAATCAGCACAGCGTATTGAAAGTCCACTGTGCACGATTAATTTTTGCAGCGACTTACGAATATCTACTGAAGTTTCAAAGTTTACCAAGTACACAACACTTAGAAAATGTAAGTAAAGTACACTTCAATCTGCAAGCTGTATTATAAAAAGTAAAGTAACACTTTGTACCTTGTATTTTTTTTTTTAAACTTTTTCTGAAATTGTGGATTTCCACGTGGAATATTGAAAAAGTATTGGGGTAAAGGTATTCCAAGCGCAATTGTAATTAGCTAAAACTGATTCTTTCAGGTTGTCGGTTTCAATATGTAACCGACATATTGAATCAAAATTTGTTCTACGAAATCCTCTTTTTTTTTTAAATTTCAAACAAATTTTTTGCTGCTATGTAACTTAGCGAGCCCTCCAACAAAATCAGACAACAATAAGGAATTTTATAATTAAAATATTTTTTAAGAGAAAACATCATAATCATCACAAAAAATCTTGCATTAGCCTAAACTTCCCAGGGGTCACATGTTAAAGCAGGTTTTAGTTGAAACTGCAATTAAAGAGTTTAAGTACCACAAAAAATGCTTGACTGCAAACTGCTCTTCTAGAATTTATTGTGATTCAAATCAATTGGACTACATTTCGTGTGATATCTGAAAATGAGAAATGTAATTTAAATTATTTATTCTCGATTAATAAAATTCGTAATCCATGGAATACCAATGCCTGGTCAAGGAAAGTAGTCACAGAGTAGTAGGTATAAGTCAACGAGAAGCAAAATCTTGTGTAACTTTTATAGCACCATGAAGAAAGATACCAATTTTTTGAGCTTCAAGAAAATGAAGCAGATAAAGAACATTTTTAAAGACATGCCTCAAGATAAATCTGAGCAACAATGATAAACAAGAAAGTAGGAAATTAAATATCAAAAGAACAGAACAAACCGGTAGAAACAAAAACATAATAGTCACAATAAAAACTAAAACATGCACTGATGGACAAACAGAAAATACAAAAGAAGAAATAAAAAGAGAAACAATACTACACACAGGACACCCAAAAGGTTACTAAAAGTATCAAATGAAAACCAAAAATATGAGAAAAAATCAAAAGTGCTCAGTGTAATACTGAATAAATCGTGGAAAAATGGTTACCTGACTTACTTACTTACTAGTAGATTAAAAAGAAAACGGAATTATTGATTCTAATGAATCCGCGGTCAAGAGTTCTACGTTCGTAACACAGACTGCAATAGAACAATTAATAGAAAGAAGTGGAATTTCAAATAATTACTCCAAAAATCCCGGAGCCAATAAATGTAAGGAGGAGTAAGAGTGCGAGATATGCAAATAGAACATTGTTCACCAAGTCACACAGAAACGCCGCAAATAATCGAAAGTCCGCTCACATTTTAAGTATCTAAGGGTATAATAAAGTAACCATACCACTTGAGTTGTATGCCTACTTAACTTACAATAATCGCCTGTTATTCTATAAAAAGCGGTACAGTGTAATATCGCATTAAAATTGTAATTTAGAATTTGTATAACTTTGTTTAGTATACCCTTTCTCGATTAGTAGGTAGTAGTGACTGACAAAGATGGGATTGGTCACATTATAGCGGGCGAGTTTCGCCCCATAAATCTGATGCATGCAACACATAACCACAACAATTATTAAAAGTAGTAAAAAGTAGTGTGCTTGCTATGTTGTGTGTAGGTACACATTACCACTGCTTCAAAAGGTTTTCAAAACAAGACATACAGTAATGGGGTAAAAGATGATCGAGATAATATGCCAATCCCTATCACACACCATGCATTACATCAGAACATTATTGCCCATATAAATCACAACATTTATGTGCTTGTGCTGTGATTTTTCCATTGTTAAAATTACTTCAAAAGAAATATTATGTACAGTGAAAGGAATAGAAATCGTTTGTATACAGAAAAGACAGAGAGCCCAATCACAACAGACTAATATCATGCACCAAGTGCTCACCTTTAAAATTGAAGACTTGGACTGTGGTCTAGTAAATGTACTATGAAATCAACAAAAAAAACTTATAAAAATTAAAGCCTATGCTACGTTTATTCAGCGTGTTTCATTTATAATGTGTTTGTATTTCCTTCAATTTATTTGCCTAGTATTCATTAAAAATCAAACAAACTGATTTAAAAACTGCAGAAACATTAAAAACATCAATTTAAAATAAATATTATAGTTACAAGCATCATGCATATACCTGCCAACAAATACTTTGCGTCATAACATCAATTCTTGGAAAAATCGTAAATTCCAAAAGAGAAATGTCATGCGATCTGTCATGCAAATTGGCAGGAGAAACGCAGACAGCAGTTGTAGGACACGATACATCCACAGTAACACAACTATAATTGTAACGAAAACAATAAATTTAATAGTGTTATTACATACACATCAAGACATTTATAATTACGCATACAACTAGATTAAATTATAATATTTTGGAAGACATCAGAGATCATAAATATATAAATTCTCTATTAATATAAAATTTAATTTCCATTATCGCTACATTTAAACCAGTAAAAGTTGTCCTTAATTGCAAAGCAAGCACATAAAGATAATACCAATAGTAACAAATGCATTTCTGCAAAATACGTGCAATTAAACTGTAGTTTCTAATACCTCTCTAGAATGATTTATAGACACAGAAGAAGTGGTATTACTGTGCACAGGCTCTGACGAGTCTAACGAACTTTTCCATGCAACTGGCGAACTCTGAGCCACCGTTATCGGATGAGAACTATCAGGTAAGACGGAATCGTTCGAACTACAGGGTCTCGTTCGCATCGACTCTTCAGATGAACTTGACTTTAAGTTGTCCAATTTTTCCCTATCATCGTCTCTGAAATAAACTTTCTATTAATAAATAAAAAATTCTAATACGCTTCTGATTGTTAAACTCGAACAAGATTGTAAGGAACAATCTCGTTATTTGATACCAAAAAAGAGAATTTAACAAGTTTCTTGGGACTACCCTGCCCACCCTCCTATCTAATCGAGAACAATATCATGTGAAAATTAAAATTCAAACTTAAAATATTAACTTATCTAGGGCACTCGGACCTATTCTACCTTATGGGTAATCTGCGACTATGGAGTATATAGTTTTTACGTCAGATTACAAAAGTTTAGAGTTAGTTAAAGGTTAAAGAGAGTGGATTTTGCTTTGATGAAGCTTCAACATTTAAACTTCATTTAATTTGAAAAAAATAAGCATAATCACTTACTTCATTTTCAACGATATGTATTTGTCGGGAATTAAACCGTCCTGTCCATTGACAGATCCTCTCCACCAATCATTAGAAACTTGAGAATATAAAGTGACAAAATCCCCTTTCTTTAGAGACAATTCGCGATCAGATCTCGCAATAAAATCGAACTGGGCTGTTGCTTCAATACTCTCAGAATCTGAAACCAGTTTTTAGAACAACGGGACAAAAGCAATCTGTATACTCACCATCTTCCGACGGACAAACTTCAGAATCTATATCTTCCGTCGCATGATCTGACGGTGAATCTCCCACATCACTAAAAGGAAAAATTCATCAGTACAAATTGTATTCAATCTTGGTGATCGCTTTAACCGGTTGCTCACAATGAGATACCTCTTGGTTCATAAAGAGATAAAAAAACACTCTACTGGTAAAAAATATAAAAAACATCCGCTCAGAAACAAAGACCGTTTGTTCTATTGAAGTTATCAAACTGGTTATGATTAAGAAAATTGCCAAACCACCTGATGGAATTTACAATTACAAAAAGATGAAATGACTTACTGATCTTCCGGCTCTGGTGAAATGTATTTTTCGTAAATGATACCACCATCGTTCGGAAATATCTCCTCATTGAACATTATTATATTCTTGATTAATTCGTTCACTTGATTTTGATATTGCACCTGATCCTTATCGTCTGGTACGGGAACAAGGGTGGGACCGAAACAAATTGCCAAATTATACGGATCCATCATATTCTCATCGGAAAATTCGGACAAACTGTAAGTAAAAATATCATAACTGTGAATGGTTTGATCTTTAAAATATATTGATTTTATTATATTTTCCTTGTAACTAAATTGTATTAAATTTTAAGTAACAAAAGGTGTCGAAAAAGTGAGTTTACGTCGAATTAAATTTAAATGGTGTTATATGTAGTGTAATGGAAGATTGAATGAAGGGTGTCAGTAATGATCAAAATCAATACTTACTGATTCAAAAAAGCAAAAAGATAACGCATTACAACCATAATAGCTCTTGGTAGACTTTGAACCAACTCTCTCATCTTCAAAATAAAATCTCGCCTAGATTCCAATTCTGCAAACAAAAATCATTTAGACCCAATATTTTTGAATGGAAACACAATAACTTACGTGCCAATTCCATAAAGTGCTCAAAATAAATAATAGGAAACAGTGGTTCTCTTAACTCTCGTAAATATAATTTTAAGACTCCGGCTACACTATTTATGTCAGAAGCATCTGTCATATCCGCTAAAGGGTCCTCGCCTCTTTCAAACCACTCTCGGAAGTTGTTTATTTCTACTTGAGATCCAGAAACCCGAAAAATTCCCTGGTGGTGCAAACCTGTTAAAACAATTATATCACTAAAAAAAATTCACATTGGGTCAAAAACATATTTTTCAGTAGGTAAGGGTTGATCTATAATTTTTTAACTGCCGTTATTGTTGTATAAGGTGCATGTGACCACATCATTTGAAGATTTATGGAGGCAAGTACATAAAGTAGGTACTGCAGATGTTACATATATCAAGGTTCAGTGAAAGAACCAATCTATGGAGACTGAACTGCGCCTTGAGATTATCTTATATTATTCTTATTATTATTTCATTTCATGGGATAATAACCACACGCACCATCAATCAGATTGCTTCATCTTTAGGGTCTGAGGTAGTACAAGAGAATCATTGAACTGGTTCCTCTGTTTTGTTTTTGTTAAAAGTACCCATAGAAATTACACTAACTTCCTAAGAATTGTTCAACATATATTCCTGTATAAACAGTATAAATACTGTGATAACCTACCCCTACAGTTAGGCTTTACATATGAAACAAAAATATGATACGCTCTGTATACACCAACCGTGTTACATTTTCGATTTCGACAGTTCTGCGCAGATGCCGAAGACCAGGGGATTTTCATAACAAAGCTTGGGGAGAAAGTAGCATTGGGTAAATGTATTCTAATAGGAGCTGGGGAGGAGTAATGGCAATCAAGCAATCAAGGTGGTCGCACGATGATCTTTCACCATGTTGTTTTTTTTCATTATCAGGCGATTGTATCACATTTTTTAAAGAAGGACCATACCGCAGGGTCTCGCATAATTCAATATTCAATAGCTAACCGGCAGTTCGTGCATATTATTACATGGAATTTGCGTGAGCTAATAATTACCTGACCCTAATGATATCAATTGCGCACATCTTTTACTAATTTATTTGGCAAACCATTTGCATTATGGTATTGTTTATTAATGAAATGGGAAACGCGTTTAGTCATTTCATTCACATCCTTTGAAGGCTTATTTGGGGACATTTTACGGGCCGATTTTGATAAGATATTTACCACTTGACGGTCAATAAATTGTTGCTATAATGCTATAAAGTAAATATAAATACATATATAAATATAAATGTACTATAACTTATACTTTCTGCATCAAATGTGACTAAAATATTGCAAATAATTCTTTTGGTTAAACCCAAACAAATGTGAAATAAACAGGAACAAATAATACTTTTGAATAAAAGGACATAAACAAAAATTCAGTTGTGCAAAGTATAATCCTCATGCATAGGAAATTGGCGTAGTTTTTCGTTTAGATAAAGTCAAAAAAGGGAAACTAAATATTGATTTTGTAATAGTTTCTTTGAAAATTTGTATGGTTTTCATAATCATAATTAAGAAAGGGGTAATATGATGCTTTATTCTAATCTCTTCTTAATAAGGACATTGACCACTTAACTTTCTATTCAAACGGATCCTTGTCTAACTAATCTTTTTCGTTCTTTCCAGAAATTGGAAAAAATATTCGGGAATAGATATGATACTGGTTAAGGTTTTGGGAGCGGATTTTTGATTTAGTTACAAAACTTTTAAAAAACCTCAAGATCAAGACTCACATTTGGTTCGAAGTCGAGTATAAAAATAATTACACTGTAAATTTAAGATAAATTCATACACAAATAGATACTCTACTTTTCTCATATACTGTGATAAGGTAATTCTAAAGTAATAAAACCCCAACACGAACAAATACCATCGTAATTTACGGCCCTTTTTTACGGAACATGATTTTAATTACCTCTTAAGTGGGAGTTGTTATGTTTATACTGTCTTATTAATATGTTCAATGCGCAACTTGAAAATTACTCCTCCTTGAAGAAACCGACGAAGCACAATGTTTAAGGGAAAGGGTATGTTGGTTGACTATGCTGCACGGTTTACCTATTCGGCGAATATTATATACTCTTGTCAATGACCGTTCATGCAATTTACTGTTTAAAGAGTTGCTTTGCCAAAATTGATCGTAGATTTGTGTAATGCGTTTTTGTACTGAATTAAATGGTCATGTTTTCCAGTTTTATTTATGATGCCTTTTGTGTCTCGTTCTTGTTGATTTACTGCATTTAATTTGGTTACCGACTTTTATCGTACATTTTGAGATGTTTTATTTGTGTTGGGGTTTTTGTCCTGAAGGTTTGCCTGATATCTCCTTGTTGTGAATATAATATATTCTATTTGCTCATTTCTTACACACAAAATTCTGCATTTTATACAATTCCCTTCCCGACTATTTATTTATTGTCTCTCTTGTTCTGGGCCCTCAACAAGCTGTCGCCCAATTATAGAGTGATTCGCATAATGCAAGTGCCAGTAAAAGGACGAGACATTAACTACTCTATGAAGAAATGTAACAATGCTCTTCCTGACTACATCAGGGATCTGGAAGAACAACAATTCAGAAAAGCAATCAGTGTTCCTTGGTGCCAAAGCATTCTATAGTATTGATGATTATTTGAACTACAAGTTTGATTGCTCCGAACAATAAAGTGGCAATCATACTTCCTTACTGTGACGTGTGGAAATATTTACTGTATAAACACCACCAATAAATATTATTATTAATGCTTTTTGGAATACGCTTCGTGCAGGATTGACCAGCCCGGCAAAGCTTCCAACCGATTCATATTATTATTCGTTGGTTCGTATGAATCGGAACGTATTTAAAATATTACAATGGTAAAAGTTGGTTCTGGGTCCCACGCAAGAGAGGCCAACATGATTCGTTAATTGGGAATTGGTATTTAAGATCTGTTGATTTTTTTTGTGGTAAAAAGGTACCCTATAAATTATTGTACATAGTTAAGAACCCAATTACTAAAGCTAAGTAATTTGGGTCACTGTGCCCGAAATATTATTAATTATTATAAGGAACCCGGCCCACCAAATAAGAACATTATTGAATGGTAAAACTTTGTAATAAAAAAAACAAAAAGGTTTTTCTATGATGGTGTGGTGGCAATACTACACGCTCTACCACTGAGATAATCTCTAGATCATCTAAGGAACCATCTTTCAGTTTACAGGTAAGAGCATAGAGAAGACGTAATCCTGATGGTGGTACATTATTTTGAATTGTAATAGCACTATCTACAACTTGCATTTTGCAGTAGTCCAATACCAATCTTTGGCTTTGGAAAAACTTAACACTTCAGTAAATTTATACTTTTTTCTGTAAATTGTTAAAAATGATGGAGACAGCTCTAAGCTTTCCATCATGTCAGCTGGTCTTGTCAAGAACTACAAAAAAATTAATTTAGAGTTGTTGTGGCAGTGTGAGAAATATTAGTTGTAGGGTGTAAAGATGCTCCTTCTATGTCACTTTTAAGATTTGACTGATTTATGTTCTCAGATTTAAGTTTAGCTGCACTTCACTTCAGTAATGATACTATTTGATTTCCTTACCCGTCTCAGATTTAAGGTTTTTAAGTAAAGCGGCACTTCAATAATATTATTAATTACGATATCTGTACCCGTCTCAGATTTAAAATGTACCTAATACAGCCACCTGTGACCATGTGCCAAGCCACATGGACACAGAAAAGGCGGTTTTTCTCAGATATAAAATACTAGTAATTTTAAGCAATCGCAATTTGGGGCTCGAAGAAATAGCAGTAAGTTATGTTTAATACTTTGACAATGTCTTATGTATCGGTTTTCGCAATAAATGTCATTCAATTGCATTTATTAAAACTTGGAAGTATTCAACAGTTGTCTTCAAAGGACAATAGATTTTTAAACAAATAGTTTTTCTGAAGACGTTGAAAAAGGTGGGAATAGAGCAACCGTATCTGAAAATACTCACCATACAAATTTATAACTCTAATTGAAGATTTAACTATTAAAGGAATTTCTTGATTTGTAGCTTCCAAGTACTCCTCAAGAGAACCCCCAAACAATTTCGGTTGCCCGCTCATCTGCAATCTTCCAATCCTTTTTCTCCTTGGCGCCTTCGTGACCGATTTTAACGTATTTGTAGATTCGCAATTATCCGCAAGCAATGACTGCCTAATATATTCGTGTTTTGCATCTAATCGCGCAATTCGTGTTGACCCCAATAAATATTCTCGAAATTTCTAAAATTCAGCATGGCAACCAATGCGCATGTTGCGACCCTACTTACGGATAAATAAAAATCTTCAGTTTCTTGCCTATCCGCACGTAACTTTATCAATACAGTTTCGGGGGGTTTGCTGGTGGGGACAGCACTTTCGCCAAAGTATGCGTTGCAATCGTAGTCTTTCGCATTTAACATTTCCAGTAGTGTAGATTCGGCCGTTTCCAAAGTCTTCCAAACTTCCTCCGATTCCGTTCGTAAAGATGTAACTCGCTGTTGCAGTTGGTTCAACCTGGTTTCCATTTCTTGATGGAGAACTTTCTGGATTTCTGGTTCGGGAGGCTAAAAATCAATAATTTTGCAATAATACAGAACAAAAAGTAAAAGTGCTTACGTCTTCCGGTTTTTGACTTTGAAACTCGAATTTTTTTGGTATCATAAAGGCGCTGTGATTGCACTCCAAAAACCTTTGTTTATCTAATCTAGAGTCTAGAGAATTAATGCAGGTTAGTAGTGTGTCCAGTCCATTTTGCACCGACTTCTGACGACCTTCCTCTGCAGAGACATGCATCAAAAGAGCACGTGCAATACAGTTATGAAAACCGAAATCCATACACTACAAGAATACATGTAGAAAATTGCAGGGAAGGAGAAGACGTTTACATCTATAAGATCAGATAAATCGTCAACAAAGTACTTATGAATTGTCGTATTAGAAGCTTCCAAGCATAGGAGGTATTCATTTCGTGCCTTTAGCGCTTTCACTTTTGCATCGGTATATTTATTTTTCCTCTAAAAAGTTGCAATGAAACAGTACTTAGGAATATGTTGTGTGAAATTTTTACCTTCATAACTTCTTTCTCCATCAATTTGTACTTTTTCGAACGATCCAATTTGTCTTGTGATAGGGATTGCTCTAACTTTGTTCGCTGAGTTTCAGCCGCTCGCAATTTTGCCTCAGTTTGCCTAAGTTCCGCTTGATAACTATGATATGTTTTCATAGTGGTATGCAGTTCGTGTAAAACACGCAGAATCTCTTCATGAGTTTCATAACCAATCTCACGGCACTAAAAATAATTAGTGTAAAAAAGGACATTCAAAATTTATAATTTGCTATACTGTCACGTGTTCTACCACTCAATCCTAAGCCCAAAGCGCCTTAAAATATGAGTGAGATAAGGGGGTAGCGGTAATTTTTTGAACATCTAATGGTAACCATATGGAGGAGCTGTGATAAAAACTGACACAGAAGAAATTACGACGCTGTTCTAAAGCCTGTATCAACGGAATGGTAGACAATGGGAAAGTACTTGTCAAAACTTGTGTCCGACTACCAGCTGTGATTGGGATCAATATCTGCATTAGTTTCTGGTTGCGAACCATTCTGCAGTGCAGGGAACTACCGGAAAACGCCCACTTCCGTGTTGTTTGACAGGGAACTCCGGTTACCCTGTGATTTGAAATTTGGTACAAGACCTGGCCAAGAAGGAACTGTGCTAAACGAATACGTGGAAAACCTGCGTCAGAAATTGAGTGCTATCAATGATAAAGTTCGCTATATATGCAGTTGGCAAGCGATAGAATAAGTGCAGTAGGACGCTAAGGTTCAAGCTGGTAGTTATCAACCTGGAGATCTGGTTTGGTTGTATCGTCCCCAGAGCAGGCGCATAAGCTATCTTCGAAATTACAAAGAACTTGGAAAGGAGCATATACAGTCGTGAAAAGAATAAACGATATCAGGTATGAAAACTACCACGAGGATAACCTGTGGTTATGCATATAAATCGGTATACCCCATACGCGGAACAGAACAAGCCAGAAGCAGCAAACGTGATGCAAACGAACCCACCACAATCTACTTTCGTAGAATGTATGGAACATTACCCCGAAACTCAGAAGACACACTTTGGTGTTGTCTGTGAGGAATCAAAAGATTTATTTGAAGCACAAGCCAAATACGCTTTGGCTCACTGCGTAGCTAAGGATGTCAAGATGTCCCGGGGTATTGCCGATTCCTCGATTATCTGGTAAAAAAGACAGGTCTTGTGACAAGCCTAATTAAGAGGATTTTTGGAATGCGCTACAGCACTTAAAACGCCCATTACAAATTCACGGTGTTACAAAGCTGGCAATCCAAAGAACAGATGTGGTCTTGATAAGTTGGACTGGCGTATCGAGCGCAATATTATGGAGGCGGTATTCCAGGGCCCCGGCTGGAAATATTGAGCTGCTGATGTAACCCCAGAGGGTCCCAGTAACGGTTTCGTAAGACGGTGGATTGCTATTTCTTCAAGAATGGAAGATGAACGAAGCAATCAAGATAGCTGTTTCCATTTAAAGCGTCGTCCGTGTTGACGCAACACTTTTAAGAGGGGGGCAGTGTATCGAATATTCTAAAAGTCCCAATGGACATCGAAGCACCGTGAAAGATTAGTCATCGGCGCGCGACTATAAGGAATGCGTCGAGAAACGTTCCATTTCACTATATGAGAAAATTGAAGCGTGTTTGAATTCAGTTCCAATTTCAACGCCGAAGTAATAAACAGTTCGCGTTGTTATAAATTTTGTATATGTGAGTGGTAAAAATTTATTGTTAATTAATGGTAAATAAATAAAGCGCGTAATTAAATTTACGTTACAATACCACTCAATCGCTGACCAAATTAAGTATCTGTCGCAGCCTTTTAGGTCGCACAAAACGTTCCTTCCGGGATTGTCTTCAATTGACTCCTGTGTCTAGCCATTGCAATTATATAGTTTTAAAATGTCCAATTTGTCGAAAATGACATTATTTCGTAACAACAAAAAATTCCAAAATACCTTCGCCCTTTCGAATAAACCTTTCGGGGGAGGTTCAATCTAATGTGCTTTTAAAATTCTCACCCGTTTGTATATCCTTTGCACATCCTCCATAACCTGCGATAATCTATTAACTAAATGCGTAGAGTAGACTTCGGATAATGCTCCATGATCGCGACTTAAATTTTTTGTTTGCTTAACAAGTTGCTGCCAGCAAGCGTAGCTTGAGAAGAGAGGCCATTGTTCGCGTCTGAAAGTGGCTATAAATGAATTATTGATTATTTAAATCACTCACTTTTGCTTCTGTTCCTTATGCCTAAGTTGAAGACTCTTTGCTAATTTGTCCAAATTTTTCGAATAGTCGAGTTCAAGTTCACCTCTTCGGCGGAAGAAATCCTGAAGCTCCGTTACCAGCGCAACTTGTGCTTCCATCCGTAAGTCCAGACATCGCAACTGTTCATTTAATTGAAGACGAATATCTGAAAGAAACACACGAATTAAAAATTTAAATCTTCGATAATAATTTTTCGCATGCTTAGCAATTGCTAGCGTTCCCTACAAAAACCGCATGGGTTTTATCCAATAAAAAACCTTACTCTATATGCCTGTATGGTGTGACAAAGCGAACTTTCTATTACAGCACAGTGTAGTCTGTCAATCCTATCGTAACACATCCAAATATTTTTCCTAATTTGGTCTAACTTGGTGCACCAAACTCGATTACCTTTAGCTACCTTCAACTAGGAATGAAGAGTTCGAGAAATTAGTAGAAGTATGAATGATATGAAGGGTCTTTCAAGATTCTGTACAAAGTGAGAATCCTGACAAATGACGGACAGACACAAATCAGAGGAATTTAAAACAATCTGATAGATTCGAATACTTGGAGAAATTCGAAATATCAGGAAAATTGGAATCCAAACGACCCAAAGGATCTGAGAAACTCGGGGAATCCGCAACATTGAACAAATTTGAGTAATTGAGGACATCTGTGGAATATGGAAAATGTGAGGAATTTGGGAAACCTGAAGAGTACAAAATCTGAGGTAGATAAGAAGATTCTGAGCAATTGGAACCTCTAGAGTTTCACGAGTTTGAAGAATGAGGAGAAAATCTGAGCAATAGTCGAAATAACACTAAGAAGAACTTTAAGAATCTGAGAATACAAAAAGTCGCAGACTAATATTATTATAGAATTGGAAAAATTGAAAAAGCTGAAAGAACCCGAAAGATCTACAAAATCCATCAAAGCTGAATTCAAAGAATCCGAACAATTTCTAAAATATATATGTAATCTGAGCAAGCTTGAGAAATATTATAAATCTGGATGATCTAAAAGTTCTCAGGGGTGTAGAAAACCGAAGTATCTGAGAAGTTCAAGGAAGCCGTAGAATCCAAACGATCTGAAGTATGGCGAATCCGCGGAGCATGCAGTGAAATCCAAAAAATGGAAATGAGAAATGAAATCGGAATGAAAGGAAACCGTAAAAGCCAGTTCTATGCGATTATGATTTAAGGCCCCATCTTCAAGGTATGCGCTAATGACACGCGATTTGGGCTTAAAAACCAACTCGGAGTTCCAAAAAATACAGAAAGTATTTCTCGAGGTATTTCTATTTAAAGTATAAAAATTGAATAAATCGAGTATAGCTTTTTTCCGCAAAATAGAACTTAAATACCAGATGCTTTCTCTTAATTTTCGACATAACAGTAGATACTAAAAACTTAGTCAGAATTGCAACTATTTTTGTTTAAATAATCTTCATTTCAGTTGATTAAAAGCATAACAGGTAACGCAAATAAATTTGACAGTGATACATACTTTTACCAAAGAAAGTCGTTAAGGTTCTTAAACGAAACGCTAACTGATCCATATTCTTAATTAAATCACACACAATAGAACTTGGACTAGGTTACTATCTAGTATTAAAGAGTTGAAAGAGACGCCGAGTCAACTCACTTCGCGCACAAGAGAACTCCGAGTAAACCTAGTGTCGAAGGCGAGGTTGAAGGGTTAGACGCGATGTCGAGTCAACTCATAAATGTGTATCTACTCAGTCCTCATTTCCACCCCTAAAAATGCACACATACTGTCGTCGATGCGCAGTAACATCATTGACTAATTTGGGGGGGTATTAGTCAATGGTAACATTCACCGACAAAGGGATTTTTAAACCTCCCCTGGCGATCACTTTTAAATAGAGATCAGTTAATTACCACAATAATTAATAGCAAGAGCGTATGTATAAATGAGCAAACTTTCTGTCAATAAAAACTTTTGCGCTAGTGGAGGCAATTTCGACACGTGTGCGCTGCATTTGTTACTCGATTTCTTAGTAAAAACTTACTTTAGCTAACAATTTCCCCGCACGACTTGTAATGAAATCAATACATGCAGTATTTTTTTCTTTCAACTATGGACGTAATGCATTTTAAATTAAATCACCATTTAATAAATTAAACAAATACATCAAACGAGGTCCTGGGTATGAATCACGGTGGTATCCGTGGTATGAATATAGCTTGGCATTGCGTATTATATGGGTACAGCTATGCTCATTTTGAATTTCATGCAATCTAACTAATGGAGATGTCAAAAGGGCTTTCCTTATTTTTTGGCCTACACTGCCAATTCACGAACTCCGATGTACAAATTTCATAAGAAATTCACCTGCAACATTTCATCGCAATCGGTCCATTCGTTTTCGAGATATCGTGCTAACGGACAGGCGCCGAAAAACGATGAACTCAACTCGCTGAGCTCGTTAATAAACAGACAATTTTGTATAAACAAAGAGTATCATGTCAAAAGCTAAACTATTATAGGTAATCATTTATTAAATGAACAGAGTTATTTTTAACAAGTTGAGAAATTTGGGAGACAGATATCAAAGCCACCTATGCATTTTTTAAACTAATAAAATGTGGAGGTGGTGTAAAAAACGCAATCATACTATAAAACTATATAACTATAAAAGATAGGTATCGGAACACCTCACATGAAAAGCAGCAGAATCTTACGGCGTTTCAAATGCAAGAAAATAAAGGTTTCGTTGTTTTTATAATTGGACGAACGCCACTGAATAGCGTTGCAACTCAACCCATTTCCCTCTCCATTTCCTACCGTTCAAACATCAGATCAGATACACGAAAGATGGAACTTCATTATGAAAAAATATCAATACGTGAAATTTTTCCGATCAAACAGTATGAACTCTTTTAAGTTCAGTCTCCAGTTCAGTCAATAAACCGGAAAAAAACGGAAAATTAGGGTTACTTTTATGTGTTTAAATAAATTATCTTGAACGGTTTCCCAAAAAACGTCTAACTGAAGCTCGTCGTGAAAGACCCGATTGTTATAAATTGGTTCTTTGAGCCGAAATATTATCTCCTCTTGTCTGCTGCCCATATTCAAAACCGACGTCTATTTCAGGTGGACGTAAATGTCTTTAAGCTTATATGCTAATTTGGAAAATGGAAAGGATACATATGTAACTAATTACCGCTACCGTATTTAATAAAAGGCGGGTTTATTTACACTCAATATTCAAACGAGTTTAAAGGTCAGCAATATTAAAATTTTTTATTAACTGTACCTTCATTAATGTTAAATGAAAAACTCAATTTGATTTAAATTGCAGGAAAATAAGTTTAGTATATTAAAACGTATACAGGATACATTTTTGGTAATGTCAAAGAACGATACTTGTTGAGGCTCAAAATTAATATATACCTACCCAACGCTGCAAATGTTTTCGAAACATCTTTGGCAATGACCTAAATCTATTATATTTGACAAATAATAAGCGCATTCGATATTTTTAGTTCTATAAGAAAATATCTATTTTTATCGGCGGCATGGCATGTAAGCCTACAACCCGAAACACACTTACATATAGAACAGAATTTTAGAAAAAAAAAGGTTGCGTAATATATTTTATATTTTTCCGCAAATTCTTCCCAATAATTACAATACAATTGTGCGATACGAGTGATTACAATAACACAAAGTAACTTTAAAATGAGTTGTAAGCGTTTATTCTTCACCGCTATTAAGAGGCAGAGCAAAGCGATGCAAGCTTTATAGGGGAGTCGACGGTGTCCGTCTGTCCGTGAACACGATAAGTGTCAAACGCTTGGACCGATTTGGTTCAAACTTTGCACAATTGACCTATATGCCACAAGTAATAAACCTATTGAAAATGGTTCAAATCCAAATGACCCTGTAGGGTCACGCCTCTCTATCTCTGGCAAACGCTTGAACCTATTCCGTTCAAACTTTGCACAGTTCACATATAATATACCACATGTAACAAGCCTATTGAAAATGAGTCAAATCCAATGATCCCGTAGGGTCACACCGAGGTGCTCTGCCGCTTTTTTAGATTATTCATTTTAAAAGCGCCAAAATGAAAGAAATTCTCATTCTCTAAAAAATTCTGCTCTACTTTAAGAATCGGTACCTGTAAAATTCATTAATTATACAAACGTAGGTATGTTAAATCGTTTCAATAGTTAGTTACTATGTTAAAGATCCCAACAGAATTCGCCATATTGATTTCCCATGTGGTAGCGAAACCCATTGACCTCAGTTTCAGGTGCCACGATTTCAGAGCCCTTGAAACCAACATTCATCATCTTTGGCCTTTTGCGAGTAATAGTACTTATTTTTCAATCGTGTCTTCACTTCTGAGTAATTTATATTACGGTTTCTGATTTCTTGCAAAAGTGCCTAGTCCGCTTCTCTAATGAATTAATGGTTACATATCAGTACTCTCCTGATTCCTGAATGTACACACAACTATTATAATACAAAACAACAAATGTCAAACTTGACACTAGGTGTTAAACGGCCATTTTGGCTCAATTAGCAGTTTGTTTTTGTCTAATACACTGGCCTAATGAATCGCGTTACTTTAGTAATCTAGGGACTTGAGGCTGCACCATAAAATTTCGGGACAGGTTCAAGGACCCCCCTTCTTTCTAGCGCCAATGTCTGTGGCCTCGGTTATCATATCGTTAATAAAGGACTCAAAAAACACGCAACCAGTAAGGAAGTCATGAGTTTAGTAAAATTATTTAGTGGACATCTGTTTCCGACGCCCAAAGAAGCATTTGGGTTTATCAAAACGTTGTTTCGGTTGCTTAAAATGTAAGCGTATCAAGCACATGAAAATGTGCGTGTTTTTAAATCTAAAAGGGATAACGGCTCCCTCCGTTCGCATTAGTTAGATTGTATCTAGTTATTTATACTCCACGTGTTTACCTACTACACTCGAATAAAAAAAAAGGAAATTTCATGCCCAAAATATAAGAACGCTTTCGAAAGGAGGTAAATCATTCATAATTTTGAATTTTACACCAACTACAATTATTCCGATAGCCCTTTACCGAACTGTAGTAGGACAAAGTTGGACCAATCTTGGATACCATAGGAAAATATTCGTTGCTACGCCATTTTTAAAAATCGTTTAAAATA